AACACGCTATACATATATTGCAGCAAAATGACACCAAAGAAGAATGTTTAACGAGTGTCAAATTTGATTGAAAAATTTATTGTACATTCAATTTCTCAGTAAGCAAAAAATAATATGTTTTTCAAGTTTTTAATTATAAATCTGAAATCTAATTTATTTGAAATTTATGAAATGCAAGCATTCAAACTTTTCAAGATTATTGAATAACTATTATAATTTCATTCTTCTAGTCTCATTTTTGTTGCAACTCAAAATGAGTCAATGCTAAACGACATAGGAAGTGGCGCCACCAACCTGGTTCATTTTTGTTGCACATCAAAATGAGCCGCCTACACGACTCATTCTGAGTTCAGTTTTTTACTGTATGATTCAAAGAAAAATTTCTTTCTTTAAATATAATTTTTTATTAAAATTAAAGACATAAAAAAATCGGACTAAAACTTTATAAATTTCATTTGATATAAATTTTACTTGGCATAAAACTCATTTTCTTTCTGTCGGTAAATCCTATTATACCGACTGTTTAACGTACTTACAGTGACGAAGATGACGAATCAGACTTTAACCAATAGGATACGCGTTATCAGTTGTAAAAAAAACTTTGAGATATTTCTTATACATACAAAAAATATTTAAATTAAAATTCTTTTTTAAAACAAATTTTTGTGGTTAAAAAAATTTCTTTAAAAGAAATTTTTTTTGAAATAAATAACATAATATTAACTCAATATTTAGGAAGTGAACTATATTATCATTTTTATCCACTTATATATACACCATTTTGATATGACTAAATTAACTCAGAAAAATTTTTTATTTGAAACAAATATAATTTATTTCACTGAAATATAAAAATTCACTTTTTTTAAAACTAAATAACTACACCGAAAAAATATAATTCTAAATTTAAAAAAATCTTCTTGGAGCCTATTTAAGAATATTTATCATATGCATTTTATTCCTAAAGTTAGAAATTAATACTCTTAAAATAAAAAAGAATTCTTAAATTAAGAAATGATTTTTAATTTAAAAATTCTTTTTTATTTTAAGAATATTAAATTCTATGGTAAATATTCTTAAATAGGTGACAAGAAAATATTATTCTTAAATTTAGAGTTGGTGTATTTATATTTGTTTCAATGAAAGTTTTGTCTGGCACAAATAAAACTTATTCGAAACAAGTAAATATTTATTTAACTTTGACAAATATATTTTTCACATATTTTTGAAAGAAAAATTTGTTTGGTTAAAGATATATGATTTAATATATTAAGAGAATTTTTTCGCAGTGTCTGCGAAGCGTTATAACACTCGAATTGAATCGAGTGATTAAAACCCCTTGCGATGTTCCCGAAGTCATATATTCGCATGCCGGATGTTTATAACGACAACGGGTAACGATGCAAGCGATGCAGTCTATTCTTTGCAATTAGTATTATAGAGATTATTCCCAAGCGAAGCAATCGAAAGTGTCTAAATGTCACGTGATGAAAAGAAATAAGAAAGAAGAAAAGAGGAAGGAAGTAGGCTAGACGAAGGATTTTTTCCTTTTATTTAAAACAAAGTCCTATAATGTGGCTCTCAGTGCTTGATGCCATGCCGTTCGGATTTCAACCTCCCACGACAATGCGACTGCCGAGTGCCGGAATGAGCAAGTATATGTGTGTATGTGTCAGTGCGTGCAAACGAGAGAAAAAACAACATTGCATTGTGTCTGAGCGGCGCAGACGGCCAGGCCAGTCAGCCTGTGCGATAAAGTGGAAGCATGAATAATTGAATTTTGAGGTCGTACATGAATGGGTCTCATTCGAGATTCAGGGTAGTTTTCACCTTCTACTATAGATACGCAGTCGTACTAATAACTGGAACACTTTCGTATATCGATAATTATAAAGACAATCAAAGTTTATCTTCAACTTGAATTCACTTTTTATACAGTATAATAAAAAAAACAATGCACACAACTTTTGGTGCCATCTGTCTGTAGTTTTAAACTCTGCAAATAATTCTTGCTTCAAAATTTATAAATTAAATTAATAATACTCATTGCAAACTCGTCATATTATCTAAAGTCAATTAGAAACAAAATTGCGACTACTAAATTCCTTCTGGATAATTTTATTATTTTTCAATTAACAAATTTTCGGTTCACTAAACTTTCGAACTTTAAGATTTCGAAAATTCAGTATTAATTTAACTTTTGAAATTATTTTTCATTATATGCACGTAATATATGAAGCTGAACACATATGCCAACACCTGTCATAGAAAACCAGGGGTACCGGGTTTGACCCGCCTACCCGGTTTTACCCCACTCTCATTTATACATATACATATACTGTAAGTATATATGTAAGATACATATAATAGTAGATTTCACGGATAATGTCCCACACCCAAAATAAATTATCTATGTCTAATCCATCCATCTAACTATACAAATTTTCATTAGTAATAAGAGAAAGATATGTGTCTGTACCTATATCTTTGTCTTAATAATAGAATAATTTTATTTTCAGTACGTATATAAAAGTGTATGTTATTCATACAGAGTCTCTCTGTGTCTATATACATGTTGCGAGAATTGCGCAGGTGAATTGTATAGGTTAAATTAAAAATCATGCAACTTTATGTATATCTACGCTTATTTTGTACAATTTTCATTTTTCTTTAAATAAATGCGTAGGCATACCTGCTCAATACTTAACCTAAAAACGTATTTAGTTTAACCGAAATTTCTTCCCACACAGCACCGAAATATTTACTGGACATTTATAAATCTGTAAGTGCAAACTTCGGAATGTTGAGTTGCAAGGTTTAGTAAAGGTATATCCCGTGTCGAAATTTATCGTGGAAGTGTATGAGAAACTGTCCAGTTGTGCTAGATTCAACCTAGCATCTAGATGGGAAAACTGGACAGGCTTGAACGTGGGATGTAACGCTAACAACGTCAAGATTTTGTACAGGTCTTCTGTCTAGTCCTTGTCTAGTAAAATAAAGAGATTCTAGCCAGTTCCACGATAATAAAAAAAGCAGTTTCTACCTACATAGAATAATTGATATTTATAAATATAAAAGAATATTTTTCAATTTTACTTTTTCGTTTGTTTAACATAAATTATATTACAAAAGTATTTTTTAATAACACAATTCCTCTTACAATTATTTTTAAAATTAATTGTAATACATTTTTGTTAAATTGGATTTTTTCTTTAAAACAGAAACACATTCACTACAAAAATCGTACTTGTTTATTGATAACTAATTATATATATTCTTGCAATTACAAAAAATTCACTCAAAATTGTTAAGTTTTATTATTTATTATATAAAGATTGTATATTTTGAGAGACAACCTCTGAGACTATGAATGACACATATCGCATGTTCTTTTTCTAATAAATGTTTGTTTTATGTTGTATATTTTAACATGCACACTGACACTGTTCAAAAATGCAAAAATATGGAACACTAGATTTATAAAGATTTTTTCTTCACAACAAAATAAAATACAATAATAAACCTTTGGTTTGCTTTTACCGTGCACTATGTCAAGAACTGATTTCGTCTGCTAGATTAACAGATTCGCAGTGCCACCTTCTCTATACGACATATTGTACTAAATTCTTCAGTCAGGATCCTAGACAGGGCCTGGCTAATTCCTAGACAACCTACTATACGAACTTGTACTGAATTTTAAAATCAGTGTCCTAGACAAATTTTATCCAGATTTTAGACAAGCATTCATATCAAAGAAAAGTAAAGGGAAAACTGTAAATTTACTTCTCGGGGCCAGGACAGTTTTTTCAGAATAAATTTCCACGACAAATACTGTCCAGCATTAGTCTATTTCTAGGAAGGCCACGATAAATTTCTACACGGAATAGTACCCCGTACTATCTATTTCTCTCCGTGTTAATTTAAATGTTCAGTGTACACTATAAATAAAGGAGTTGAATTTCAATTTCCCAGGGAATGTTATAAAAGTTCCACCCATTGGGGAGTTAAAGCAAAGGGAGTTCAACTTTAACTCCTTACACGAGTTGGAGAATATGATCCTCCATTATAAAATAACTCAAAAGGGAGTTGATACTGAACTCCCTAACCTGAACTCCCTTCCACTCTTGGTTAACTCCTTTTTCGGGTTGATTTTTAACTAGAAAAATCGAACTCCCAACTTCTAGTGCTAATAACTCCCTAAATTTTTACAGTGTATTTTCACACCACATCAGGACGACCAATTCAATACTTATAAAACCTTTACTAAAACTCGAAACTCAACATTTCGAAGTTTGCACTTAAATATTTAGAAATGTGCAGTAAATCTTTGGTTCTTCTGATTCAGTGTAAAAAAATTATTTTTTATTCGAAATAAAATAATTTTAATTTTTGGCATCAAATGAGCGGAGGGGTAAAAAATTCAAAATTAAAGCGTACAACTAATGCAATTATACTTCAAAATACTTTGTTAAACAACACGATACTTCAGATAATTCAGAATACTTTAGATATAATTCAAAAAAGTTCAAATATTGAACATCTACGTTCTTAAAATGTTTCAGAACATTATTTACCGGACATGAAACGTTCTAAAAGGTTCTTAAAACGTTTTTAAAAAGAACATATGATTTTTTGCCTACTGGGTATTGAAAGTTTGTAATTTATATCTTTGGACGGATTATTTTACTCTTCGATGGATAAAAGCGTTGCATGTTATTTTAATCGATTTTGGTATTAAAATTACATTTTGATTAGGATATTCAACGATATTTCAAATAATTCTCATTACTTCAAGATAATTCACAGTATTTTGAGGTAGTTTAAGATATATTTTACGATACTACAAATAATTCGCGTTACTTCAGATAAATGAGGATACATTTGAATAATTTAAAATAATTAAAATACGTCAAAATAATTCATGTTTTTTCAAAATATTTCAAAATAATTCAATACAGTAAATTGTGGAATCCTATTATTTTAATACCAAAATATGGATTGAAATGAGATGCAAAGCTTTAATCCATCGAAGATTAAAATAATCCATCCAAAGATATAAATTACAAACTTTCAAAACACAAAGTTAGACGGAAAGAAATGCTATCGAAATTTCTGCCATAAACTTATCGTTGAATTAGTTATACAGTCTGTCAAATTGACAGGTAAGTTAGGTTATATTAGCCATGTGAAGTCTGATTCAGACATCTTTCTCTTTGGAAGTACTATTCGTTTGGTTGGATTACCCAAACTGTATGGCAGTAACAGTTCCATGTTAATTCATATAGTTATACGATATGATAAAAACAGCAAGAATTATGTCAGTAATTACGAAAAATTTCTTTCAGTGTAGAAACGTTTATTTTCACCAAGTGAAAAATATTTCTATCTGGGGAATTGTTTACCCTTTGAAATAAGCGTTGAATATTAGGTTATGTTGGAAGAAATAAGGGATACTAAACTGAAGAAAAGTAGTGAACCAATGAGGATAATTGGTGGTCTTAGATTTTTTTTAAACTACAATGAAATAATTTGATACAACTTTTGCAGTGATACAAATTAATATATGTAACTTTTTTGATCTGCGCCAGTTTTGGCAATACTGGGCCAGTTTAGGGCCGTATTACATTTTATACTTGAGAAACTTGCTTCAAAAATCCTGTGCTATTTGGACATGAACATTACATTAGCTTGGTAGCGAAATTTTACAGATCGAAATCTTAGATGATGAAATCCTGTAGGGATAAAGTGGTGTATAAACTGGGACTTAAAGCGCAAACCGCACGATATATAGTCACCCTAATAACGATTTCTTCCTCACACACAGGGTTCAGATTCAGATTTATACTTGATTTGGTGTATAGGACCATACGGACTGCATTTTAACAGATAAAAATGATCATCAGAAAGTAGAAAAATTCGAAGGGAACAGGTTTCTGTAAGCGCGAGTATATATGAGCATCGTTCTTCTCTGTGACTCTCACTATGATTCTGTTTTATGCACACTCACTCTCTCCCTCTTTCTTCCCCTTCCTCTTCTTCACCCCAGTCGCTCTTCTTTCCCTTCTTTTTTTCACGTGTTTCTCTCTCTCTCTCTCCTCTTCCTTTCCTTCTCCTCACATTCTCCTTCTCGAGGAGACGCTGGTGCACGCTTGACCAGACGAAGCGAACTACGGTTGAGGTCAGGGTCGTATCAAACTGCACTCGGGCCCTGGAATTCCCTGTCTTAATACCTGCGGCTACAAACTCTTTCAACTTAATATCTGAGCGATTTTTCCAGTCAGAATACAAAATGCTCTCTCCTATACTTTCCCTCTCTCTCTTTCTCTTTTTTCCCCTCTAAGCCGATTTGCCTTTATTTTCTCTCTCGCTCTTTTCGCGGTATTTGCATTCATGCGCCCGAGGTCAGTGACACGCCATCGATTTTCTCGAGTTCCCGAACTCCATCGTTGTTGAGACCTTCCACGAAATATAGAATATACTTGCAATTTCTTCAAGTCTGCATTTCGTACATTTCACTCTTATTCTCTTAGTGCTTTCAGTTGGGGCCTATTTAACAAAGAAATAAATTCGATGCACATTCTGCTATCTCATCTGCCTAAATATCTTCATTATGAATTCAACAAATTAATCTTTTGTTTCTTTAAAAAAAGAATTTATTTTTCGGTGCATTTATCGCTTTATTATTCATTCATTCTTTATATGTGGACTTCCGTTTGAAAATCGGAATAAATTTAATCCATCAATTGTATTCTTACAGTTATAGAATATAATATTCTTAAATTAAGAATCTTTTCTTTTGTCTGTAGAATATTTTTTAATTTAAGATAAGTGTTTCTTATTTTAAGAATATTATATTCTAACAGTATGAATACAATGCATGGAAAATATTCACGGAAATAAAATTTACCTGGAACAGCGAAAAGTTTTACTTGTTTCAATTAAATCTTTCGCTATTCTAGTGAAACCTTTCGCTGTTTCAGGTAAATCTATTTTCCGTGTTCTTAAATTCAGAATATAATTTTTTCAGTGTATATTCCAAATTAATAAAGTCAAATATATTTGATAATAGTCTAATAATACTGAATTGGCAAATTTTTTTTTCATATTGATAATAAATTTTATCGGTGGTTCTCTCTAAATTTGAATTAATAAACATTTAAACTAAGTTGAATGAATGGCTCACTTTTTGCTTTTGAATTAGTTTTTTTACCATTAATTAGTTAAATGCCAATTCAAAAGCAAAAAGTGAGTCACTAATTGAAATTAGTTAAAATTGTTACTAATTCAGATTTGGAGAGTTGTTAAAAATGTTAATATTCTTAAATCTTTTGATATGTTAATTTTATATAGAAGAATTGATTTTGTGAAAACTTATAACTAGAATGGTAATGTAAATGAACTTGTCAAACACTATTTAGACTGATTAATGACAGTTGTGTAGCAGGATAAGTTAGGGAAATAAGTAGACGCACCAACCATACATTAGTAGATATATCCATCAACTATGCGACTGAGCTGACGGGTCTGACTGCTAGTCGCCTAGTCGCGTCTAGTTATAGAACACCGAATCTACTGATTTGCCTGGTGCCGGTGTCGATGCCGTAGGAGTCGGTGCCATCTCGTCCAAATACACATTCGCGTAACTTACCATTATCTCCTTGTATCAAAGATCATTTTCTCTGCAATAAAAATAAATACAAAATCACAATTCATCCTTCCTCTCTCTCTATATATAGTTGGCGATAGAAAAATAACTATTATAAAACGTCATTTTTTCAAATTCATTATAACAATAATAAAAAAAAATTCAGCTTATTTTACACATTTTGATAAAATTTTATTATTTATTATTTTTATAAAATTTAAATTTTTGTGAAAATATTAAAAGTTTACATTCCTTACATTAAAAAATTTATTTCTTTATATAATAATCGGTTACTCGAATATTATCAAATAAATATTTACTTGAACCAAATAATTTTTATTTCAATTAAATTTATGATGTAAATAAATTTGAATTAGTGAGAATTTGTTTACTAATTGAAACTAGTAGAAATTTTCACTTATTTTTAGTAAAATATTGCTATTTGATTTAATAATATGGTTTTACTAAAGTTTTAGTGAAAAATGACTAAAAATTATTAGGAATTTTCAATAATTTAAATTAGTGAACGAATTCTTATTAATTCAAATTTATAGAGTATATTTAATTTAAACACAAATTTTGGTTGATTTTAGTTACTCTCTAAATCTGAATTAGTAAAAAAGTTTACTAATTTGAATTAGTGACTCACTTCTTGCTTCTGAATTAGTAAAATTTAACTAATTCTAAAGCAAAAAGTGAGTCACTAATTTAAAGTAGTAAACATTTTCACTAATTCAGATTTAGAGAGTATACATGTTTGCTTTTATGTTAGAATTAAACATATTCTTTAAATTTAAATTGGTGAAAAGTAAACTACTAATTCACATTAGTCAGCATTTTTACTAATTTTTAGTATAATATTTTTATACTATTTTATATTATATTTAGTATAATATGCTTTTGAATTAAATATATTATTTAAAGAAATAATAGTTTTAAATTATAAAAGTATCATACTCTCTACGCAGAAAATTAAAAGGCATTAAAATAAGCTGCAACGCTTATTATTTTAATCCATTTTGGTATTAAAATAAGCAAAATTCGATTAAAATAATAAGCGTTGCAGCTTATTTTAATGCCTTTTAATTTTCTGTGTAAATTGCAGCAAAATGAAATAAGAGGATAGCAATGTTTTAGCTCTGGTAGTTAATATTTAGATGCCAAAGGAATTAGCTAATAATAATTGCTATCCTTATAATAGCAATTGGGGTTAGCTAAGGTAACTAAATTTTAGTTGAGATAGTTAACTATTTTTCTCCATGTATTTAAATTTACTTTTAGGTTATGTTAAAATAATTAAAACTATAATTTTTTAGTTATTGTTCCACTAAAAATTAGTTATTTTTAAGTAATTCAGATTTAGAGAGTAGACATTTCTTATATCTCAAAATTAAACTTACACACTGTGTGTTAAAGTAAAAAATATTATTCATAATTATTTTTATATTTCAATTAAGTATACGCTAAAAAAATTTACTCTCCAAATCTGAATTAGTCACTCTTGACTAATTCAACTGCGCTTATTCGTTCATTAAACGAATTAGTAACCGTTTTGACTATATAATTCTCAGTCAAAAATAACTAATTGATAGTAGAAAACAAATAATTCACTTAGTAAAGCTACTACTTCAATTAGTACAAATTTTAACAAATGAATTAGTAATTTATGACTAAAAATGAATAAAAACGGTTACTAGGTAATTTATTCAATAAACGAATCGGTGCAGTTGCATTAGTAAAAAGTGACTAATTCAGATTTAGAGAGTATTTGATTTAAATAATTGGTATAAAAAAATAAATAAATAAATATTGAGGCAAAATGGGTAACGAGTAGTATATATCCATCGTTATAACCTTAAATTTGATTGTATATAACAATTTCGTCGAACGAAGAAAGAATTTGATTGAGCCAAATAAATTTTATGTTGATTTAACCAAATTTGCGTTAATTGTATATATATAACAATAGATATATTTGGTTGCACAGAAAAAACCTGAATTCAAATTGAGTATAGATTCTATACTCAATTTGATTCGCAACAAAAATGAAACTGGTTGTTTCATTTCGAGTTCTAAGGTAAAAGTATCAAAATGAAACAGGCAAGTTTCATTTTGAGAAAAAGAAAAATGGAAAAATATTGTGAAATAACGAATAATTTTGCACAAAAACATGAAATATAATAATTACAAAGAAGTAAATAACACGCTAGACTTAATATATTTGATTAAAAATTGCTTGTAATCGCGTAATAAAATAATAAAGGAAATATGTTTTTAGGTTAGAAAAATGAAAACATGTGTTTTGACAACAGGAACGGTACTGCCAACTTAAATAATAGCGGTAAATTTAAAAACTTATGAAATTAATTATTATCTACGTAAATAATAATAAATAATTTTTATTTAAAAACTTCTAAATATTCGTACTGGTCAAAATAATCTTTCTGGTGTTGTTGAAATATTAGAAACAATAATTGAAATACAAAATTACTCTGCTTATGATGCCAACTTAGAAATCTGAAATTCCAGCCAATATCATTTTGAATAACATGAAGTTTGTCCCATACTCATTTCGATACCCAAAAGAAAATGAGTTGCAACAAAAATGAGTCCAAGTTTTTTCTGTGTGATTCAACCAAAATTTTTTTCTGAGTTTAATCTTGCATCAATCTTCCATTGTAGGTTATCATCAATCTTTCATTACAAGCTTACAGCAATCTTCCATTTCAATCTTATTACAATAATAATCTTTAATCGCAAGCTTATACACAGAGTAATCTTTCCTAGCAATTAGAAACTAGACGGTTAATAAAGACCTATAACTTGTTTTCTTTCATTCAAAATAAAATTTTCTTTGAAACAAAAAAAACTTTTTACTCACTTAATTTGAATCAGTGAAATTCACTGATTAAAATTAAGAGAGTAGTTTCAAAAAAAGTTGTGCATTAAATCAAAGAAATTCTAGCATTGATATATAGGGTCAAAGAAACATTTATAAGAGTTAAATAAAAAATTTCTTTGAAACGAAGATATTTTTTTTTGAATCAAAAATAATTTTTTTTAAAAACAGATATAAAAAAAAATTTGTCAAAGCAATCTTTTTTCTGGGTGTAATTTGAATGAAACTGGTATATTTAATAAGATTAAGCTATTTCGATGAGAAATGACAAAAGTGCGATTAAAAAGAAAAGAGGTCGTTTAATAGAGACCAGTAATGTGTGGTGACTATTGTGATATAGTTTAGAAAGACACGTGGCTAGTGGCTGTTGAAGAAGCTTGGAGGAAAATGCCGGTATATAATATATATATACAAGAGAAAAATTGGAAGAGTTGTGTGTTGAAAAATGCACATATGTATATAGTGTTTGGGCTCACGGTGGGGCGCTATATTCGCGAAAACCGTCTTGATTGGCAAGAATACGGTCCTGTCTAAGGCGGGGCTCGCATATATTGCGAACCGCGAAGAGAGGCAAGCGGTTGAATCGGATTGGATTGGGTTGGGGCGCAACTCGCAAGCAAGCAAGCAAACTGGTTTGGTTTTGTAGGGCTTGCACCACTGCACCGCTCTTTCGGCGAGACACCGAGACAGTCCAATTTATGCATTACGGCTATGTAGGCACTATACGCTATCAAAAACTCTGTGCCCGGACTTTTACACCATTCGGCATCATCATTTTATTCATTGCAATAGTTATACAATTTTTATCAAGTGCCTACAAAAACAAAACTCGAAATTCATATCGGTAACAAAAAAAAAAAGAATCCGCGGGAAATTGTTTAAGTTTCGGTTTTTTTTGTTGTTTTTCTGTTTTTTTTTGTTATTGTTACAAAATTCGCGGTGTTTTTTTGTTGCATTTTACACATAGAAGAAACATTCATTTATGAAAATTACAAGAAGATAAACAGGGATACGTGATCATCAGGCAAGGAATATCATCTATGATCCGCGTGTGCTGTTTTTTCGAATACGCGTCTACTGATAAAAACGACCGTCGTGTTCCAGTGTCGATAATATGAATTGCACATTCTCAAGAAAAAGGTCGTGACTTTTTTGTGTGTTGTTACTGGTGATCAAAAATTCATTCCTGGAAAATTGAAGCCTTCAACAATAACAATTCGGTTCAGGTACCATTCGTAAATACGTATTTTTATACTCATTATTTCCAACGAAAAAGAATTCAAAAAAAAAAAAAAAAAAAAATGGGGAAAAAAATAAAAATTTGCTTGCGCGCGCGCGCTCACGATTCTTAGTGCATGCATTCGTCTTACATCTATATAAAAGATAAGTAGTGTGTACCGTGTGAGTGTGAGTGTGCACCGGTCGGCCGGTTGGTTGGCCGTTGGCGGTAGATTCCGCGCAAGGTTATGACAACAGATATATATATATATATATACATATATAAAACTATATATATATATATATCACAAGTGTGCAAAAACCAAGAAGCCAGAGGATAAAATAATTTTGTGAATTCAAGGACTTGTTTCTCGTCGAGACTATATAGCAAACGTGAATCATTTTTTTTTCAAAAAGAATATTTTCAGTAGGCGAGAATATATAATTTTTGCAAAAAATCAAAACATTATTTCCTCCACCTTTTTTTATCTTTCAAAATAATAATAAAAAATTCCATTTTTAAAAATATATGAAATTTAAATTTTTGCAAAAAAAACTTTTTTTTTGCAAAACTTGGATGACGCTCTTAGATTGAGAACGGGTTAACGCCTGGCGAAGGCAGTTCGTTGTTCGCCGAGTGCATATTGCATAGCGAACTTTTTATTCTCCGGTTTTTGCACGGGCCAATCAGAATTCGCGAGGGCGCTCCAAAGAAAATGGCAAACTTGTGACGCTGGGTCTTTGCGCGTCGCTTAGTGAACCCCGTAGTTCGCGATCACGTTGACGTCTGTCGCCATTTCCTCAACAGGAGGATTTCGCTCGATTATTTTTTAAGGTAATAAATGGATAATTTCGTGAATTCGCGAGAATATGAAATTGGCAAATCAATTTGATGGATTTCATTGTCAAATGATTGAAAATTTCGCGTGTGTGTGATGTGTGATTTTTGTGTGGTAAAGATCGCGCGCCACGTTTCGCTAAAAAATGCACAAGTGCATCTTGGAGCCGGCGACCGACTTTCTCCAAATCGTGTATTATATAGAAATCAAATTTAAAGTTCACCCACGAGCCTTTGAAAATAAGTAGAAAACGCATTTTACTGGTCCAGTGTTGACTTTCTTTGTCAAAAAAAACGGAATGAGCTGGCTGGCTCTCTGGTCATTCTGGTCTTTTTCTACTTAAGAAACGAGACAAGGAGACATTCGCCTCCTCTCGAGTGTCATCGGGACAAGTCGAATATCTTTGCTTTGGACTTGTTAATGCACCAGTGAATGACGAGAGACTAGTGTTTTTTTTTCTTGTTCAATCTTATCATTCGTATTGTTTGTTCATTTTTTTTAAAGTCTCGCGATAAATTTACAATATTATGGATATTTAATTCTCATTCATGAAAGACTATTTCGTTTATAACAAACGTTAAAAAATTTTATATTTATGAGTTTTAGTACTTACAACAGGTGTTTTTGACTATTGAATTTTTAGAAAAATTTTTTTAAATGTTTAAAGAAAAAAACTAACTGCAAGTGATTATTTTTCTTTTATCTATTATTGTTATAGAATGCACGTCAAAACTCGTGAATTTTTTTCTATTTTTACCGCAGACTCTAATTTACCAGAATGTTCACAAATTTTTTAAGTTACACTTTTATATTTTGTAATTTGAATAAAATAAATTATGCCGATAACACTTTTAAAGATCAAACTAATTTTACACAAAGTTTATACATAACCTCACATTTTAATTTTAGAATTGCGTTATTTAGAATAAAATTCAAAAAAACATTTTTTGAGTATATAAAAGTAAACAAATACCAAATATCACTTTACGATAATCACTAATTAAATTGTTGAATTTAATAAATTTATTTATTTACACAAAACCGCATGTAATAAAAACAAAGATACACTATTGGTTTGTAAAATGATAAGCACTTTTATTATTTTTATTTTGTTTTATGAACAATTTAAAAAAAAAACGATAGTACTTTTCTCACTGTTAAAAAAATAAGATGAAATAAAAATTTATTGCACAGGTGTAACTTCAAAAGTCATAATTGTGTGGGAATTGTACACTAATGTAAAAAGTGAATGGAGAGCACTGACGTGAGTTTATCTCTGAAAGATGGCAGCACTATGCTGTGTTAGTCGCAAATTTATTTAATATAATTATTAAACTCAAGAAATTTTTTTCTAATATCAACAATTTTAAATTAAAGAAATAATAAATAATTATCTATAATAAAAAACAAAATTAACTCTAACATCATAGAAAGAGTTGAAAAGAATTTATAGTTGAAACAATTGAAAAAAATATTGACAAAAAAGAGATAAACTTACTTACAAAAGAAATATTTAAATAATTGGAAAATAATATATTGTAATTTGTTTTCTTTTTTCTGTTTATAAGTCAATACACATTGTTTTTCATTTGTTATTCTATCTATATAAAATAATAATAATACTCTAAACATGTTTAAAAAATCTTTTATAGGTATTTAAAAACAAAATTAATTGGATAAATAAAATAACATTAAGTTATAATTATAGAAAACTATCCTAAAAAGTAATTTCTTTCTCTTAAATAATTATGTTCATATGTAAGAAAAGAATTTTAAAGATAGTTCTTTAACTTAAACATTTTTGAAACTGATATATATTTCTGCATAAAAAAAAATCTCATACAAAGAGAAAACTTTATTCTCTCAAAATAAGAATGTTTTACTCTTTTATTTTTTTAAATTATAAAACAAGATTTTATTCTTTTTTTTAAACAAAGTATTGCAAAATGAGTACTTTAGTGTTCTCCTCTTTGATTAAGATGTTTCCTTGAATATTGAAAGTAGGAGGATTTATGTCGGAGGTTGAGGTTCTATTTTCCGCATTTCAGAAAATCTCAAATTTTCCTCATTAGTAAATAATGAGACAGTACTGGTTATGTTCTAATACGTATTATATTAACATTCTCTTAATTAAAAGAAGAATTCTTTTAATAGTGTTTTCAAAATTAAAAGTTGTATTAAAGTGAGAGGAAATTTACTAAAAAAAAATGGAAATTAATTTCTTTTGATTGGATGTTATATGTAGTGGGGGTAGTTTTATTTGAATGGTAATTTAATTTTTTTATTTGTGTTAACTTAAAAAACTTACTTGTTTCAAGAAATAAAAATTCATAAGTTATGTTGTTTTAAAAATTATAACAAATTTATTTGAATAAATAATTTACTATTGGAGTTATATTGCAACGAAACTTTAAAAAAAGAGAGATAAAATCTATTTTTATTTCTGCAATCAATATGTTTTTATCTATTGAAAAAATGATAAATTTTTGTGTTTTACAAATATACTTTTTTATATTCATGAAAACTTATAAATATTTTTAAAGTTTTCTTTTATAAATAGTTATTTTGGTTTATTTGAAAATTTAATACTTTTTTTCAAAATGAATTATTCTTAGATAAAATTTTGTTTTAATTAATTTTCAATATTCTAAAATTAAATTACATCTAAAAATTTTTTTCAGATATTATTTTTGTAAAGATATGAAATGTTGTCTATTTTTAGAATAAATTCTAAAGAGAGAAAGAGTCAGATTTAACTTTGAAACATATCTAAACTTTTAATATGTAAAAATCACATAAATTCATTTTCATGAAATTTGTATTAAATTTTACATTTTATGAAAGAATTTTAAAACAAATTAAAATCAATTTTTAAAAATTAATTATCTGAATGAAGTTTTATAGAAACTGGCAACATTTATGAATTTAAAATACATTTTTTTTCCTGGATCAGCAGAATATAAAAACTAATTTTTTTTTCTTCTACTTAACATTTATTTAATAATTTTTTTTTTTTAAATGTATTTTTTCATTGTTTAAAATTTTTAAAAGCAATTTTTTATATTTCACCTTTGTCTCTGGAGTTTAAATTATGTGGAGAAAGTTATAATTGTTATGATTTCTGGAAAAACAGATTTTTGATTTCCCTCTGTTCTGAAAAATCAAAAAATCAATTTTGGTTTTTGACCTTTTTATTTAGCGTACTTTAAAAATTTGTTTATCAAATTTAATAAAAACCAAAGATTTTTGAGAAATGTACGTCTTTAATGTAATAAATTAAAAACAAAGCTGAACATCGTCAATTGTTTTCCTCAAGCTGAATGCAATTATGCGATTATGATATTGAATATTTCATACGTAAATAAGTGATTTAAAAGTTTTGAAACTTGAAAAAATATTATCGCAAATATAGGTAAATTATGCTTTTACTCAACTTTTCAACTATTTATTTTCGCGTTTTTATTTCTTAGAAGCGTTTGAAAATCTGAATGTGTTTTGCATCGCTGTGCATCTATGTAGTAAACTGTGTGTTTATTATTGTTCATAATGCAGATAAATTATCGTAAGAGCAACAGTGCTTCTTGATTATAATACAAACGGTTATAAATTGATTTTCCTCGGTTCCTGTTTTTTCTGCTTCTCATTAAATGTTGAAAACATAATTAACTTGCAATATTATTATAGTAAAAAGATACGTCCGTGCTTTATATTTCAAATGCACGGACGTATCTTTTTACTTTAGTGTAGAGGTGTGCAAATTTTCGAAATTCGATTCTTTCCATAAGAATCAACATGGAATGAGTTCGAATTCGAGTTTTTGTAGAACTCCATTAAAAAAATGAAAAAATACCATATAATTTTTGAAATAACAATAAATATAAAAAAATTTGTTATTTGTTTATAGCTATGGCAGAGGGGAATGGGGAAATAAAAATGGAGGAGAAGCAGTCCAAAGAGGATATGGAATGTGTCGAGAGGACGGAAGATTACGCAAAGCTAATCCAATATGGACTCGACGAAAAAGTGGCTGCTAAACTCGATGAAATTTACAAGACCGGCAAACTAGCCCATGTGGATTTAGATGAAAGAGCGTTAGACGCTTTAAAAGAATTTCCGGTGGATGGCGCATTAAATGTGCTCACGCAATTTCTCGAATCTAATCTAGAACATGTATCAAATAAGTCGGCGTATCTTTGTGGTGTTATGAAAACTTACAGGCAAAAAAGTAGAGCTGGACAGGGCACCGGAGCAGCCACAACCCCAAAAGCACCCGATGAAGATAAAATTAAGGTAATTTTATAATGACAAACAAAAAAAGAATTCTGACATACAATTTCTACAAATATTTCAACACAAAATTGATAAATGTTTATTATTTAATTTATTTGAAAATTAGATTAATTGGGATCTTAAATTCTGACATTATTTAAAGATGATATTTTTTTTATAGTTTTTCCCTTCTTTTTATGAGAATTCCGAATTTTTATGTCTGACATTTTGAACGTTCAAATGAACAAAAAATTTGTTTACTAATTTTTTAATTTCAAATTTTATTATAAAATATTGCTTTCTTTATTTAAAATTAAATTTATAATTATAATTTATTAAATGTTTAATGTTCTTTTTTAATTTTCATTGCTGTAGTAATTTTTCAATAATTTATAGACAAAAAAATGAACTTCATGCGCACATGAATTTTTTAAATTCGATAAATTAAAGATTATATAGGTATGGGCAAAGTCGCGGAGGATGTAACGTAACAGTCTTTTTGAAATGTGCATAATTTTTAAATAAAAAGGCATAGAGGCATAATATACATGTATCTAAAATTATTATTATATAGTATGATAATCTATTAGTATGAAAATTCTTGTATGAAAATTTTTTTAAAAAGACTGTTATGTTACATAAGTTTCGTTTTTCGCGACCAAAAATTATGGACCAAAAAAAATTATATTTAACAGATTTTGAAAAACATGCATACAATAATTGAATTATTAAAAATTTTATTAAATTTTTATTCTAAAAAATAAGCCTTCTAAAATAAAATTTCAAAAAAAGTTTACAAAAATGTTCTTAATTTAAAATAGTAAATGTAAAAAAATTACTGTGAATAATTTTATTTTTTCATTTGATTCTCCATTAAATACCAAAGTAATGCATTATTTGATATTTAAAATTGATATGAAAATTATGTAAATAACTGTTATTTTTTGGTTCATCCGTTATTGTTGATCCTTCGTGAGAAAGTACAAGCGATTTGGTTCTTGCAGATGATTCTAGAAAGAACAGGATATCCCTTAGATGTGACTACAGGACAAAGGAAGTACGGCGGCCCTCCTCCAAATTGGGAGGGTCCTACTCCAGGAACTGGTTGTGAGGTAAGTTTGTTTTAAATATCGCAAAAACAGGTTTCTCAACCTAAGAGCTAAATACAGTAAAATTATAAAAAAAAAAAATTCTCTCGTTTATCGTTCTCTCTTTCTTTCTGCAAAGGTGTTTTGTGGTAAAATACCAAAAGATATGTACGAGGATGAATTAATTCCATTATTTGAAAAATGTGGCAAAATCTGGGATTTGAGGCTGATGATGGACCCAATGTCAGGTACCAACAGGGGATATGCTTTTATCACTTTCACGAATCGAGATGCTGCACAACAGGCGGTTAGAGAGGTATGTAATTAACTTTGTTTCATTAATTTCATCTTTTTACTATTATCATTGTTATTACTATTATTGTACAGTGTACAATCTTATTTTTTTGTTGTCCCCCTTAGTTAACACCATGCCGCTACGGACTGATTGGATATTTTTTATTTATTTATTATTTACAAAATTATTTGGAAATGTTACAAAATTGTTATTGCTACCAAAGTCGGCACTTTTTCCAAACAATTGCAAAATATTTCCATATCATGGTTTTTTTTTAGATGAGAAACATTTACATATTCCTTTTTTTTTGGTTTATTAAACAAACAACATTATTTATTTTGCTTAGTCGTAGAACCTATATATCATTCATTTAAATGTACAAATAAGTTTGATGCACCCACACACACAGACTGAAGTGAAAAAAAGTTTTCTCTTTTTTTGGTGAAATGAAAATTATGATTTAAACAGTTGTGAAGTTTTTCTTACACTTTGAGAATGAATTTAAAAAATTGGTCTTTAATTGATAAAAAGAAATTAACAATTTTTTACTTATCTAATAGATATAATTATAATAAAAATTGAATTATTCAAACAATAAAATTGTCCTAAAAGCAAGTTTTATAAAAATAATTTTTTTTACGGAATGTTTTTTTATATTAAGTATTTTTATTTGATTTCAGTACTTTTACAATATTCTTGCAATTTAATTAATATATTCAATTAAAACCGATTTAAAAATAAATACGAAATACAATTGAATCGGTAACATTAATTAAAATTGAAATAAATGAAAATTTATTTCTTAGTTTTAAATCCGTAAAATAAATTGAATAAAAAAAAATTCCTGATTTTCATTAACTCAACTTTTTAATTTTAAATCAAAGAAAAAATTATGTTTTTTTACACAAAAAATGTTAAATTTTTTTTTATAGCAGAAGTTTAAATTTTGAATTTGTTATCTATTTAGTTGAAAGTTAAAAAAATTATTAATTTTATTTTACAAATAAATTTTTTAAAATTTAAATTTTAAATTTTTGTTTAAAAAACTTTTAGACTACATTCATGGTTCACAGACTTATATTTTCATCCCCTAAATTTCTTTTTATGTCAGTCGGTCCTAGTTTCATTTTTTTTCAATTTCAATTCATTAAATTTTTAGTTAACCTAATTCATCCAAATTTTAGTTTAATCAAATTTTAATTTATTCAAATTCATTTAATTTTTTAAACGTTGTAAATAATTGATTTATTTTCCAATTAATTTGATGTAAATTTAAATCATTCCTATTTTAATGGTGTAAAAAATTTCAATAGGTCCAATTTTTGTATAAAAATTTTTGCCATCTTTTTGTCATCTATTTTCAGAAAATTGTTTACTTTCTCAACTATTTTTTTTTATTTAAGAAAAAAGAGTACTGTGATTTTTGAACTTATTTCTAAATTAAAAATTGTGTTAATTGAAGAAAAGTTGCATGAATATTTTTAATGCTTTATGAAAATAAATTGATTCCTCAATCTCGTATGCAGTTGTTCTTATATTTTATATATAAGTACTGAATACAAAAAATAATACCTTCTTTTATGATAAGAATGTAAATTAGAAAAATCTATTATAGAGTAAAATTAAATGTAAAAAATCAAAATATTGCCAGTTATAGTAATCACCATTTTTTTTATTAACAAATTAAAAAAATTCAAGGCAATAATACGTGAAAATATATACTGTTGATTCATAATTTTCAAATAGGACGTTAAATTAGTGAAATAATTAAATACCGGAGAATTTGAAAATTATCACTGCTATTTTTAATATAAAAAAAGTTGTTTGTAAATGCACGAGAAACTTATTTGTACATATACGATAGGTATGTATGTATATTTGTTGAGCGTTTCGAAAAAGTGTCACGATTCCTCTATATGTGGCTTGTTCAGCGACCGTAATTTTTTTTATATATTTTAGTAGCAGTAGTGTAATAATTTTTGTTTTAGTAAAACCTCTTTTTTGTCATTTAATTTTTGAAATGAAATTTTGTCAATTTTTATTTATTTTTATCTATATAATATTATAATAAGAACAATCCACATAAATGATAGTCTTTTATATTTATATGTCCCTGACCATTTATTCATTGTTTAAGCATATACTGACTTATCCAACTTATCCCAAACATATGACAGTGGAAAAAGTGATATTAATGGTATTCTACGGATGAGTTTCTTTTCCAGCTCTCCTCTTTGCTCAGTGGGCAAAATTGGGAGTGGAGAACCTTCCTGGAAAAATCGAAAGAACAAAAAAAAAGTCGAAAAGTATCTTGTGTGCTTTTTTAAAATTGGTTAGGGGTATATTTACTTAATTGGTTGGCAATTTAATTGGACAGTGACAATTTTGATAACAAAATTTAAAAACAAAAAAAAAAATTGGTTAGGCTAAAAATTTGTTTACAGGAACACATGATACGCGTATGCCGGTTTCCTATATTGTGAAGACTCGAGCGATAAAAGGGCATGCCACTTTCTCGCTTACATCTGGATCTAAATTTAATCAAAATTTTCTTTCCTAAATTTTAATTATTCACTATTATTATTATGATTATTATTAAAAAAAAAAAAAAAAACTTATGTGGAATTAATTTCATTGAAACAAAATTAGGCATGTGTGTGTTTTTCTTCATCCCACAGCTCGATAATCACGAAATAAAACCCGGCAAGAGTCTGAAAGTAAACATTAGCGTTCCTAATCTACGACTTTTCGTGGGGAACATACCAAAGTCAAAAGGCAAAGAGGAGATCTTGGAGGAATTTGGTAAATTAACAGGTAAAGTGAATTCGAGGCGTGTGTACCTACCTACCTACCTTCACCTACCTGTCTATACCTGTATCGTAACATAAGAGTGGTAGTTTTTAAGTAGTGGTTGTACATGGTATGGAAGTATGGAGCATCCAGATCACCCTGTCATAGCGTGATATGAAAAAAGAAAAAAAACCTTCGACACCTTCAATTCTGGTCAGTCTCTCCTTGCCTCTCGGTTTATTAGTGAACAATAACACCTCTCTGGTCCAAGTCTTCTTTTCCTCTCATATATATTTAGGTTGAGTTATGAGTTTTTTTTTATATCTGTCTCCAAAACATTGCGGATATCAAACCTATCTTATTTTTTCTTTTTCTCTTTACCTCTATCTCTCTCTCTCTTTACCTCCTGCACTTCCATCGACGTATTTCCAAATTTTCCTCATTTATGCGTCTTTGCATCAACGTTTTTTCTTTTTTTTCTTTTTTTTCAAAAACATGAGCGATGACGGGAAAAGAAAATTTATAATAACACCAACAATGATTTCATTCGCGGAAAAATTGAATTCATGACTAAACCTCGGGTTTGGGAGACCTGCGTGGACCGCTGGGGCGTGTAGCTCGCTAAAAAACGGACAGGCACTCCCACCCACCCGCAAGCACTTGTGAAAAAAATCCTCTTATTCTTCATCATATCAACTTTTTTTCTCAATCCCGATATTTTTCCATCGTATCCAAATTTCCCTTCTTTTTTGAATCCTTTCAAATTGTTTCCCTCATTTGGTCAATAATAATTCCTCTCAGGTCATGTTCATTACAAAACAAAAAAAAAAACAAAAAACCCACGGTCAGTCAGCCATTAAGCAGAAGAAAATATCTAAAGGCAAGCTTAATTGGCAAATTTCCTTCCACATTATTCTTACAGCTGAATGATTATGAGATTCGGAAAGGCAAAAAGATTGGTGTTACCGTATCTTATAACAATCATCGCTTGTTTGTGGGAAATATTCCAAAGAATCGAGACCGAGATGACTTGTTCGAAGAGTTTACAAAGCACGCACGTAAGTTGACAATTGCCCTTTAAAATCAGAAGGCAGGCATTTTTCTGGGAACAAAAAAAAAAAAAAAAAAAAAATTTGAAAAAAAACGAGACGAATAAAATTTCTTTTTCCTAATTTGTCAAATTAATTGGTCGCAAAAACGATTCTGGGGGAGATATTACTTTTTTTTTTTAACCGCAACTATTTCATTTCATTTAATTTATTTTATTCTTTTTTTTTCTCTCTAATTCTACTTATAGATGGCATTTTTTATATTATTTTTATATTATTAACACATGGTGTCATGAAACCGTCAATTAATAAAAAAAATAAGACACTGATGAAATTTCAATTTTAGTCATCTTTTTTTAATAACAAACGAAAATTTAATTTTTTCGATCTTGATATTTAAAAAAAAACATTTCTAAAAGAAACTGACAAAAAATTGAAAATTCACAAGTGTCTGACCTTTAACATCCACCTAATCCTTCGAATAAAAAAGAAAACTTCAACTAACAGCAGTTATTTTTTTCCTGTAAAACCAAATAATCAAGATCTTTTATAGATAATAACACGACACTTTGAATTTTCGGATATTAAAAAATAATTTATTAAGAGATTTTTAAATAATCGAATTGTGAATAATTTTTTTTCTTGAAATTCCACCTAAAACAAAATAATGATACACATGATTCAGCTAATGACGCTTTATCATTGTATCTGTTTGACATGACTATTATATTAATGGAATGAAAAATAGCTTGAATGCGTTTCTTATAATCGAATGATGAAGTCGCGAGTGCGTGTTTAACAATTAGAATATTCTTGCATGAAAATCTCAGAATCTGGACACAGAGAGGAGACCAATGAGAATGAGAAAAAATTCATCCCGGAGGCAAGTGCCTTTTTTGAAATCAATAAGGCACAGGATGATCGATTTTGTATTGGTTTTTTTCAAAAAAAAAAAAAAAAAAAAAGAACACGTTATTATACTTGAAAACAAAATTAGATGTTTCAGGTTATTTACTTTTTTTTTGTTTGTTTTTCTTTGCATTAATTTCACATACATTTTCTTTCACTGGGTGTGCATGCTACTTTTTTCACTATAGTTTTTTATTATACTATCAGTTGCTTTGAATCTTGTTGAATTTTTTCATTTCATTTATTATATATAGAACATTTAAATTATACTGGAAACGATTTTGAAACTGTTTTGTCTTTTCTACTTTATAGAATGTTACATGGTTTTGGGTTTTTCATTTTTATTTTTATTTTTTTATATTAAATAAGGTATAAGGGATTTTTATATACGTACGATTAGAAATTTGTCAGTAAAAAAATGGTAGGTACCATGCTATCCGAATGCCAGTTTTGTGCTTTTAAACTGAGAGGAAGGAGAAGTAAACCGTGTACCAGAAAGCACCAGTACAAAAATAAAATTAGGCAGTAAATAAGTAATACTCTCCTCTATATTTATTTAAAAAAAAGCGTCGTTAAATTTATTAATTCTAACATCTAATCAAAGATCTTGATGGGTTTTGTGTCTTCAATGTTTAAACATTTTTTTTCATACTTTTTGTTTGGAAAATAATTTTTTTTTATAAAATGAAATTTAAAAATATTAGGCAAAAGAGATTTAAAATTTTGCTAAAATTTTTTTGTAATTACAGATACCAGGTCATCATTCGAAGAATTTATTTTATTTATTTTTATTATTTAGTTTTTTTTTTTTAAATTCCTAAATTGGGATTTTAGTTTGAAAATTTATTTAACTTATTTTTATTATAATATTAATTTTAAAAAAAAATTTCTTTTTATTTGCGATATATAGGATTTTGACCAAAAGACACAAAAATATTTTTATTTATTTATTTTTTATATACAAGTTTAAATCGTCTTGTGAAAAAGTTACATAGATTTTATTTCGATTTGAAAATATTTTATGTTTAAGGGTTGACAAAACAGAATTAAAAAAAAATTATTATACGCATTTTCTTAATTTAACTGACACTATATAATTTTTTAAGAGGCAAGATTTGTTTTTTTTTTTACACGAAAAGTTTGTTTTTACTGAGGACAAATTTTTGTCACTTTCTACATTAAGCAAAAACTTTAGAAATTTGCATGTTTTTTAAACTGTTTTTTTATGTAGTGTTTACTTTTATCTTCAGATGAATCAAATTATTTATAGTATTTTATTAAATCAAAACTGAAACTGTAATTCTATTTCTTTAATGATATATTTTTGTCACAATCAAAAGTTTATGAAATTAAATTAAAAATTTTTTTTTCAATGTTACCATTGGCAGGGAAGATTTCAATAAAATATGAATTTTGTTTTTAATTTTCACAACACAAATTTTAAACTTCCCTGTCTTTTTTTTTAGTTGCCAATTTTCTTTATTTTTCAATGAATAATTTACTTTTCTTTAATTTTTCGCTGATTTTTGTTTATTGACGTGAGTCTCACCAATATTTTTTACGATTTTACTTTACACAGCCGGCTTAACCGAGGTGATCATCTACAGTTCTCCGGACGACAAAAAGAAGAATAGGGGTTTCTGTTTTTTGGAGTACGAGTCACACAAAGCGGCGTCCTTGGCTAAACGCAGACTTGGTACGGGTCGCATGAAAGTATGGGGGTGTGATATTATCGTTGACTGGGCTGATCCTCAAGAGGAGCCCGATGAGCAAACAATGTCCAAAGTAAGTTACAAAATTTATTCAAAATAAAATATCAAATAAACAAACCTCAAGGTTTTTTACACTAAGTTTTTTAGAGACGATTTAACGAATTTGCGAATTACATTTAAAAATAATTCACTCACTTAATAATTGAATTTCTTAAGAATCAATTATTTGAAACAGTAATTTTAATATATTTTAATATAATGAAATTTTAGCAAAAAATTGAATTTAAACATCGATTAATCATCAAATTATTGAATTTGTAAAGAATTGAATTTTTTGAGATAATTAAAATTTTTATAGACTTAAATAATAGAATCTAAAAATAACTGAATTTGATATTGATATTTTTCACAAATTCAATTATCTTAAACTATTTTTTAATTAAAAATTTTATGAAATTTAATAATTGTTTAAAATTAAAAATAAATCAGCAAATAAAATTACTAGAAATTTCAATTTAAACTCACTTGAAATTCAATTATTTTCAAAAATTTTAATTTAAAAATCTTTTAAAATTTTCCATCTAAAACTTTCTGAAATTTAATAATTTTAACTATAACTCTCCCAAAATTAAATTATGTTTAATTATTTCTATAATATTCTTTAAAAATTCAGTTATCTGAAAGTATTTTCAATTAAAAACGTTTGAAATTCAATTTTTGTCTGTAATTTCTAATAAATTCTTCATCAACAGAAATCACCAAAAATTTAAATTAAAAATATATTTTTTAAAATTCAATTATTTAAAAAAAATTTTAAATAAAATTACAGCTGTTTAAATTTGCAGAAAATTTATTTCAAATTTAAAATCTTCTGCAATTCAATTATTTAAAAAAAATCAGAATTTAAAAATCTGTAAAATTTAATTAATATCCGAAATTATTTTAACAATTAAAACTGAAAACTGTGTTAAAATTTCAAATTCGAATAAATTGTTTAAATCGAATATTTTTAATCAGTTGAAATTTGATATAATTGAATTCAAAAAATAATTGAAGTTTATTGTTAAAAAAGTTAAATTTCTAATTCTATTCGATTTATAGATTCTAATTAACTAAATTACACGGAAAGAAAATAAATATAAAATTTTATATTAAAGTATATTTTTAAGACGTGGAAAATATGCTAAAAAAGTAAAAAAAATTTCATATAACAATTCTTACATAAAAATTGAAAATTTTTCAATTATGTACTGTAATACTTAAACGTTTTCTTTTCTGTTTAGGTTCGTGTTTTGTATGTTAGAAATTTGACTCAAGACTGCACAGAAGAGAAACTTAAGGAATGTTTCGAACAGTATGGAAAAATTGAAAGGGTAAAGAAAATCAAGGATTATGCTTTTATACATTTTGAAGATAGAGAAAATGCCATGAAGGTAAGAAAATAATTTTCTTTATTATTTAATATATATATAATGTAGATTTAGAATAATTCTCATTTTCAACTTATAAAAAATTTATCTTTTTAATATTAAAAGTAAAGATTATTCATTTGTCATTAACGATGTAGACTTAGGTTAGAAAGTCGACAGTTAAATTGTTTGGTTTCTTTGAGAATAATTATTTTTGCTTTCAGGCGATGCGTGAAGTAAACGGTAAGGAAATGAGTGGGTCCCATATAGAAGTCTCCCTCGCGAAACCACCATCCGACAAAAAGAAAAAAGAAGAAGTTTTGCGGGCCAGGGAACGTAGAATGTATCAAGTGTTGCAAGGACGTGGCGGGTGAGTTCTTTATTTATTTATTTTTTTATATTAATAATAAAGTAGTCAATAAATTGACTGCAAAAGTCAAATTATATCTTATACATTAAATATGTAGGCCTGAAGTCTTTCATATTTTTTTTAAATTTCTTCTTTTGGTATCGTCAATTTTGAATTTTCAAACAAAATTTGTTATTTTCTAAAAAAATTTGTAAACAAATTCAAAGTTTTTCAATATTTTATAATTTAATACTTGAAATGTAACTCTTTCATTGTCTTTGTATTTGATAGAATAAAATAATGAAGATAATTTGACACTAAATGTTAATGAATAATTTTATTTAAATAAAAAATTGTTCTTAATACATCGAAATAATATTAATAAATTGTTTTCATTTTTCAGAAGTTCTCCGTCACATCCTAGTATGATGGGCGGCCCAATGGTACCACGGGGACCTGGTCAAGGACCTCGTGGTACTAGTGCGGGTATGCGAGGACCTATGGGACGTGGCGACTATGGTAAGTTTTTCATATCAATATTTCAATATAAATCAAATATAGTCGTGCAAAAAGCTAACCAAATTTTTTTTCAAGTTATATAATTCTCTGATTATAAATAAATTTTAAATATCGTTCAGAATTTTTTTCAAAAATTTTAATAATATTCTTTCCGAATAAAGCATTTAATATTATTGTCAATATCCAATTTTTTCCCATTTTCGTAAAATTTTCAGAAAAATTCCATAAAAAGATATTAATTTTATTTAATTATAATTTTTAATGTAAAATTATTATTAACTTTTTACAACTACTATTAACAATTCGTTACTTTATTTTATAACAGTTTTTTTTTATAATTAATGTTCACATTAATGTTTCCAATATTTGCGAATCAGAGGATTATATAAACGTTTTTAATTAATTTTGATCTAAACAGTTATGCTTTTTATGTCCCATTTGATTTAATTGTTAATGTATTTATTTTAATTATCAATTTTGTTTAAATTCACTTTTTTTTTTATTTTAATTACATGTGACAAAGCCTGACTAGATTATCAAAAGTATTTATTAAGATTGAAATGTGTTAAAAAAAATATATATATAAAAAAACAGAAAAATTAATTTATAAGTATTTAAAAATATTAAAAGTTGAGTTAAAATTTACTTTGATAAAAATTTTTCTATGAATTTTAATATATGAATAAGAAAGACAATATATTCATGGTTTCGAAATAAGAGTATTAATAATTGAAGCTTTTTTCTAAATTATTTCTGTGATTTCAGACGAACTGCAATTTAAAAAACTTTATATGAAAAACTTTAGGTGAAATTGACATAACACAAACGTCCCGCATGCTTATGGGAATTTTTTCACTATCTCACTACATACCTTAGCTTACGCGCATGATAGAAAACTTTTGAAAAGAGTGAAGAATTTTTAACATTTTTTTGTTTTTTCTTTTTTAATTAACGAGTGAGATAAAAATCCTTTGTCTTATCAATCCAACATCCTGTTATTCCTTATTTCATTTTATTTTGTTATAAACTCTTTTTGTTTTGTTCTAAAAATTGTTTTTTGAATTCAAAGAAATGTCAATTTTTTTTTAAAAATTTAATACTTTACTCATAAAAAATGAATTTACAATTTCCACTATAGAATTTGTGAAATAAAAAAAAAATTAAATTATAATTATTTGGAAAAAGGTTGTAGTGAGAGAGTGCTCATAATTTATTAATTCAAATGAGCAATAGAGTCGAATTTACTATTTCTTAAATCGTTTAACTTTTTTTTTTTATAAAAATAACCAAATACAATTATTTATTAATTAATAATCAATGATTTCAAAATTAATAATTGTTAATAATTTACAAAATTGTTAGAATTTATAATTAGTTAAATAATGCAATTAATAACAAAAAGCCAGTAATATTTCCAAATAACACTGCAAGCAATCATTAAAGGCGCACCTTATTACCTTACCACTACCACTTCCTGTTTCATCTGTTTTTTTTCTTTTTGTCACAAAATTGTTGCATGTGTATTGTTTGTTTATTTGATTGTATACTCATTTTTTTGGTGTCCGAGCGGTTATTTTGTTATTTATTATAAGTGGCAGTATATATTTGTGCACTATTTTTTTTTTGTCAGGGAGAGTTGTATTCTTTTTTTTTCTATATATTTTATTAATGTGAGCGTGTTTTTTAATTATAATATTATATTTCCAAAATCGGTATGTATTATCAATAAACTGTCTGTTTACAGCTCTCAAGGAAATAGGTAAGCCGCGACAATTATAAATGATAATTGCGTCACTTTATATACTTATGTTGGTAGTTTACCCTTTTTTTAGTTGAAACTCTCAGCACTCCCTTCAAAAATGTACACTTTATGGAATTGTGGAAAATTTTTATTTTTTCAAAACAGAAACAAAAATATTTTCATTTATTTTTAATTTTTCCAAATTTCAGAAGTTATGAAATACAATCATTAATCTTTTTTGGATAGAATTTTTATTTTATTTAATAACTGAAAATTAAATTTAATATTTTGAATTCAAAAATAATTTAAACTTTTATAAAAAATTTTAATCAAACAAAAATTTCGTTATAGTATTTTTTAAACTTTAAGCAAATGTGATTCAAACTAACATTTCGAATTTTTGGCCAATTCGGTGCTTTAATAAATTCATTAAAATAGTTAACTTAAAAATTACAAAGCGAAATTAAAAAAAAGAAATTTTAAACTTTTTGAAGAATTAAGGGACAAAAAAATTAACACCAAACGGAAAGATGACTTTCCACAATCCATACAGAGTCCATTTTTTTATGAAACGTGATGGTGGTAGGGTAATCTTTGCGAATTTTTATTGGATCTATTTTTATTTACAAATAACGAGTTTAAGTTTATTGGTTATTTTGCTCAAGAAAATCGCGTTGTCTTGCAATGTTTTTTTATTTTATTTTTGTTTAATTACTTAAAATAATTGGAATTTTTTTTTTAGTTTATTTATTGGAGTTTTTCAAAGAAAAAAAAAATCGAGTTCAAAATTTTGTTCTCTTTTCCCGGCATGCCTTTTTCATTTTCTATAGAAAAAAAAAAAAAAATTTGTTTCTTTTTCATTATTATTGCAGTAAGTTTTTTTTCAATTGGATAATATTGTGGCTAAATTTGGGTCTATTTGTAATGTGTGTTTTTATAGATTATGATTACGACTATTACGGTTATGGGGATTATCGAGGTGGCTACAGTGATCCATATTACGATGACTATTATCGATACGAAGATTACTATTTCGATTACGCGCCGCCTCCGCCACCTGCCAGAGGGAGAGGCAGGCAGCCTCAACCGGTGGGTCGCCTTTTTTAATGGTTTTAAAAAGTCGTTTTCGTTCTTTGAAACGTATATTACTTTTTTTGATGATAATTAGCAGTAGTTTGATTGTGGCACAGTGTTCGCGGATACCCCAATTTTTTTTTTTTCTTTTCAACAATTCTAACTTTGTACTTATACTGCCTCCACAAAAATGTCCTTTAACCTGTACACTAAAAAAAGAAAGAAAAAAGAAAAGCCTGTGCGTGTCATTAACTTCTTTGGCTATAATTGTTTTGTGCCAGCTTGGATTAATCGCTATTAATCAAACGCAGGAATGCAAGGTTACGCCCATAGTCGCACTAATCATTTTTTTTTATTGCACTGCATCCACAGCACAGAAATAAAAATAGTTCCGTGTCACTGTTCGGGATTTACAGTTCTTTGCTAGGAGTCTCTACATGGAGAAAACTGGAGTTAAAAATTTAGAGGCTTCAAATTTAGATTTGATCATTAATGATTTTTAAGAAGTATTTCGAAAAAGCCGTGCTCACATTATTAAACATTTTTTTTTTCAATGTTCCTCTGAACAATAAATTTAAAAATCAGAAAGAAAATTAAACGAAACTGCAAAAAGATTGAGGAAACAATTTTACAAAAATTTTTACAATATTCATTCCAGGCGCATGATTATACCATAAAATTCGTTAGTTCGGATTTTTATTTGAAAGAATTTTATATTAGATAGAATTTTTATTTAGACCAATTTTTATCTTTCAAAATAGCATTTAAGAGAATTTTTTTAAAACTAATTTTTATCAACATTTTACGTAATTTTTACGTAACAATGTTTATGATCAACGATTGAAAAAAATTATATTTTTCACTTGGAAAATAATATAATTTTTTGATTACAAATTATTTTCTTTTAGGAATATGTTGATCGAGAAATGTTATAAATTTTTTTTTAGACAAAAAATTAGGATTTGAACAAAAACTGATTTTTTTCTTATAAATCGATGATTATAAACATTGTGAACTTTACCGACGTAAGTTTTAGGTCATTTTTATTTGACAGAATATTCATTCAAAAAAATCCCTCTTTACTCAACTATTTATTTAAAAGAATTCTAATTTAACCGAATTTCATTTTAGCAGAATTCTCATTCAACAGAATAGTTTCAAGTGATTCGAATTTTTAAATGCTTAAATTTCTATTTTTCTTTTGGTCGAAATTTCAAATGTCCAAACAAACAATCGATTGAATGGATTTGGCGCGAATTTAAAAATTAAGCAATTAAACTGTATTTTAAAATAAATACTATTTAATTGACTTTTAATAATTATTTGATACAAATAAATATTTATTTGATAATAGTCAAGTAACCGATTATTTTAAGTAAATAAATATTTTTATCAGTGTGCAAATAAAAATTGTGTGAAATGGAAATTTGAGCATTTAAAAATTCGAATCAATTAAAATTATTCTGTTGAATGAAAAATGAGAATTCTGCTAAAATAAAATTCGATTAAATTCAAATTCTTTTAAATAAAAAAAATAAGCAAAAAGAAATTTAGTAAAATTAAATGTTTTGTGAAATGAAAATTTTGGTTCCTAAAAATTACTTCGCAGAAGTTCACAACGTTTAAGATGAACAATTGTAGGCAAAAATTGTATTTTCCAGATGAAAAATATATTTCTTTAATATTGTTAATCATAAACGTAGTAAATTTCATCAACCTAAAATTCTGTTAAATAAAACTTGGTTTAAAAATAAATTCTATTAAATATTAATTCGAAAAATGAAAATTCGTCTAAAATATAATTCTATCCAATAAAATTATTTTAAATGGAAATTTTAACTAATGAATTTTATGAGATAATAATGCGCTTGATTGATTTTAAAAATTTCTCTCTGCAATTTTTATATTGACTGTAAATTTTGAATAATTATGGATGAAATGTTGAAAGGGCTATTCTATAATATATTAAAATTTGCTTTACCCTCTAAATAGTTGAGCTATCACTCCATTTTTCTCCGCGTAGTCTTTGTACATAACTTTCCTGTGTGAACGTCATAAATATATGCAAACGAGTCCCTTTGATTGGTATGCATTCTCTCTTTTTCTTACTTTCATCTCACTATTTCCTTTCTGTTTTTTTCTCCTAAAAATTCCTAATACCTGTAACATTTTCCCTTCCTCTCATCCAACTATATACATATGAAAGTGCATACCAATTATTAATTGATTAATTCCCCTTTTTAACTTTGACTAACTTTTCCTAACCCGAACACATTGCCACTTTCAAATTGCTTGTAGATCATATCTGAGCCATAGTAGACCCATTCTAAATTTCAGCCAAAATTCAAGCCGGGAAAAGCAATCAGAGAAACAAAAGGATTCATTATGAAAAATAGATCAAGTCTTGAGTGTTGAGTGCGTAAAACGAAAAAACGGCAAATGAATAAGAGAAAAGAGTTATATGAGAAAAAAAAGACAGGAATCAGGGTGGCTACAATTTTTTGGAGGTGTTTCACGAGAGAGAAAGAGATATATATTTATATGGAGAAGATTCGTATTTTATTATCATACAGGACTCCCTAACACTATCCACGAAACATTGATCTTCATTTCCAGGAGAATCCAGGAGTTTATCATGTTTTCTCATTCACAATGTTACTGATAATGGTTTACATTTTTATTTTTTGTTTTGTTTCACACATGTGTTTAATTTATTTTTAAATTTTTATTTTTTTTCGTTTAACCACTTGTTGAGGAAGATTTCCGATGGCTCGTGGCTCGGATATGATACACTCTTCTCTATGTATTATGTCAAGTTACAGGGTTTTATCGATAATTTTTTTTGGGAGCATTGGGCACCCTGTGAACACCGCAACTGTGCCAACATTTTCTAATTCATTTCATCTGCAATCAACATTTTTTTTCCAAATCTTGTACATACACGCTATGTACATAATCCACATCTATGGTGTGGTCCTGTTTTACAAATATTCTTAACTTGACAAAAAAAAAAATATTTTTATATCTATTACTCTTTTCCTTTACACTATCTCGTGAAAAGAAACGAAAAAAAAATTTATTCTCTTTTACACTAAATTCTTTCTCTACTTGATATATAATGTGACGATTTTAATAAAAAGAGTTTCTTGCAGGATGGAAAATATATAAAGCTTCCGTGCATTTTAATATCTTAAATGAGAATCAAGAAAGGAAAAATAGGTTTCAGAGATGGACATTTTTTTCATTGTTATGAAGAGAAAATATTTTTACTCGCGGGAATTTTTTCCCCATATATATAATATACGGGTATAGAAATTAAAATGGATTGTAGATTATAGAAGTTATGCACACACACACACACACCTCGAAATGAAATCAAGACCGATGGAGATAATAAGTCATAAAAAAAATAAGTAACGTGCTTAAATATTTTTTATATTATGTGAAATGCGTGCAGGTGTGACTTTTAAATAGATAGATAAAAAAAAAAGGGGAATGAGATGAAAACATATTTACACGATTTCAGCTGATACAGCATCAGTGACACGTTTCACAGCTCACAGCTACTGCTTTTTCGCTTCGGCCAATACTATTTGCTTATGCTTTAAAAAATTTTTTTTTTTATTATTTCTTGAAATTGCTGCTAAAAAAAACCGCTTTTGCTTATATTTCGCGATTGTTTCATTTTATTTTTTTTAAATAGCCAATGCATTATTTTATAGATTGTGTTTCGCTTAAAAATTCGCCCAACAAATAAATGCAATACGAATTATTCGCTTATCCATACACTTTTCCTTCATATTTTTGAAAATAACTCTGCTATAATTCTGCTGCTGCTGTATTGTAAAAGATTTTGATTAGTAAAATTTGGCTCTAGGCAAATTTTTTTCATAACTTTTTTCTATTATACATCTACTTCTATACAATATATTTCTTGACCATCTTTCGCAAAAAAAACAAAAAAAAAAAATTCGTTTCACTTTTTTTCTAAACAGGCCGATTGGTTAATAAATACTGATCGACCTCACGTTACCCCTCTGTCTTTCAACATATATATATTATTCAAATATAAATATCTATTATAATATTTATGTCACAGGGTTACCATTGCATTTAACAATGTCAATAAAATGTTGGCATTTTATATATTTATATATATATGTGTGTATCTTTACATATAAATGTTATATTAATTTATATATAAAACTTTATTATTGTTGATGTTTTTTTTAAAGTCCTTGATATTTATTATATATTGATACATTATTATATATATTTCTAATATAACTTTATGATGTATATGCAAGTGGGGAGCACTACAAAATTAAATAAATGAGTTTATAATATTGGTTGATAAAAAATGAATTTAATATGTTGTCTCTAAATAGTATATATAAAAAAATAATTGAAATTTAAAAAGCACATGGGGTAACGATTGGGTGTGTGTTGTTTGGTCAGGCTGGTCGTGGGCGTGGAGTGGTGGCGCGTGGCCGGGTCGGTGGCCCCCAAGCCCGTTTACCAGCCAGGCGGGGACACAACCCCGTAACCTCAGGGGCCCGTGGGGCCCTGCGGCCAACCGTTCGTGGGGGGGTCCGCGCCAAGGGAAGTTTACCAGGTGAGGATGGTCTGTATCTCCACAACGATTCATCTTTTTATCTTATTTATTTATTCATTTATTTATTCATTTATTTATTTTCTATTTATTTAAAAAAGAAAAGAAAAAAAATGATAAATATAGAAAAGAAATTCGTCTAACTTAGTCTACATAATCGCACCTTAACTTTTTTCTTGACACTTACATATATGGCTAGTCGCACCTGCCTTTTGGAGAGAGCTTGTATGAAATGTATGTATAGGGTTATTCCGGAATAAATCGAACATTATAATTTGAAATTTATATACATCTTTCATTTTTTAAACGGTTGCGTATTTTCAAAGTCATTTGGGTTTGAAGTTCTCTTATAGAAAATGAAAGATGTTTTTTTTGCTCAATTTTAAATAAGAGCTTAATATTTGTGACGCTCCATGAGAAAAGGGACCTCAAAGGTGAAAAATTTTAGGTTATGTTTGTGATTTTTGGATTGAAAATAGTCTTCATTAGATCCATAAAATATTCAATAGAAATATTAAGGCTAAAACTATAAAGAAACATAACCTAAATTTTTTTGCGTTAAAAGTCCCTTTTCTCGTGGAGTGTCACATGTACGATTCATTTTGGAAGTACCTTGTATACGTATATGTGCATATATATATATATTTGTTACAAGCTCATACAATTTACATCGCTTGCACGATTTTGACTCGCATCTTTCGTTTTGACATTTAACGAGAGCCGAGCTTGTAATAGATATGCATATATATTAAACTCTAAATCTGAATTTAGTAGAATTTTTAACTATAATTTGGTTTTGTCGCGATGCTCTACAAGCAGTATAACAGGTATAATAAAAATTGGTGTAAAATTATTTATAGGTTAGAAATCCGTTTGAAACAAAATCATAACATTTCCTTTTCCCTCGAGATATTAGTTTGTGTAAAATTAGATGTTGATTAAAATTATTTAATTTTGAAAAAAGTTTAAAGATTAAGATTGTCGAACAGTCTCTGAGATTTTTTGTCATTTAATTATCGCCCTATAGAAACGACACTAAACGTGAAAATGATAAACATTGATTTTAAAATACTTTTTTCTCGAAATACGGACAATTTTTACAAAATCGGCCAAAACACACCAAGGATCCTTATCTCATAAATTTCCTAAATCCGAAAGATTGTGAAAATCTATACAAAAACGCGATTGTAAAACGAAAAGTAGGAAAGTAATATAATGACAGCTTTATTACGTCCTGCAGCCGTTAGGTGGCAGAAGCATGCAGGGAGCACAATGTCGCAACTGTCATATTACTTTTCGTTTTACAGTGGCGTTTTTGTATGGATTCGCACAATCTTTCGGATTTAGGAAATTTATAAGATAAGGATCCTTGATGCTTTGGTCGATTTTGTAAAAAGTATCCGCGTTTCGAGAAAAAAGTATTTTAAAATCAATTTTTATCATTTTCACGTTCCGTGTCGTTTTTATATAGGGCGATAATTAAATGCCAAAGAATTTCAGAGACCGTTCGACACACTCTTAATTGATTTTATTGTCATGAGCATAACCTCATTACCTAAGGCTGTAAAATAACTCGTAGACTGTAAGAAATCTTTATGCAAATAATCCATGTATATTATAATTTGTAGTTGTATCAATATTTGTAAATTTGATATATTTAAAAGTTGAACATAACCTTATTAAATATGGCAATTTTATACAAATTTTGATACAACTATAAATTATACATGGATAATTCACATAAAAGAAAGGAAGGAAATATGATTTTAATTCAAAAGAATTTCTAACCTATATAAATAGTGAGAAATATAACTCATATTTAAATATTTACACTAATTTTTGTCATACCTGTTATTGGTTCTACTCTCTAAATATAAATCATCAAAATCTCGTTGATTCAAATTTAGGGAATAGAGCACCAACTTTTTTTTTAAATGAATTAATTAAATTTTACCAATGAATTAGTGAAAAAAATTCTGTTTTTTACTTATTAGTAAAATGTAACTAATTTGTATATCAAAAAGTCTCTAATTTAAATTATAGTTGAAATTTTTATCAATTCAAATTTAGTGTATATATTACTATATAGACATCATATACATATGTACATATACTTTAATACATATCTTGCTGAGCGAGCTTGCTTTCAATTGTTTTCATGTTTCTTTTCGCGTTACCTTTTAACGAATATATTTTTATAATAACGAATGAATGCGAATTTTTGTAAACGCAGTTTGATAAGGATGTCAATCGTTATAACAATAATGTGTATGCGCAGCAGTGCACTCTAATTACTTGGTTTTATTGTTTAAATTATACTATACATATAGTTTGAATCTTTACATATTCTAAATTTGCGAATTTATGGAATTTTACTGATACACATTGAAAAATTTTTCTTTCTTGTATTTTAGTGAAATGACATTTTATTATAGTAATCAGATCTTTAAATTTGAATTAGTGAAAACTCATTTAACAATTCAAATTAGTGAAAATTCGTATTAATTTTGATTTATTTTTTTTAGTAGAAAAAAAAATTTGAATTGATAAATATTTTTCTAAAAATTGATGGTTCCCATGAAATAAGTGGATTCAGCTAGTCCCCCTACAGGTAAATCGAAGTAGATATTGCCGTTGGGACAGACAGTCTGAGCGCCTACTGCACTATTGCACCCTCAATTTGTGAAATTTTTTAATGGACGTCTTTACACTAATTCAAATTTAGAGACAAGCTATTCTTTTTATTAAAGTATAGTCAAGAAGTTCGATTTTAATGGGAAATTTAATAACATTTAATTTTTATTACTTTTTTAACACTCGCTCGTGAGTTTTTTTTAAATGTTGCAATTTTAATAAAGAATGCCTTATTTTTTTTTAAGAAAAAGATTCTCTACAATTTTACCGTGTTGAATTTTCTAAAAAAAGTTTACTGTTTTTTAAATATAGATAGTTGTTTAAAAGAAAATTTTTTTTTCTAAACAAATATCTATATTTTAAAAATAGTAAACTTTTTTAAAAATTCAACACGGTAAAGTTGTGGAAAACTTTTTTTTTTTTTAAAATAAGCCACAATTAATTAAAATTGCAACATTTAAAAAAAAAATCTCACTAGTAAGAAAAAGTAATGAAAATTAAAAGTTATCAAATTTCCCATTGAAATCGAACAATAATAATCGAAACTGAGCTTATTATTCAGAGAAAATAGTTTAAGGAACACTAAATAATAGACATAAAATTTTATGAATTAATTTATTGTTATTATTTTATTTTTATATTTTTAATTTCTTCTTTAAAAATTAATTCTGTCATTGTAATTAAAATTGTTTGTGTTAAATTTTAATTCAGCGAAAAAAACCAACTAAAATGTTGTTTAAAAAGTAAAGAAAATATTTTATGATTTAGGAAAAATATCATAAAAAGCGATATTTTTTAAAAATTTTACTATAATGAAGTTTAGAATAATTTAGTAATGCCTTAAAAATTTTTTTCTAAATTTTAATATAAGTGCATCTGAGATTTTTTAAAGTTTAAAATATTTATTTGAAAATTGCACTTTTCAGCATATTTTCATAAATCATAAAATACATTTATAGAATTTCAATGTAGAAATATAAAAAAAACAAGAAAGAAAAGTTTTTTACTTAGTAAATTCCATATTCTATATTAATGATTCCAAAAAATGAGTTTACAATTTTTTCCATATTTCATGCTATATCACTTGTCAAATACATTATTTTTCCAATTAAACAATTCATTAAAAGCATATTTTCCAATTTAAATACTGAGTCAATTATCTGGCTTACAATAATTAAAATTAAATAATATTTATGTAAAGGTAAACAAAAAGTTACAAAAAAAAGAAAATTAATATAAGGAAATATTGAACATTTTTTGAAAAATAAAAAGTAAAAGCAGTTTATTAGTATATCTTTTTTGAACGAGATTAAATTCAGATTCACCAAGTGGCTAGTGTATTTCTATGCATTACAACAATTGTCTTTTCCCACCCATCTTCCTCCAAGGTATTTGTGACGTATCCAAGCAATACTAATAACATGCGATTAGTAGATTATTTAGATAATAATAATAATAATAATAATAATAATAATAATAATAATAATGGAGCATAACCGCTGATTCTAGAATGAGTTGATGTGAGAAGTCAAAAGCTTTTATTTTTTTGCCTCTTCAAAACTTTTATGTAGAATATTTCATTTTAACAGTTTTACAATAACATAACTTTTTATATTTATAATAATAGCTCATTGCAGACTCAGCTCAAATAATAATGTATGTTAAATTAATCCTGAAGTTACAACTTTTCATTTGTTCTAAATGATTTTTTAATAACTCTCTACTAACATGGTGTATGAATTAGATAAATCCTATTTAAAAAAAAACTATTTTTTATTAAGATCTCTACAATACAGTAGAACTTCAATATTATTCAAACTCTTGCACTTATATAATTAAAATTTTCTTTTTTTTTTCAAAGCATAATAATTAAACATTTTTTTATTCTATAAAAGGAGTTGTACTGTATTTCAGATATAGTAACTTTCATGCACTAATTAAAAGATCGTTTAGAACGCAGTCTTGACTGCTGTCTGTATTTTATTAACCTTTTTTTTCAAAAACAAAAAATATATATATAGTAAACATACTAAAATTTTTAAAATCTTTAAAAATTCAATCATTTATTAATTGCTGCAAATTATTTGTCGAAAACATTCAATAACAAAATTTATTAATAAAGATTTACAATTTCATCATTTATTGTCCATATTACTAATAAAATAGTTGAAATAGCTAGTAAGGTTTTTAGAAAAGTTTTATCATTTACGAGGTAATATTTACGTTATGATAAAAAGAAATTAAATTTTAATTTAAAATTATTTTACGCATAATTTTTTTAAAGTATTTGTGCTAAAAAAAACTTGAAATTTGATACTCGACATCGGACTTAATTCTTATTGACCTAGAACAAAATTTTTTGATTCAAAATGGTATTATATAATTTTTTCGACTTTTATTTTAAATAAATTTAGTTTTATATAATAAATAATGGGCGTTCTATGACTGATAAATCACAAATATTCTTTACATTTTGAAAATGTTCAGGGTGTAAAATAACTGTGACAAAAAGTTTTGAATTTGTTTTTCAATATTTTACAAGATTTGTACAGTTAAAAACTAAAATCATTTAATGTAAAAACAACAATATTTATATTTTTTTCAATCTAACATGTTTTTGAAAAAATTTTGTGCAGTTTTGATATCGACTCTTATTAAAAGAATTCTTACATAAAATATCAAAATCTTCCATCTTAAAAATTAATAAAAAATATAATTATAATTTTGCAAAATAAATTTACCTCGTAAACTGATATTACTTGCTAAGTAAAAAATACGTATTTTGTTTTCATTTTAATAACTTTGAAATGATATAAAATAATTGTTTGACTTTAGTTGCAAAATAGAAAACAGGGATGGAAATTGAAATTGTAATAATTTTTAAATCATTCCTGTCTCAATGTTTATTTTTATGAAGAAAAATTATGATGATGTTTTTTTTTCATAATTAAAATAATTTAAAACCAGTTTATAAAAATGAAAAATTGTTTTAAAAAGATTTTAAACCGCATTAAAATTTTTTTATTCACTTTTTTAAAAATAAATTAATTATTCAAAATTCGAGTCAGTATTATTTTGATACAAAATTTTTCGTAAAAATTGTTATATTGTAAAACCGGTGATAATATTGTTTTGTACAACGATTAAAATTCAAAATATAATAATTGTACAGAATAACATTATCACCGATTGTACATTATAACAAAATTGTTACCATAATAATTTTATGTCAGTGCTATTCCATGAGTATTTTTATCACTTTTCGGAGTAACCTCACTAAATTAAATGAAACACTTTTTTTTATAATATTTATTAATATAAAGGTTCAAAATAACCACTTTTTAAGTAAAAACAGTTGTTTATTTAAAAGATACAACGATAAATAATAAAAAAAAATCACTTTTTTCTGTTGCACCAAATGAATTGGTTTAAAGATCAAAATTTTCCTTATTTTTCAAGCTATAGTACCGCACAAGAAAAATAAGTTTCTTCGAAATGGTTATCTCACAATTTTTGTTTTCTTTTTTGTATTTTATTTACTGTGAAACGTCTGCTATCGCTAAAAAAAAAGTGTTTCATTTAATTTAGTGAGGTTACTCCGAAAAGTGATTAAAAAAAAACTCATGTATTGGAACATCAAAATACCGACCTCAAATTTCCGGAGATTGAAAAGTTTTTACTAAAAAAAAATTAGGTCCAAAAGGATTTCGATTTCCATTCCTACTAAAGTTCCCTATAAAAAAAAGTTGTAACATCAGAAGTTGTGAATAATAAAGAAAAAAAAATCGAGTAGAATAATAAATAGCTAATAAACAAAAAAAAAAAAAAAAATTCGTTGATTATTACGATATAGTAGGCGTATAATAGAGAAATAAAATGAAAATGATGATTTGCCTTTTTGACGTTTTTTTTAAATATGTTTCTACAGCAGGTAAACGAAAATTTGACGGGGGTCACCAGAACCAGGGGGAATCTAAACGTCGCTTCCAGAGCAGCTGGGGAAACCAGCCCCTTGCCCAACAGCCATTGGGATATGGATTGGCGAGTGTAAACGGTGGCGGTAGTGGTGGCGCTGGGTCTGGTGACGAACCGAAATGGTACCAAGACAGCTATCAATCGTGGAGCTAACTTCTGCCAGCTTGCAAATGAACGAGCGTTATTCGTATAATAAACGATCCATCGTGTGATTTCGGGGTTGGGGGACAAGAAAGTTCAATAATAAAATTGAGAAAAGCGTGCGTGTGACTATGCGAGAGAGAAAAAATGGAGAATGAGAGAGAAACAGTGAGAAAGAAGAAAAAGAGAGATCCGGAGAGAGAGAAAGAGAGAGAGAGAGAAAGAGAGATACAAACTGTTTGTAAAAGTATATTAAATATTATTGTTCCGATAAAATGTGAATTGTAAATGTTTTTTGATGAAATGCAGCACCGCGCTCTGCGCCGCCACCATCGCCTGCTGTGTTGTGATTATGTACAGTGATGTGCCACTGGGACTGTATTATTTTTATCGGAGTGACCACCCACCCCGTACTACTATTACAATACTACTACTCTAAGTAATCGCTAACTGCATTGTCACATTGTTTACTGCCAAGTGAAGAAGATGAAGAAGAAGATGAAGAAAATCGGCGATGCTGACATCCGGATTGTGATGGCACGTATTAATTAAGAGAACTTTTTTGAATGATTGTATTAAGCGATATAGTTGACTAATTTTCATGAGAGAATGAAACAATGTAAGCAAGAAAGTAAGAGAGAAAGGTTTGTAAGAAAGTTCAATTTTTCAGCAAATGTATGAATGAAAGAAATAAATGCCAAGTGGAGTGTCTGTGTGTGTATGTGTGCGTGAAGCGCGCCAAGCGCGATTAGACCTTCTATTGTTGGTCTATAATGTGTACAGTCAGTGAAACTATTATTATTATTAAGAGTCAGGAAAGTTTTAACGAGATAAAAGAAAAAATGGAGAGTAAGAAAATTTGCTAGCCGCAACTTGTGTGAAAGTTTCTGCGATGCGATTGTGTCTCCCATGGTTTGTCCAATCGTCAGAAGAACAGAGAGCGGGAGAAGGAGTGAGACGAACGACCGATTGGTTCGAAAAGAAAGAAATATTGCTCATGAATGAGAAAAAACCCACTTGTACAGTAAATTTTCAGAACCCAAAAAAAAAATATTAAGCGAGAACACTCGTTTCTAAATTGTAAACTATATATTTATTCGCTATATAGGAGCGCATTGAAAAAAAAAAACGAGAACTGAGAAAAGTTTGATGTTGTCCACCTTTAAAAGGATAGGAAAACGCGAGAGAGTTGGAAAAAAGAAAGCGCGAAATTTTTTTTCACGATTATTGGAAAATTTTTTAAAAAGTCAAACACATCCTTTTTACACAAATACACTTCATATACACGTACACACTCATACACATTCATGCAATAGATGATGAAAAACAAAATGAAAAAAAAAAACAAAGAAAAATCGATGACTGGCTACCGGATTGATAATGATAGAATTTACAGATTGAAATAGAACGCTAGTGCGCAATTTTTATTCAAAATGCATTCATAACACATACAGCACACACTTTTTTGAGTGTTGACTTATTGTTATTGTTAGTCTGTTAGTTAATTAGTAAGAGTTGTAAGTGCGGGCTGTAGTTGGTCCCTGTCCCTGGAGCCCAGACAACCCCCTGTTCTGGAGATTATTTTAACGAAAAATGGAATAAAAAGAATAAAAAAAAACGTATAAGAAAAATGACACCACTCGATGTAAAACACGCACCCCCCGAAGATTGAAAAAAATATATATAGACCGATAAACAGGAATGAAAATATAAGACTTTTTTTATGTGATTTCACATAAATAAAGAAGTCTCATATATCCGATCCTCCGTTTATTTGAAAAAAAAATCCGGCTCAAGACCAAGAATCGCATCAATTGTTCGAAAGTATTAAATTTTCATTTATAAAAATCATTCGTGAAGATTTTTTTCATTTTCACAAATGATTCTCAAAATTTCATGAAAATTTAACTCCCCCTCAACAATTGAGCCATACAAACTGTTCTCAATTGCGAATCAATTATTGATCCGCAATTGTGAAAATTAAAAATAAAAAAAAAAAACTAAAATAAATAAGAATTTAAAAGAAGAAAAAAAAATGGTAAAACAAATCGTGAATCCGAAAACACTTATAGGCTTTCATTATATGCGTAATATGACACCAGTAACGAAAGAGAATAGAAACATCATAAAGGGAAAGCAACAGAATCAGTCTGGACGAAGATAAATTGCTCGCAAATCCTCTTTATATTTATGAGCATTTTGTTAATCTTTATTCATGTTTTACGTAATTCTAATGATTTCTTCTTTATAAATCGCCGCCGTATTGGCTGCAAAATGAGAAAAAAAAATGAAAAAAAAAATATGTTCTTCACCTAGTAATAATGTTGAGCTCCAAATTCCTACTCCCTCAAAACCCTCCTCCCCCCCTTGAAACTCCAAAAAAAACAACCATCTGAATCCTAATCCTAAAAACAAAAAAAAGCAAAAAAAGAAAAAAACAAAAAAAAAAAAACTTTTTCGTATCAATAAGGCCCACTCGTGATTAATCAGGACCGTCACAGAGAAAAGCCTCTCATCAAAATATTTACTCGAAATTCTTTTAATTTAGTCATTGAATCTGTCTCTTTATACCTATCTTCTAATTCTACGTACCCCCCCCCCCCCCCTCTCTACTCTATTTATAAAAGCATAATATTGAGGATATAATAATTAATATTAACAATACGATAAGAATGAATATCGCTAATCATACTGAGTGGGTTTTTGTGACATGATAATATTTCATATTAAAATTCTGGTCTTTGTCGAAAAAAAAATTGTAATAATTATAAACGGCGAGGATTGGTTAAAAAAAAAGTTATACATGTAGAAGAAGCAAAAAAAAAAAATTAAAAAAAAAAAAACAAACCGAGTAATCGGTTATTAAAGAGGATGAGACCGAACTTCGTCCGATGGTGAGAGTAAAGTCAAATTGTTTTATAGCTTTTTAACTGTATCTTTTTTTACACATATTGACAATTTCTATAATATAAAATAATAATATTTTATACTGTTTTTAAAAAAAAAAATTGTACAATCTAATTTTCTATTTAATATGAATGGAATTATTGTCGCTACAGTACAAGATTAATTTTTTTGAAAAGAAAAAAATTTTTCTTTTAAAATGAAAAGAAATGACTTTTGTAACTCTTTGAATCGCCGGACGAAGTTCAGTTAATCCGAATATAGAGGAAAAAAAAGCAAATGGACACACCCACATACACGCGACACACATATATTATGGTAAAATAACAAACACATTGCGCAGATAATATAAGAGTACGGCTTGCGGGGGCAAGGAAGAGCATGTCTGGCAAAGGCGAAGGCAGTTCACGGTGACGAGACTTTAGACTGATCTATAGGTACTAGCGTTACGATTTTGGCCCTCGCCCTGTTTTTAAAAAGGGCGTTCCAATTTGAATGACCCATCACCTATAATCTTCCGTAACACTTTTTTTCTACGACAAAAACGGTGAATATTTTCAAAAAAAAAAAAAAAAAAAAATTCAAGTTGGAACGCCTGGTTTTTTTTTGGGAGGGGGTTTTTAGGTTGCATTTAGGATAATGCACCACTGTGGCTGGCGACGCCATAAGCCATACGCCCTCTTTTACCCGGTCAATGCCCCGCGCTTTTTCGCGGCACACATCCTTTTATTATCGGGAAAAAGAACTATAGGCTCTTCTTATATTTGGTTGACCCGTGTCATGCGGATGTTGTGTGATTTTTTGGGCCGACATGATTCACGTTGATAACGGCTCAAAAACGTGTTTTTTAATTATATATAAATATATTATATATTATATTCCTGCGAATATGCATTTTTTTGTGACGTGATGTTATTTAGCAGTGAGATAGGCGGGAGAAAACGAAATAATTAAAAAAAAAAAAGAAAAAAAAAATTACGGCCACGCGGTATAAACGAAAAGCAACAAAAAAAACATAAAATAAAATAAACGGCATGATGACAAGTTACACAAAAAGAAAAAATAAAAAAAAGTAGAAAAGAAAAAAAAGAAAGCAAAAATACGCAGACGTATCTTTGGATTAAGATTTCGTTCCATCTATCAGCTCCATTATCAAAAAAAAAAAAATTTTTTTTATTACGATTACGATTATTATTACTATTAATTATATAGTAATTATTATGATTATTATTATTATTATTATTGCACGCCAACACACACACACACGTACATACATATATTCAAATTTTTTCCCGATTACTGTGTTTAATGAAAAAAAAGAAAAAAAAATTCCTTTATTATTCTTACTATTCAGCTACCGATTGCTTTGCTTTTTTAATTTCCCGCAATTTAAAAAGTTGCCCCTAATTTTAGTGTGACGTAGTTAAAGATAATGATTTAATTCGAATTAAAAATGATGTTACAAATATGGTTCCTTTTTTTTGGGCTAGGAGCTTGATTTAAAGTGTCAAAGATTTTTGTGTATGACCAGATGTATTCTACATGTCTCAATAAACAGTTGTATGTGAATTACCTTTCTTAATCAGTGTAATTGTTTTTTATTCCATATCCAATCTTCCTTGTGTCAACAAATTAGATAAGACGTGTGTAGAAATTTGTAGAAATCATGGCCGCGGTCTAGAAGTAAAACGATGATCACTAATTAATTGATAATTAATTAACTCCTTCGCAGTCTAATAGAAAAATCGTTTGTGGGCCCAAAACGGTCCAAAAAAATATATCATCGTATTAAAATAAAAGTTTTTGGGGTCGCTGAATCCAAATTTAAGATCAGATTTAAAAAATTCAAAATAGCGGACCCAAGATGGCGGTCAAAAAAAATTTAAAGTTGATTCGATTTGTTCAAAATTTGGCACTCGGGGTTTTTTGGTGTCGCTGAATCCAAATTTGATGTCAGATTTAAAAAATTCCAAATAGCGGACCCAATATGACTACCCAATATAGCGGAAAAAATTTAAAATTGATTCGATTCGTTCAAAATTCGGTACTTAGGGGTTTTTTGGGTCGCTTAATCCAAATCTGACCTCAAATTTGGATTCAGCTACCTCAAAAACCCCCGAGTACCGAATTTTTAAAGAATCGAATCAATTTTAAATTTTTCCGTCATTTAAAATTTTTTAAATCTGACCTCAAATTTGGATTCAGCGACCCCGAAAATCTTAGTATATCCATTGACACTCAAATCGAATTATGTTTAGTATTTTTTTTCTAATGTGGACATACTTGTCCAAAATCACAAAGGTGGCCACAGTGGGCTTTGACTAACTTTAACCCAAATGTACTGGCCCATTTCGGCTCTCTTCAGATATTAATTCCACATTATTTTCTGAGTAATTTGAACGTTAGATGAAAAAAATCGGTGAAGGGATTTACGAATAAAGTCGATTTTTGTGTATATTTAACTTTATATAGTATATTTTTTACTTTGAAACAGTTAAATATTAATCAATCCGATTTCTTATCATGAATCAATTTATGAAGTTGACGACTATTCAATTTAGAAGTGTCAAAATTAAAATTCCATGTTCATTATAATAATCTTGTATAAGAGTGATTCTCCACAAAGCGTACAATTCTATGTTCCTTGTGTTTTTTAAGAAATAAATTGTACATATTGTAATGAATCCAAGTTTGCAAAATTCAGAAAAACTTGGTTGTTAAAAAATATTATTTTTTTAATCTTTTTTTCGATGTTAATTCTTGTCCCCAGTTTTGTGCGTCATGAGAAAGCTTTTTAATGAAACTGAATTATTTCATAAAAATCAAAACAAAATTTAGTTATACTTTTGCATAAGCAATAATTAACTCCCCCAAGTAGATTTATTATGGTAGAAACTAATTTCATAATAAATTTTTTGCTTTTACACCTTTAATGCTCCAATTTTACATAGGGAATCACAGAATCTTCATGGGAAAGCTCACACATATGTAATAAATTCACTAATTATCAATATTTTCTGTTAAATATAGTGTAGTTGCATATAAATGCCGTGAATACGAATCAGACTGAAAATCGCTTATATATTGTTTAAAAAGTCAGTATTAATTGTGCGTCATGGGGTAGCTCTATTCATTAAAACGCATATGTTATTTAGTGGGATTTATATTATGTTTTAATTTTTGTTAAATTTTAAAAATATATTTTGAATAAAAGCAATAACTAAATTAAACGCTACGCGAAAAATTACCCATAAATTCATTATTGCTCGCTCAAAAATATCAAAAGCTAGAAGTCATGAAGAAAATCCGTACTGTGTTTGCCTTTTTTGTTTTGGAAAAACATCAACAATAATTCTAATTAAAGGTGCAACAAATGATTTAGTCATAAGAAATCATTTGTTGCACCTTTAATTGGAATCATTATAGACGTTTTTCCGAAACAAGAAAGGCAAACACAGTAACGATTTTCTTCATGACTTTTAGCTTTTGACATTTTTGAGCGAGCATGCAGTAATAAAATTAAACAATTTTATTAACAAACATTGAGTATTATTTTTGACACTTTTAAATTTAATACTTGACAACTTCATAAAAAATTGATTCATGATTAGAAATCGAATTGATTAATATTCAACTGTTTCAAAGTTAAAAAAACACAAAAATCAACTTTATTCGTAAATCCCTCTACCGATTTTTTTCATCTTAGATTCAAATTACTCAGAAAATAATGGTGAATTAATATCTGAAGGGAGCCGAGATGGGCCAGTACTTTTGGATTAAAGTTAGTCCAAGCCCACCGTGTGGCACGACTTTTTTTGGACATATATGGGCCATCGACTGTCAAGGGGTTAATCAAATAATATTCTTATAGTTCCACTCAAAATGTACAATTTTTATCGTCGGAATTTTAAATTAAATTAATACTTAGATAGCATGTAAGCTTGCAGCAAGCTTGCCGCGAGATATTGCCAACCTTGCACGGCAAACTTACCGCAAGCTTACTGAGAAATCTTACCATTTTTTTTTATATTTACCCAATTTTTTGGTTAGTTCAAACAAAATTTGTTTAATTCAAATAAATATTTATTTGATCTAAATAACTGTTTGGTTTATTTTAATAAATTTTTTGAACAAAAAAAAATTTGATTGAGCTAAATAAAAGTTTGGTTTATGCAACCAAATGTTTGGTTAACTGTATATCAATGCATTTATTTTGTTGATTTAACCAAAATTTGGTTGCTTCAAACGAATTTTTTTCTGAGTGTTGTGCAATCTTGCAGTAACCTTACACTGCATTTTTTCAGTGAACTTACCATGCAAGTTTTCGGTCAGGTGGGACATTTGAAGCTTGCAGAAAGTTTGCCGTGCAAGGTTGGCAAAATTGCGCGGCAAGCATGTCGCAAAGTTGCTGCAAGCTTACGTGCTGTTTGGGTATATATACATAATAATAATTTTTTACAATATATGTATATAATTTAAAAGACGATAAAGATAAAGCAAATAATTTAATTAATATAATAAATATATTAGAAGATAAATATTTCAGTAGCCCTTGATATTACATATCTGGATCACTAATTGAGGTTACTTTCCCGTTTTATTTTTACAGCTGAAAGTACTTTATCAGTAAGTCTTCCTCTCAAATAATTTTGTAGCCAATAAATAGAAATTCATAAAAAAAATCGAATTTCCAGTTATTTTTTTAAACAAAATTCCGTCCTTAAAAATGACCAATTTTTGAAGAATTACCCATGTTAGGTAAGTGTGGGTATATTACTTCGGATTTTTAGCATAGGTTTACATTCGAATACTTGACCATAAGAAAACAAATTAATGAAATTTCGTTTTTTCATTTGGAGATGAAAGTTTGATGATTTAATTTTTCAAATCTTTAAGAATAATATGATCAAGTTGTGAAATATAGGCAATATTATTCCCACATAGCACGACTTCTTGCTGTGAGGTTACTGTAAGGATATCTGTAGGGTTTGTAAGGTTACCGTGTAAGCCTACAGTAAACTTAAGGTCATCTTATAAAACTTCCACCATTACAGTAAGCTTACACATTAAAGCTAAGGTAGGCTTACACAGTAAGGTCGTGGTAAGTTTACATGGTACGGTTGTGGTAAGCTTACACGGTAAGGTTATTGTAAGCTTCCCGTAAGGTTGCTGTAAACATAGAGTAATATGAAAATATATTAAAAATAATTATATTATAATATATATTATATTATAAATTTTTTTTTATAAAAAATTATATATTTGGTAAAGTACTTCATGAACTCCAATAGGTTCGTCAAATAAAATTTACTGCGCAGCTGTAGGTGCCATAGAAAACTATTGCGCATAAATATTAATAAAATTTATTTATTAATAACAATCTATGTTTACAGTAACCTTACGGGAAGCTTACAACAACCTTACCATGTAAACTTACCACGACCTTACTGTGTAAGCTTACTGTAATGGCGAAAGTTTTAAGTTGACCTCAAGTTTACTGTAGGATTACACGGTAACCTTACAAACCCTACAGATATCCTTACAGGAACCTCACAGCAAGAAGTCGTGCTATGTGGGTTGACTAATTTGTAACAGCCTTTTTTCAATAAAAAATGAAAATTTTTCTTTCTCTATGTGGAAATGGAAAATTGATATATAAAATTACAAGATGACACCTTGTTTGACCTAACCAAAAGTTGGTTACAATAACCAAATAATTTAATTCGCTCTCAGCTCGTACCTTAAGAAAACAATTAGTTTAAGTCTATCACAAAGTCCAGTGGTTAGAGCTCCCGATTCGCAGTTTAAAAACAGAGGTTCGATCCCAGGCGGAGATGAAATTTTTCAATGTTCACAAATATTTTAATTGGATGAATATAAATTAAACGTTAAATTGATAATAAATAAAAAAGATAAAATGAAAAGAAATAGGTAAGGTGGAATAAAATTTTTAATTTTACAAAAAAAACTGTTGGTTTGATAAACAAAACATTTTAGTTGACCTAACAAAAAAATTTTGTTCAGCTAATCAAACATTTTTGTTATGCTAATAAAAATCACTCAACCAAATTTTTTGGTAGACTCAAACAAATAGTTTGGTTGCTTAAGGGGGGGGGGTATGGTTAATTCGGTGTAAGAAAAGCACTTTTTTAATAATTTTTTTCGGTGATATAAAGTGTGTTTTTTTTATTTTTCGCATCACTTGAAACTCAAAAACCCGATTTTCGCTGAAAAATCGATTTATTTTTTACTGTATACTTAATAATTATTAAAAAAAAGCTCTCGTAGTTACCTGTGAAAGTAAGTCAAGAAGTACTGAGCCAAATTTCAAAACAATTGGTTCACTAGATTTTGAGATATCGTGAACACGGACTTCAAAAATGTCATTTCAAGAAAAATGCAATTTTAAATTTTGACAATTTTTGAAATCTGACTTCAGATTCGTAATCAGAGATCCCAAAACTTATACATACACAAACTCAATTCAAAATATCCGAAAACACAGCCCGAGGAACAACCGACACTTGACTGCTCAAATGCTCATAACTTCGTCAATTTTGCTTCGATCGGGTTTAAATTTTCACACAATATTCTTGAAATATTATACATTCAATTAAAAAAATGAAAAAATGCAAAACAAAAATTAAATACCATACCCCCACCCCCCTTAAATACCAACAAAATTTTTTTGTTGGCCCAACTAAATTTTGGTTGCTCTGACTAAACATTTTTTTCAGTGTAATGTTTTCCATTTAATCAAATAAATTTCCAATTAAAAATTAGTTTAGTTTAGTTTAGTTAAAAAGTTAGTTAGTTAGTTTATTTTCCAATGCATTATTAGTTTCGCTGAAAAACTTGTTTAAAAATCAAAAATCGTGATTTAAAAAAAAAATTGGTCCTTATAGGGTTAGACGTTTTCCCTTTCCATCATGTGATTGTCCAATGGTTCAACTCTTACTCCCGTTTAGGTCTTTTCCGTCCGTCCCTATTGAAAATTCTTATAGGATCCACATAGATTTCTATATAAAAATCCATACAAAATCACGTGTTTCATATTTAATTATAAATTAAATTCTTATGCAAAATATTTTTTACTATAATATAAAGACAATTACCAAAAAAAAATTGTAACTAAAAAAGGTGGGTTTTTGAGTAATTTGAATTAAAAGATTTTTAGTAAAATGGTCGACATTTTGTTATTTTTGAATATTTTCTAATTTTTCTACTGGATTTTTAAAGAGGAGTGAAAGCTCTTTCAGGCCAAAAAAGAAAAAATTAAATATCCCTATCAGAAAAAAAGTTATACCACTTAAAAGATTTTTTTCTTAATTTTAAGATTCCGACTTGAAAAATTAAATTCGTTGTAACTTCACTGCAAAAATAAGTGACTTATTTGGTATCTTACAATAAGATGTAATATAGAAAAATAGTATCTTCCACCTTAAAAAAAGATATTTTGTAAAGTATCTTATTAATATTTAATATGCTTTTTGCGTTTTAACAAAAATGAAAATATTTCTTCCATCTTAAATTGTAAGTTACTTCGGTAAGTTTCTATAAGTAACTTGAATTAAGATATTTGTGGGGTCATAAGATGTTTAGAAAAAAGATGCTTGTAAATTCAAGATACGTCAGAATTTGAAGTTACTAAAATATAAAATACATTAAGCATCTTACATAAGAGGCCATAGTTAGCCTCAAAATTTTTTTCATCAAATATATGTAAAGCACTTTGGGGAAGATACTATTAACATCTTAAACTAAGATATTTCAAATAACTAAAAAGTTACTACCAAAACATCTTATATTAAGATACTTCTTTTTGCAGTGTTTGTAATAAAAAAATTTTCAGCCAAACAAAAAAATACGTGTTGTCTAAAAAGCTTTGAAAAACAATAATTCGGAGAAAAAATTGATTTTCAGCTCCAATGATGTTTTGTCTGCCTGATTTGAAACAAATTTGGTGTAATGATTCACGAAATTAGTAAGTATACAAGAAAAGCACTTATACTTAACAGAATATTATGTATTTGTACGGATATAGCTGCGACAAAACAGAGGTGAGAAAATCTTTAAAATATTATTCTTACATAATACTCACTTGACCTCTTGAGAAAAAAGTCATAATAACTCGTAATAAAATTCATTTTAGATTGCAAAAAACCCAGTAACCTATACTAAAAGAAGTTATAATCCTTTTTTTTAATAAAAATAATTTTATTTGTACGATCCAGAGTTTTTAATTCTTAAAATAGACTCCCATATTTCACATTAAATTTACTTTTTTTCTGTTCAAGTATTTATTGTTTTTAATGTTATGTGACTAATTATAATTGTACATAATCTATTAATTAACAGATTAGGTACACCATGAACGTGTGTTTAGTACAGCATCTGTGCTAAAATTTTCTCAGTGTGTAAACAGCTCTTTTACGCTATGTATTTTATAATAAATAGTTCTGATACTTCGGTACGTCACAAGTCATTTAAGAAAAAGAAGAAGAAATAACTTAACATTGAAATAAAAAATTTCTATCTGTTTATAAATTCATTATGTAAATTTTATGCATTAAAATCTGTTGACATGACTATTTTCAGGATTGATAATAATTATGTGAAAAATATTATATTGAAGTTTCCGCAAAATTTGCCGGCAATACACCGACTCTAAACAGCTGTTGCAGTGCGCTTCAATCTGGTTAAATCTGATTGTATGCGTATTTTGTCAGAGTTTGACTCTATTTCTCTGTCTTCCCTAGTGCACCGTACCACTGAGCAGTCGCTGGCAGTCGCCACTCGCCACCCTCATCCCCTTCAACTCCGACGACCTCTATCGGTTCTATCGTCAGTGATCGTCAGTTGGGGCGTGTTGGGGTGGACGGAACGTGGTACATTTCAAAAAAAGTGCATCTGGAATCTGTGATGGTGTCATCACCGCATTACAACTATTATTATTCTGACGAGATTTACTCGGACGGTTAAATGATTCTCGTGTCTTCTTTGACAATGTAACCGTGCAAAAAAATAGTTCAGTGCAGCATTATAAAAATATTACAGCACTTAAAAAAAAGTGCAAACTAACTTGCTCTTGTCTTGTGTGAGTGTTGTCAAGATATTTTATTATGAAAAATAGAGTGATATACGATGCGACTCTCAAATTGAATCAAACGGAGATTAAATGCTAAATCTGAATCTACGTCTTCAACATTTGGACATTTTGCGAAAATGCAAGCGACCTTGGTAAGTCAATAACGTTAATCATCGATGGATAATGATTTCCTAACAGTGATACAATAAATTTAGAGAAAGACTAGATATTTCGTTCGTATTTATTTGCTTTTATTACTAAATAATAATATTTTTATAAATTATACGAATTAAGTACATTTTTTTTAAATGTAACAACTTTTATTTTTGTGTTTAATTCCAATGATAGCACGAATAAAAGTTGCTGATTACATGAATCAAAACAAACGAAAAGTATTAAGAATACTGATTGTGAGAATAGGATTCTTTTTTGTTGGTGATTGATTTAGATAAAGTTTTTGGGAGATAATTCGATAATACTGATTTTCTAAGACGTGAGTCACAGTGTCTAAAGAGATAATCAGAGACTATTGACCATCGCACTGTTCTTGCCGAGCGCATGGGCGCGGTTCAGCAGATCCTATTGCCCTCATTCGTCCTATTTTCTCCCTTCAAATTTTTAAATTTCTAGTTTAACCTTTTCTTTTTTTTGTTATCATTGCAAATGAAACAGTATTATAATTGATTTCCTTATATAAGGTCCTAAATGAAAGGAGTGCGCAATGTATTTTCTTTTCCTCACGACGTATATCAGATATACAGGGGAGAAACTGCATTGATCATTTTTCGGGTTAATGACTTCTCATGAATTGAAGCTCGCGTTATTTTCACTTAATCCTTTGGACAACAAATAGAGCAACGTCCGTACGTCAAGGGCGTGGCAAATATATATCTTCCATGTGAATACGATCGCACACATCTCGAAAAGTAGGCGACGCGCGCAAAGATTTCCTTCGATCCATCACTTTAAACCACACCACGCGTCTCCGTTTTTCCGTGTTCCGCATTCGCAATGAGTCAAAAAAAAACAAAGATCCACTTAACGGATCTAATTTTTAAATCTTTTATTCGTTTCCACTTGGAAATATTATCACGTAACTTTCAGACTTTCACTGCATGTAGTATATATTTATGTTGTAAATTTGCATATCCATTATGATTTATTAATATGAAAGTGCAGATAAATTTATATTTCTTTCTAAGGCTTATTGGTGGCCAAGAGTTCAAAGGATCTATAATGATACTCTATACTCTATCGCTCCATAGTTCTAAGTCTAGTGAAAAAATGTTCTATAGTTGAATTTACCAGATTAATCTGGTTGAAAAATTCTACTTGTTTTAACTAGAAAAGGTTAATAAGAATAGGCCAGAATTTTTTAACCAGATTTGCTAATACTTCTAACCGAAATGCATAACGTTTACTCAAAAAATTGAATGAAGTACGGCTTACACATTATCATTTTAAAAAATTTTCACCTAATGTAGTGAAAAACTCTGCATTATATATTTTATAATTTTTTCTAAGCATTTGTGCATTTAACCCATTAAGGGGGAAAATAGGTGTAGGGCGTCGATTTGCAGCGATTTTTGTGTATTTTTTTAATACATAAGGAATTTATACAATTTATTGCTATTGCGAGGTTACTTTATACACATATTTGAGAGTATATTCTGATAATTTTCAATCATTTTCTCCAAAAATTAATACATAATAATATCTGCTGCCGCACATTGTAGGTCGCGAATCCGTCTCAGAGGTTTGTGTACATTGTGGAAATCACAATTTTTATCTGAAATTAATTGCACAAAGAATATACTTTTTTATATGTATCTCTTTTAAGTGAACCTCATTTCCATAAAAAAATGAGTAAAATCACTCATTTTTAGAGGGGTATGAACAAAAAACATGATTTTTTACCAGTTTTTCATGCTATTTTTTATAACAAAAACTAAAATTAAACAAAGATATTGTCCAGGAATAAGGTTCAAATAGAGTGTATTTATATAAAGAAACTACCCGCTAAATTTCAAAATGATTGGTTAAAAACTTTTTAAGCTAGAGTGTACACAATTTCGAAAAAAGTCGTTTCGAGAAAAACGTGTTTGAAAAAAAGTGTCAGAGGTTAACCGTTTGAATAACACAATTTGGAAATAATCGAAATGTTTCAAACAGTACTGCGTATACTATGTTTTCGGGGTTGCTGATTTCGAATCTAAGGTCAATTTTTAGAAATTCAAAATGTCGGATCCAATATGGCGTGTTTTTACCCTAGCACCCCCTGACCCATTATCGAGGGACACTTACTTAATTGTTTATAACTTTTAAACAGCTCGAAATTTTCGTCTGGAATTTTCATATTATATTTACCAATAGTTTTACAACCGATTTTTGAAAAATTGAATTTTTTGAAGCTTTACATCTATTTCCCCTCTTAAGGCTTATAGATTACACAGCGTTTCTAGCATCAAACTAACTATTGGATTCATAATATAACCGAAAAAAATAAACCTATTTTTTCTTTTTGCAAAATAATTTGTTTATCGAATTTGTTTAATAACAATTTAATAAAAAAAATTTGATTTATAAAAACCAATGCTGCCATTTGATATTACACGGAGAAACTTTAAGTATCACTTTTTGTTAAACTCATGTATTTTTAGTAAATTGACTACTAAAGTGGGAAAAAAACGAGAAAAAGACGAAATTTCTGATTTAATAGAAGTCTCTTTAACAATATATGACCTCTTTTTTTCAATATTTAGTAGTCAAGTTAAGAAAAATTCACAATCCGGTTAGATTATACATCGAAAATACTTTTTTTATGAAGTTAAGGGTGCTCAAAACATAAAGTACCTACTCTTCTGAGCACATGTGAGCTTGTCTATGAAACCCCCCCAAAAAATATATCATGTCATCACAGAAAATTAAAAGGTATTAAAATAAGCTGCAACGCTTATTATTTTAATCCAATTTTGCTTATTTTAATACCAAAATGGATTAAAATAAGCAAAATTGGATTAAAATAAGAAGCGTTGCAGCTTATTTTAATGCCTTTTAATTTTCTGTGATGTACATCTCTTATATCCAAGCTTATAATTCTTTTAATTATTGAGAATCAGTTTCAAATGAACACTATTTTCGTTTTTTTTGTAAAGTTGAAGTGTATTTGAGTTACTTCGTGTCAGTAAAAGTGAGGTTAGGTGCGATACAATATTTATACGACAAAGTTATTAATCAAGACAAGACAGCGGAAACACCAACACAGAAAATTAAAAGGCATTAAAATAAGCTGCAACGCTTATTATTTTAATCCAATTTTGCTTATTTTAATCCATTTTGGTATAAAAATAGGCAAAATTGAATTAAAATAATAAGCGTTGCAGCTTATTTTAATACCTTTTAATTTTCGATCGAATAACAAATTTTAGTAGTCAGACTAAGAAAAATTGATATCGTTGCAGTTTTTCTCCACTTTAGTAGTCAATTTACTAAAAATACATAGTGAGTTTAAGAAAAAATAATACTCAAAGTTTCTCCGTGTAGTTTTTAAAAAATTGAAATTTTGTTTTTATTAAATTGTTTAAATAATTTAGATAAACAAATTATTTTGCAAAAAGAAAAAATAGGTGTATCTTTTTTTCGGTTATGTTATGAATCCAATATTGTTAGTTTAACGTTAGAAACGCTATGTAATCTATGGGCCTTAATGAGTTAAGAAGTTTGAAAAAATGTTAATACATGAGAGCATTTCAAAAAAGTCACCTACATAATTCATCAATTAAAAATTTTTGTTTTTTCTCATCAGAATTCAAAATAGTTTCCATATGTGACTTCAGGTTACATCATTGGTCAAAGGGCTTTGATTCATCGATGATCACATTTTTGCTTTGTAAATATTCTATAGGATTTGTAACTTGATCCCATTGTAAAACGCACTTCGAAAATTCAACCATTGTAAAATTGAAAACATAAAATGGAATAAATAATTATCATATTTCCAACTAGAAAATAAAAATGTAAATAACAAAACCAAAAATCCTATATAAATACCAAATTTCATAAAAATCTAATAATTATTCAAAATTTTGTAAAATTTAGTTTGTCCTATAGGAAAAAAGTTTGTTGCAAAATTGTTACGGTATCTAATGAAATATACTTTGATCTTATGGGAGCCTCAATCTTTGCACTAAAATTCTGTGTCAATTTTAGTGTAAAAATTTAATTTGAATGAAAAATATAAATAATTTAATATGAATGAAATGAAAAGTCTATAATATCTATATAGATATTCTTTTCAGTACTATACAAATCGCTTCTATTATTGCGGTTTTAAGGGTTTTCAGCAATATTTATCTATCCAATTTTGTGGTTTCTTTTCTGAGGTTTATATTTCATTCTACTCTGCTTTATCGATTAGAATAAAAATAAAACGTAAAAAATATTAAATTATAATTTTTTTATTTGGTTCTCTTAAAAAGCTCTTCAAATTCCCTTTGATATTTAAATAATGAAAATTTACGAGGCATTAAGCTAAGAAATTAATTAATTATATTTAGGTATGTTTAAGAGAGACGGTTTTTTTATAAAGCAAAAGGTCAGATGTAAGAAGCCCTACTTTTTTCTTTTTAAAATAGAATTATGGTCTGCCTTCGAGTATAATGACATTACAAAAAATATGTAAAAACAAAACAATTTATGTATTTTCAGTCGCTTACTATATACAAGTTGTCATAAAAGATTAGTTGATCAACTTCTTTCTGAAAAATAAATAAATTTAATATCGATTTATTAATAAAAATAATGTTTAGAGATTTCATTAACGCGCAGTTAAAATGTTAGAAAATGATTTAGAATTTTTATGATTTTTTACGATTCTGAAAATTTTCTAACATCTTAACCACTAATAATTACTTAGTCCGCCTTTTTGTATCAGACATTTTTAATTTTGGAAAACTGACACCAGATTCGTCATCAGCGACCCCAAAAACCCCAGATTAAAGATTTTCAAACGAATCCGATGTAATAATAAAGAAAATCCGATTTTTGAAGTTGGTAGTAACGATTTCTCAAAAACTAATAAACCGATTTTTTTAAAAGGCACACTTCTATTCATTACAACCGATTTTACATGGTCTAAATAAAATTGTTCAAAAAATCGTAATTTGTGACAAAAAACTGCCAAAAATTCAATTTTTTTAAAAAAAAACCCTTCGTTCAATCACGAGCTATACTCATCTACTAATAGAAAATATTTGGTTTTATTATAGATATCGTGGCTACCGCAAAATCACTTGTTTTGGAAGGGGTCTCAAAGAACCTGTTACCATTGGTTTAATTTCTAACATTTATTAATCAGTATTTTATTCTTTTTAGGACCTTAATTTGAAATAAATATTTTAAGTTTATGGCCTTAGGTCCGTAAGTGTAAAAAATTTAAAAAAGGTTAAAAAATTTTTAATTTATAAAAATTTAGTCTTTATTTTCTTTCTCTCTAATGTATTTTCGTTATGAACGCAGCTCATCAGGACTACAAGAAATTTATAAAATTATAATTAGAAAAAAACCATTTTTTAGAATTAAATTAATATACCTATGCTAAATTTTATAGATTTTCTTACCGCATTATGAAGCGATTAAAAATATTATTTGGAAGGTATGAAACCAACAAAAAACTTATGGTATCTCACATCATTAAGATGGAACACAATTAAGTTAAATAAAATTGGTGCACATTTTTTGGTGAAAAAACATAAAAAAACAATAAAAAAACACTAAAACATAAGTGACGTATAAAAATATAAACATAAAAATAAAAACGTGCCAACCATGTTTTTTCTAATTATAATTTTATAAATTTCTTGTAGTCCTGATGAGCTGCGTTCATAACGAAAATGCATTAGAGAGAAAGAAAATAAAGACTAAATTTTTATAAATCTAAAAGTTTTCAACCTTTTTTAAATTTTTTACACTTACGGACCTAAGGCCATAAACTTAAAATATTTATTAATATTTATTAACAAAAATTTTATAACTTATTTTATAGTGTACTTTAAGGTAACTAAGTGTTCAAATAAAATAATTTATTTATTATATGAAAATAAAAATTATAAGAAGACATACATTTTTTGGACTTTTTGACCCATGTAACCACTTAAAAACAACACAGTAGTAAAAGAAATTTTCTGAACATTTATTAAAGTTAATCTTCAACTAATTCTTAATCAAATTCATCTGCGAAGCTCAGCAAATATCTGCCAAACTCTAGAAACTTTATGGCAAAAGACAATGGCTTTTTGATACTTAAAAAATGTGACAAGAAAATTACGAAAATCAAAAAAATTACTTAATGAAATGTTATCATAAAAAAATGTCTCGTAAACATTTATACTTTAAATAGATATTAAAGCAAATTATTTCAAAACTTTTTAAGAAAAACAAAAAAAATAATTTAATATTTTTTACGCTCTATTAATTATTCTAATTGATAAAACAATGTAGAAGAGACGCACGTAAATTGAAAATATAAACCTCAGAAAATAAACCGGACAATACCGATTTTAATAGAGAAACCCACTGAAAATAAATAAAATAAGTTATAGCTTTTTGCATTTAGATTTTGAGAAAAATGGAAAAACCTCCAAACTACCAAGAAAATGACCAGGACCTATCTACTTACATTATTACAACACGAATGTCACGATTTAGAACACAAACCTCTATTGGGGCCGTCCTACGTTTTTCAAAAATAAATCGAATTAGGGTACCATCTCCCCCATTAGAAAGTTTCTCTGGCCCCAAAGTAGTGGCGCAACTAGGGGTGATACCTCCCCCTGGGCTTTAAAAAAATATTACCTCATTTTGTTCGTGGAATTTTGCACCTAAGGATAACAATCCCTAGAGCAAATGTTGGATCAATATCCCTGAAAAATTTAGAACTATCTAAACATGGACGAATATGTAGTCGAAATTTAAGTTCTACATTGAACCTGAATTCTTAGTCTATTTTAACTTCTGGCAGCTGTAAAGTAGATTGTAACTTCAATACATCTAGACCTTACTTCGACTCCAAAAACATTTATTGAAAGTTATTGATATAGTTATATACACTTTATGTACTCTACTTTTATGCTCCTACAATTTCAAAACAAAAATTTGGAAAGATCTCCTCATTGTCAGATCTTGATTGAAGCACGACAAATGGTTTACTTATTTGCCGTGTTTCAGTATAAAGATCTTAAAAGAACTTTACAATTTCTTTTAAATTGTAGGGTCTGAGAGTATGAAAGTAGAGTACACTAAGTGTATCTTTCATTAAAGTCAAGGGTCTAAATGTATTGAAATTACAACCTACTTTACGGTTGCTACACTGAAAAAAAAGTTCTGGTTAAAGTTACTAGATGCGTTTGGTTAAAAAATTTCTAGTTATTTTAACAAGAAAATATAGTTAAAAAGACTAAACAGTTCTAGTTAAATAAGTATGGTTAAATTATTCTGGTTAAAATAATTCTGGTTAAAAACGCGCGTTCGCGGACACTGCATAGCGTCTGTTGTTCTTTTTCGAATAGTTTATCGTGCGGATCGCAAGAATGGATGAAAAAGTTAACCAAGCTCTGGAAAATTGGGGTTTGGCAGAATTAAAAGATCTGTTTAAAGGTTGGTTAATTAATTTTATAATATAAGTGAAAAAATTGTTGACGAACGGCAAACCCCTTCGTGTGGAAAATAGTTTGAAGGTTATGTTGAAAACGTGCTCGACACGTTTTATCAGAATTTTAGTTCTGAATAATCATATTTAAATAAACATTATTAAGAGAATTGCAGTGTAAAGGTGTTATTGTTTGATTGCATTTATATGTACATAATACAAATTTTTTTAATTCATATTTTATAATATTTTATAATATAATATAATAATAATAAATTTAATTAATTCTCTGATTAACTAGAATTTCTGGTAAGATCAACCAGAAATTTTTTTACCAAAAATTTTTAACTAGAAAAATTCTAGTAAGATTAACTTGAAATTCTAGTAAGATTAACTTGAAATTCTGGTAAAATTAACCAGAATTTTTTAACCAAATTTTCTAGTACTTTTAACCAGAAAAAGTAGTAAGGGTATATATAACTTTTTATTCTGGTTAGATTAACCAGAATTCTGGTTATTTTAACCAGACTTTTTTTTCAGTGTAAAAATTAAAATTCGGATTTGTTTATCAAAATGTATACATTCTCCACGTATGTATATGTGGTAATTTTTTGTTTAGTTTCAATTTTTCGCATTTTGGGGGAGGTAATGGTCCTACCCTTGAATCCATCACCGAACTTTTTAATTCAAGTTTGATAAAGACGGTTTTTACCGTCAATAGAATATTTAAAAATATAGTAGACATACAAATAAAATAATAAAGTTTTTTCAGGATGCAGTATGGCTTCAGTATTCTGGCACGCCTCTGGGAGTAGTTTCGTTTCACTTGCCTCCATCTTCCTCCTATTACTCTGTCCGCTTGCTATTACAGGTAAGTCTTCATTGATAATTACAGAACATATTTTTGATGCTGCTTTCAATTAATAAATAGGGTCAGTTGGGGTAAATGAGGACAAGAGGTTTTGGAGCTTAATTTACAGTTTTAAATGGGGACAGCTTGTCATTATTAACTAAATTAACAAAATAAAAAATTCAAGTGAATTTATGTTATGAGAGTCATAAAAAATAAGAAAAAAATTTTGTATGATTTTTAAGTCTGTTTTTTTTCAAATGCGAGACAAAATACTGAAATAAAAAAAAAATAAAAAAATTTCAATTGGTTCAACTATTATATATCTACTACAAATTTTTTTCAAGTTTTTTCATCCCTTAATACAGTAATATACTTAAGGAAACTTTTTTCTTAAAATTTTCTTAGAAACTATGCTGTCTCCATTTACCCCGAATTTTATGAAATTTTCAATTAATGCTGGGAACATAAATAACAACTTAAAAAAAATAAACCCTCAAATATTACCTTTTAAAGGAAGAAACTTACGTAATTTGTGAAAAATAGAGATTTTGTCCCCATTTACCCCAACTGACCCTATACAACTATTTTTTTAATTTAATTTAAGATAAAATATTGTATTTATGACAGAGGGTAGTAGAGTGGAACAGTACAAATTTCCTAACGAATTTTGAGTCTTATTGAAGTTTTATTTAAAGAGATATTGAAAAACTTTCGTCTTACGTTGCGCATCTTTCAAGGTATTTCCAATGATTACGCACTGAAATAAATATTTAGATTTGACTACTTTTTAACTACACTTCCTAGTACAATAGGTTCTGAACTGAATTTAAAAAGTTATAAGAATGTAGTTAAAGGCAAAACGAGATTTTGTAGTTGTTTCAGTTTTTGTAGTTGATTCAACTACATTTTTTAGTAAACTGAACTGCTAATTATTAACTCCATAAAAAATAGTTAAATTAATTACACACACAGAATTAAACTATAACTAAAAAAAGTAGTTACATACTTTAACTACTTTCCAGTTAACAATCCAATAACGGTAGTTAAAGATCTCAGCTAAATTTTTAGCAGTGTGTGTTTCTGCTGTTTGTCTACTAATATATAATATATGTAAAATGTGAATATGAAATTTAACAAATAATGTACAGTAAATTTATGTTAGAAAATTGACCTTCATAATGGCATAACCTAGTTTCTCCTAGGGAATACCAGCTTTCACAGCAGTCCTAAAAATTAAATTTTATACATTATATATAAAAAATAAACTTTGTTCTTCGAACATAAAAATGAATGAATTGTTACATAAATTGTTCTATATATTTAGACAAATATTAAAATTTGAAGTGACAGAATTAAATTAATATAATGTGGTGTATTCCCGGTGGCGGTGGATCTATCGTTCGCATTCTATGAATCATCACTATCCTCAAATTCAGCCCACGAGATAATTGAGGTGCCACAACTGCAGTTCACGTCACTGCCGCCGCCACCACCACCGGGAGCTTTCACCTCTGCTAAAACATCAAGTATGTGTTTTACATAATTAGCCATTGTTTCATTAGTTTTGCAGAGAACATCAAATTATATAAATAAATCCGATTATAGTTGTTTGTATCTGGAAAACCAGACAATGATAAAGTATATATTTAAATATTCAGAATTAATCATTAGTTTAATTTATATTTGTCACTATCAAAAATTGTGTACTTTTTCTCATCCTCGGTATTTATATTAATAATTGAATAAATCATTTAATTATATTCTTGACGTTACTTTTCAATATTTTTCTCTAGTTACAGGCAATTGTAGATTTTAATGTCAGCCAATAAAAGAGTCTCAAAAGACACAAGTTGTGTTGAAATTTGTGTTTTTGGCAAATTAATTTTCGTCTAAATAAAAATTCTGTCAAATTGATTTTCGACCATTTGCATTTTATAAAACATTAATATTTTAACAAATAAATATTCTACAAAATTAATATTCTATAGAATAAGATTATATCAAATCATAATTCTAAAAAATTTTTTTTAGAACTTATTCATGCGTCCCATATTAGATCCGCTATTTTGAATTTTTAAAAACTGACCTCAAATTCGTAATCAGCGATTCTAAAAACTATTAGACTATATATCGGATTGTTCGACATGTATTAACGCAAATATTTATTTGATCACTTTGGTACTGTTGGACTTATATCTATATAGTATATACGAGCGAAATAATTACTAAGGGCAAAGGAAAATTAAATTAAATTAAATCAATTAAAAGAATTTTATCATCTGTCGAGTTTAAATATTTAAATCGGATTGTGCTGTTCCCAATTTATGTGTTTGAAACACAATTTTCTTATACTTGCTAAATTTGAATCAGCGGAAAATCACTGATTGGACAGCTATAAGTATGCAGCTGATTCAAGCAGCGTATATTGATAATTAGCGCATATACACTATATCAGTGTATATACGCTGTTTGAATCAGCCGCATACTTATAGCTGCAAATTAGCGACGTTTCGCTGATTCAAATTTAGAGAGTAGTCTACATGACAATTTATAGAATTGTCTTTTCTGAAATTTGTAGTGTTTTCGCTACAAGAAATTTTTTTCCGTGTATTTGGTTTCCAATGTGTATACGGAAAGAAATAGATGGTACGGAGTACTATTTAGATAGTACCAGGTACCATATTTGATCTTACATATACGGACAGCTATCTAGATTCTATCAGTTACTATCCAGATTGTACGGAGTAACATCTAGATTGTAGTGGGTAACATAACCATACTTTTTGTAACATCTTTGATAGTACCTAGTAGCATTATGATCGTACCGGATAACATCTACTTTTTACCATCTTAAGATCATAAATTCTTACCATCTATTTCTCTCCGTGTACTATTTATTGTAGTAATAAACTTTGGGAAAAATAGAAAATCACGAGTTTTACAATGGACTGAAATTGATTATTTTCTCGGTATTTGGAAAATTGTGATTATCTCGGAAACTAAAACCGACAAAGTGGTCCATTTTCATGCGGACGCCCACATATAACTAAAAAAGGCAATAAAAATAGGCAATTTTGGATCAATATTGGAACCCAATCTAGTTTCTAGCGTAAATGCAAATGTATTAGCAGTCAATATTGGAGAAGCCTATGCCTATACTAGTAAAGATTGACAATTTCCCACAGGGACTATATAATTCTAAGTGGAAATAGATATTCATATCATCTATAAAATCAATCTATTTGATCGGTATAGATTGAATATTGAATTTTCTTTTAAACAGTTCTGGTCCAAAATTTGAGTTAATTATCTTATCGTATTGAGTAAAAATTGTTTTCCTCTATAACGTATATTAATAGAGCTAGAAATCTTTGATATAAAAAATTTCATTCAAAAAATCTTATCAATTTGTCAAACAAGTATTAGTAAAAAATATAATTATTCTGTAGACTTTATTAACAAATATTTATGAGCTAATATTTTAGGAATTTGTTACTCTCATGCAGAACGACAATTTAATATTTATCAAAGTTACAAGCCAATCCAATTTAACTTTTTGACTGAAAGAATATAGGAAACTAAAACTCATACCCTTTTTACATTTATAAAACAATGAAAACTACAGAAATTTCAAAAGAGTATTTAACCACAAATTCCCTCACCTCCAGATGCCAGTTATAATCTTTATACAGGAATTAACAAACCGTTAAACAACTTGAACTAACATCACAAATCTCAAAGGCCTTAGAGGAGATTCCGCTGAGACATGAGTTTTAAAAGGAACACGATAAAGACAAACCACCACTTACCCATACTGATTCATATATGGGGGACTGTTTCTAAAACGTCCTTGTAAAAAATTAAAAATTCTTGAATCAGCTTGATTATTTGGTAAATTATTGTCCTCTACATAAAAGTAAAAAATCCCTAAAAACAACATTTTTAACACCCTTTTTCTTATAATTAACCATTATATTTTTCAAGTTTTACCCATTTGGTTATTTAATTTTTTTATTTTTATTTTCATTCTAAAGTTGAAGTATTTTCTAAGAAGTTATGTAAATTTAAAGTGAGACTGTAATGCCAGGGTAGCCACAATTCAGGAAAAATAAGGAAAAATTGGGAAATTGAACAAATTTACAGAAAAAAGTATGTGTACCTACTTTCTGTATATGTCGAGGTATATGTAAAAAGTTTTACCAATTTTTTCTTCTGGAAGGGATAATAGATTATCGCCTATTTCACAAATTTCAATAAATCTAAACAGAATCTAAATTTAAATTAGTTGAAACATTTATTGCAATTAAAATTCTAATAAATTTAAATTCATTCTAATTCTAATCAATCATCAATTCAAAATTCAATTTATTCCAATTCGAATCTGTTCAAATTTTAATTCATTCAAATTTCAATTTAATTAAATTCAATTCGATACAAATGACAATTCAATTTAAATTTCAAATGATCCAACTTTCAATCAATTTATTTTAGTTTTTATTGGTCGAAACAAATTAATAAATTAAAATTTTAATCAAATGTAAATTCAATTAATCGAAACATAATATTAACGAAATTTCAATATAATATATCTAAAGATTACTTGATTGAATTTTCAAATTATTCGAATTTTAAAGGCGCTCTCACACCTTTTTGGCTGCCTGCAGGTTACCATGACAACGCATGAGAGTGAGTGCGACAGAAAATTTAAAAATTTGAATATTCAAATTTTCTCTCTCACTCACACTCGTGCGTTGCCATGGTAACCTGCAGGCAGGCAGGCAGCCAAAAAAGGTGTGAGTGCGCCATAATTTAACAAAATTTTAATTGATTTAAGTTTCAAATTATCCAAATTTTAACCTATTAATGCTTCAATAATTAATGAAAAATTTTGAGGCCAATGAATATTGACCAATTGACATGTGACAGAAATGTCAGTTAACCGAAATGCATATGACACACATGTGATTTTACCATAATGACATTTTTGTATCATGTCATTTATGTCAAATGACATTTTTGTTACATATTTATTTCGTTTTTTGAGATTGTATATACGTTCGTATTTTGATTAAATTATAGTTTAAAAATAATAAATTAATTAAATATTTTTGAAATACTTGAAATGTATTTCAAAGACATTTAATTAATTTCATGCGAATTTTTACATGTAAAACACTGAACAAAACTTCATGGCAGAATTTTGATCAAGAAGAAAACAATCAATACACTGCGAGTCACTATATACACATTTCACATATCACTCGTAAATCCCATCAAAAGACACGAACAATTCCCAAACTTCTTTATCACTCACTGTAAGAAAAACTAAAACAAAATTTAGCTATTAATACAAAACATTTAGACCATAAATCCGATTATAATTATCATGCCATGAACACGCTGCAATAAGGCACACACAGCTGTTTACTAATTTACGTAGTCTGCGCAAAAGCAGTCGTGACAACTCAGCGTACTTAAGTTCGAAACAAATATTTCTTTGATTCAAAGAAATTTTTCTTTAGGTTAAAAAAATCATTCAAAGAAAAAAATTTCTTTCTTCTTTGTTTAAAAAAACGATTTTTTTCAAAGAAATCTTTTTTCTGGGTGCACTTAAATTTAAATTATTAAATGCGAGGTTATATTTTTTTGCATCATTTGGGTCCATAAAACATACAGGATGGTCATAAAAAATTTTAATTTTTGATCACAAATTAAAGTCTTATTAAAAAAATTATATTTTAAATATCTATCTTTTTTCACAATTTTGACTATTTTTCTTTGTCAAATTATTCCCACACTTTTTTAATGGTTCTTCAGAATCTCTCACATGGATTTTCAAAAATATAATTTTTTTCAAAGAAAAAAAATTCTAAAATGGTCAAAAATTAAAATTTTTTTTTTTTGATCACCTTATGTTTTTAGGACCCAAATGATTTAAGAAAAAAAAATAACGTCGTTCAATAATTTTTTTATGTGGGTCAAAATCACTTTTAGATTGTCTATTTGTTTATTATATAAGTATACCAGCACGTCGATTCGTAGCAATATTTATGCGTAAAATAATTTTAAATTAAATTAAATTTTTTAATTTAAATTCTACACAGGAAAACTCTATATAATGAATTTAGGCAAGTGGTATTAATTCTACATAAATAAACTCTATACGAAACAATTCTACACTTTATAATTAGATAAAAATTTAATATAATTTATTTAATTCATCGCAGTTAAATCCTACGCACCGTTAAATTCTACACATTGGAAACTATTATTCTTTCTGTTTTAATTAAATTTTAACTCTACGCTGTTAAATTGAACACCAGAAAACTCTACGCAAATAAAAACATTTTGTTTGAATAAATTTTTTTAAAATTCTACACAATTGAATTTATTTTAATATTAATTTTTAGAAGATTAAACTCTACATAAAAAAATCTTCATTTATAATTCTACTCGAAAACACAATAAAATATTAGTCTTATTTTTTAATTAAATTATTAGTTCTACGCCATTAAATTGAACTCCAGATAATTCTATACACAAATATATACGATGAATTTAAATTAATTTTTTTAAATAAAAAAAAATTCCACACAATTAAATTCTACACGGTGAAACTCAACGCAGTTAGTTGCGATAGTCAAAACTTTTGGCGATTAACTGCGTTGAGTTTCACCTCGTAGAGTTTAATTGCGTAGAATCACTACCACCCCCAAAAAATACATACTTCTATGTAGATAAATATTACTATAAAAATATTGAAATATTATTTAGTATTAATAAAAATTGATAATAACAAAGATTAAATTGTGGATAAGAAAGAAGTGAGGTTATGTTTTTTATTATTACGAAGTTACGAAAGTATAAATTATTAAATGAGGCTAATTTTACATTATTGCAAAAGAGTATGGGAAATTATATGTTGTACATGAATATTCTACTTACACGAAATTATAAATGAACATTGAGACTAAATTATATTCTAGGTGTCGGACTTCCCAAGCAGCACGTTATATTCCTTGAATATCCGTTGAATACCACAGTGGAATATTCTCATGATCTTCTAGGAAAATCAAAATGTCCGCATCATGGGAATATTCCATAGTGACATTAAGGGGATATTCCAGTGATATTGAGGGAATATTCCACGGTTATATTGAATTTTTTTTAAAATGTGTTTTTAATCTTCCTGCTTATTCAAATAACAATTTATAACATATTTCTATTATTTCAACACTTAAAAAAATTCAATATAACCGTGGAATATTCCCTCAATATCACTGGAATATTCCTTTAATATTACCCTCAATGTAACTGGAATATACCCTGAATGTCACTATGGAATATTCCCATGATGCGGACATTTTGATTTTCCTGGAAGATCATGGAAATATTCCACGGTGGTATCCAAGGGATATTCAGGGGATATACCGTGCTGCTTGGGTTCTCTGCTGTCTTTAATCCATGTACAGGTGCAGCAAGTTGACCGGCCGGCCTAATACTATACCGTCTTTGAAATTTGACATCGATAGTCAGCCACCACAAATATTATCTAATTTACGCAATTTTATATGAAAACATGATAATAATTATTTTAATTTTAAGAAATTTCAATAAAATACTCTATTATTCAATAGTCATTTAAATGGTAGAATGACAAAATAAAAAGGGACAAGTGCCAATTCACTGTTTTTACAGGAACTGAAAAAAAAATTTAAAAATTCTGCAGGTCATTTAAAAAGAAACTAAGAAAACCGTTGCGAGATATTATTATGTTTTAATTAATAAACAACAATTTGCTGAAATAAACCTACATATTAACGAGAAAAATAAAAAAAGTGGTTTTTTTAGGTTATATCGACTGCGTACATTAATTTTTTTTTAAAATTACCCTGGCGGAATCATAAAATCGGATTTAAATCAAATTTGATTTTGATTGAGTTTGATTAGAAGCAGAATTTTGCTGCTAATTGATGAAATTTGATCAAATAAACCATTGCTAATGAAAATGTATCATTATTTTAGTTGATTTGTGCAAGAATTGATTTCAATTATGTGTTAATTTAATAATAATAAGTGCATTAATTACTATTTAATTAATGCATAATTGAACTCAATTCTTGCACAAATCAATTAAAATAATAATAAATTTTCATTAGCAATGGTTTATTTGATCAAATTTCATCAATTAGCGGCCAAATTCTGCGCCTAATCAAACTCAATCAAAATTAAATCAAATTCAATTTAAATCCGATTTTATGATTCCGCCAGGGTAATTGTGAAAAAAATATACAATTTAAAGAAAAACTGGAAAATTAGTTTTTTTCTATTAAATTGACGAGTTGAATGAAAAAAAATTTGCTTTAGAAAAGTTGTTTGTTTTCGAAAAAACTATGAATTAAGTGCTTGCTTTGCAATCGAGCAAACTCTCATTTTCAAATTTAATTGTTAGCAATTATTATAATTATAAAAAATAGTTAAAAATTAATAAAAAAATGATATTAAAATTATATGAAATTAAAATTAATAATTTATTATTAATATTATTGGCAATGTTTTTAACCTTATTAAATTATTCGCATAATATTGTTGACTTACCACTTTATTTTGTTTTTCCATCGAATTGTAATCAATTAAATTTGATGCTATTTATGATTTTAATATTATTTATTAAAAAAATTTAACAACGCAATAAAAAATAAAGTCCTTTTACAGAAATGTGTAAATGTTTAAAGATGCATCTTTGATTTTGCGCCGTGCAGCCTACAGGTCACAAATTTCAACTAAAATTAAAAATCAAAATTTTTACCGTTGAAATATGCAAATACGCTTTGCGCAACGAAGAGAAAACTAAAAAAAATTATTTTTTTTTAAATTTAGGACCATTTTGAAAAAAATCACTTTTTTTATAAACAATGTTCAAAAACAATTGTTAAAATTTTTTTTTAAAAAAGCGAGCTGGTCATGCAATAGCTAGTAAGATAAAGAAGATTTGTGGTAAGTTTAATTAAAATTGGTTGAGCTACATTGCACGGCGCGCGAAAAAACACGTTTAAAGTTTTTGATACATAAAAGAAAAGTAGCTCAGCATACAAAAATCTTTAAGACAGTAAAAAAAATAAGGAACTGTCACCTGCACGAAACTATACGATATATGAATATCGTATCGGCTCTGGTCCAAGACACTATACGATTAGTAATAGATGGAACGTATCGTACCCCCACACGATACAATTAGTAAATAGGTGAACAGTGTCGTGCCCAGACACGAAACAATTATAGTTAATAGGTGAAAAGTGTCGTGCACGATACAATTTGTAATATTAAAATCGTATCGTTTCACGAAATAGTATATTATATTATAATATTTTCTAAGTATGTTTTTAAAATTTAATATTTCCATCATAAGTTTTAATAATTTATAGATTGAAAAAAATATTTTGTTCATTTGAACGTTCAGAACTTTTGGCTGAAAATAATAAAATTGTTTATAAGCAAGGTACGATTCTAAAGTCTTTATTCGTATCGTGCCCGAATACAATACGATTCTCATGTTGCTATTAGTATCGTATCCGGACACGATACGATTCTAAAGTTGATAATCGAATAGTACCAAACCAGGTACGATACAATTGTTCCGTGAGAGTCCCTGAAAAAAATATTAAGAGTGAATATCAGTTCAGTAAATAGTCGAAAAAGTACTTGACGTAGAATTAGGATGTGTATAGAAGACCATTACAATAATACTTAATAACGGTTTGCAAGAAAATCTTATAAAAACATGTTTCTGAATTTAAAAAATTTTTTAATATAATTTAAATTAAGAGAGAATTGATAAGAAAAAATAACAAAAAAAAACATATTTTCACAGATTGAAAAAAAAAATATTAGCATTTGTTTTTTTATTTTGACAGGGTGTGACCAGAGGTTCATAAGCATCCCCGATGGACCGCAAAATGGAACGTTTCATGCACCTAATATGACAATTCTCGATGGAGAGACAAGGCAGTGTGTTTATACATTTTTCGCAGGACCACAGCAAAGAGTGGAACTTGTTTTTGATACATTTGGTCTTCGAGGCAAGCCACCAGAGTAAGTGTTCCACATTTTTGCAGCATGTTGTGCCGAGTACAGGTCCATATGAGAATGACAGAATTGACAATAGAGTTCAAAGCAGTATATTGCACAAGCTGAAGAATTGTTGTTATGCGAATTGCAGTCGTCAAAAAACAAAATTCATATCTTTTTTTGGATAAAAAAAAAGAATTCATCAAAGGATCGAGAAACTTTTATTATTAGCACAGCTCCCAAGAAACAGTTTTAAGATAATTGCTCCCTTGAATCGGAAAAATTTGTGCAATTTTTATATAGTCAAAGAAAAAAAATTGATACAGTGAAAAAAAATTTATTTGATTCAAATAATCGGTTGCTTGACTATTACTAAATAAATATTTATTTGTATCAAATAATTATTATATAAAATGATATTTGTTTCAAATACAGAAATTATTGGTTCAAATACAGTTTATTTAATTCATTAAAAATTATTTAGCTCGGGTTCAAGTAAATATTTATTTGATAATAGTCAAATAACCGATTATTTGAATCAAATAATTTTTTTTCAATGTAATTTAAGGAAATATTTATTTAACATAAAAAATATTTTTTGATATAACGAAATTGAAATTTTTATTTAATATAAATTTTTCAATTATAAATGGACAACATATAAATTACAAGGCATTATATGTATAATTCTAAAAACTGCGAGGAGGAAAATGAAGTGTTAAAGTAATTATATTAGGAGAGTCAACAGCTGTCATACATGAAAAGAAAATTAATAACATACTGTCAAATATGTATGTAGAAAATATTCTTGAGATAGGATTATTTCATTTAACATTTAAAGTACCTAATTTTTTCTTATGATTAAACTGTATAGTTATTTTTTTAGTTAAAAACGATTCATCTTAAATTTATAAAAATTATTCTATATTAATTAAAAGTTGATTTAAGAGAACAGTGAATATGCAAAATTCTCAAAAAACAACCATCAAAATCAAGTCATCACACCGAAATCTATATCCTAAGAGAAAAAAACAAATTATCATGATGGGAAGTTACTTACCTTCAGGAATGAGTTCACTATTATCTGAGGGTAAAATTAACTATTCTATTGATCAACAAACGGGAACGTATGATATTACCCTACATTAGACGCGTCAGAATTTTTGTAGTGTCGAATTTTTATTTAGCAGAATTTGATAAGGTTGCTTTTATAATCAGACAAATTTTCATATCGAAGAATTTCTATTTCACTGAATTTTGATTAAATTCAATTTCTATTTAATTGAATTTTTGTATGGCAGATTTTCTAATACATCAAATTTTCAAATCTGTCATACAATTTCCATTCAACAGAATTTATGTTTAACAACATTTTCATAAAAAAACAATTTTTATTTATTCGAATTGTTCTTTTATCGAATTTCTATTTATCCAAATATTTATTTGATAATATTTTCATTTATTAAATTCACCATTAATGTAATTTATATTTTACAAAATTCTTATTTAACAAAACTTTTATTAAATAAAATTAAAATTTATTCGAATTAATTTTTATTTATTTAGCTGAATTTTTAAGTGAGTGAATTTCTATTTGACCGAATTTCACTTGTCCGAATTCTCATTTGATAGAACTGTTAAAACGTCGAATTTCTATTTGATAGATCTTTCACCTATCCGATCATACATTTGAACGCAATATTTTAGCGAGAGTTTTAAAATCAACCAATCACAATTTTCTTGATAATTTTTTATTGGTGAATTTTAAAACTCCCGCTGAAATGTTTCGGTCGGTTGTATGATCGGATATGTAACAGTTTTATCAAATGACAATTCAAACTAGTTAAATTCGGTTACATTGGAACTCTCTCACTTAAAAATTCATCTAATTGTAAGTAAAATTTCTGTTAAAAAAAATTAATTCAACTAAATATTGTCTTTAATAAAAGTTTTGTTAAATAAGAATTTTGTAAAATATAAATTATGTTAATGGTAAATTTAGTCAGTGAAAATATTATCAAATAAATATTTGGATAAATAGAAATTCGATAAAAGAACAATTCGAATAAATAAAAATTGTTTTTTATAAAAATTATGCTAGAAATAAATTCTGTTAAATGGAAATTGTAATATTTGAAAATTCGATTCATTAGAAAATTTGCCATAGAAAGGTTCAGTTAATGGAAATTCTACCAAATCAGAATTTAATTAAATCAAAATTCTTTGAAATGAAAATTCGACTCATTATAAAATTCTGCTAAATAAAAATTGGATAATTTTTTTAATTCGACGCCACAAACATTCCGACAGGTCTAATGTGAGGAATAATCATGTATTCCAACAAACGATATCTAAGGAACAGATAAACGAAGACTCGTTATATAAATTTTTATTCACAGTTAATAATAATTGAATATTAATTTATTTAATCTTTTACAAATATTTAATTTTTAAATCAATGATTATTATATTGAGTGATGATATTTAATGCTGTGATTCTGAATTATATTAATAATTAATTTTTTGAAAAATTATTTTAAAGTGGCAATTGCTTGCGCTTGTGATGAGTGTTTCGTTAATTAAAGGCCTGCTTTTAGAGAATCATGGTGATTATGAGGATTGTTTCTATGTATTTCGTTGATACGAATTTGTGTATGTTTTGTGCTTGCTGCTTGGGGTGTTGCAGTGGATCTGCTGTTGGAGAGATACCCGCGTGAGTATCATGAAAATTTTCTTCCCCCTTAAAATTTCATAATTTTTAATACCAACAAAATTTTTATTCATTTCATTTTGAACTGATGGAAACAAAAAATAATAATAAAAATCAGGAAAAGGAGCAGGCGCAAAGCGCCTACATCTAGGGTTTCGTGGCTTTTTAAATTCAGATAAAAAGTTATTTGTATATAATAAATAATTTGTAATTACATTATTTGTGAATTGCTATGGTTGCTATGGAAACGGTTGCTATGGTAATGTTTTCTATGGAAATGGTTGCTATGGTAATGGTTGTCATGGAAATGGTTGCCATGGAAACCATACGAGTGTACGACAGACGGACGGACAGACGATTATTGCTATGGTATCTGTTTCCATGAGAACCATTCGAGTGTACAACGAACGGACGGACGGACGGATGCCAAAGCAAAACTATAAGGCTTTCGGCCCTGGGCCTCGAAACCCTAAAAATGATGCTAAAAAAGCATATATAATATTAATTCAATGCTTGTCGTTTCTAAATTATTGTAATATTATCACAGGAGTTGTAAATTTCAATGTTGCGAATCAGTTGAAGTTGATGTTTTTACCAAGAGCATGCATTTAGGTGAAAATATATAAAAATTTACTTTTTTCATGAAGGAGAAATATTTATGGAGAAAATTATTTTTAATTAAATGATATAATGCTTACTGTATGGTTACTGTAAGCTCACCATATAAAAATTTAATCAAGAATAAAAATATATTAATAAATTTTTTACAATAAATTATGTATTTTGCGAAATAGTTTAAAGACACTATATGATGGTTTTGTTGATTATAAAATTTAATATTTTCTATACGAGATAAAATAAAAATTAAAATGAAAAAAAATTACTAAAACTTACTACATTGTTTTTGCAGAGTTTTAATTTCGTTAAACTCTCAAATTGTGATTTACGTATTGAATATTCGTTTTCTGATGTGAAAAAATCGTACGCTTTCTAAATTTGATTCAGGAAGAATTCGTTGCTTGGGTAATATAAAAATGAACAATTGCATAAATTTAATACCTGTAAATCAGTGAATTATTGCTAATTCAAATTTATAGAGTGAAGAATATGTATAAGTACATAACATACGAGCAAGCATGTTGAATCGCAGTGGATTTAGTGTTACGGAATTTAAAAAGTATTCTTTGCACGCGAATACTCTGTGTAAGAGTGGAAAATTACAGTTCTAATATTAAACTGAATAATAAGAACCTTCACTTTAATATCTAAAATTTTAATCTAGTTCAAGATATAAAATATTAGCTATTTATATTAAATAAGGGTCGTCAATGATTACGTAATGATTTTTTTTATTTTTAACCCTTTATCCCCCCCTTGTAACACTATTATAACAGAGGAATATGATTCTACTCCTTTTTTTGTTATGCAACAATTTTATTTTATTTTTATGCAAAAGAAAATAATAAAAATAATCCGTATAATATAAGGTACATTATTTTTGGTCATATTTTCACTGTAATTTTTTGCAGTAAAATGCTATTGCAGCTTCAACAAAAATAAAAATTAAGCGCGAAATTAAGAAAAAAGTGAAATATAATATATTATCTATTTTTTTACAGAAAATGATTTTAAAAATTTTTGTTATTTTTTTTTACAAGATATGATGATTTTGAAATTATATACTCTATTTTTTTTAGTTGTGTTCACGAATACATGGATGTATACACAGAAATACGATCGGATAATGCGAGTAAGCTGATAGATACTCCTTTCGGAGGACGATATTGTGGCCCAATTCCACCCAGGAAGAGAGTTTCCCTATACCAGGGAATAGCACTTAGCTTCTATACAGACAAAAATATAACCTTGTCTACTCTCTTTAGCGGCTGGTATTCATTTATAAACGCCTGTAAGAATCTATTATTATTTATTTCCTACAATTTCACGCACTAATTAAAAAAAGTAATTTTGTTTTCTATTAATTAGAAAGTCTTTTAACAGTCCCTTTATAATCTTTTGTAGTTTTATTTATAATATTATTGTAATAATATTTATTATATAATAAAATTATAATAATATTATTATTATTTATTTATAATATTATGATTAATTATTTTTTATAAAATTTTCTTTTCAGTTTAAAAATGGCCCTAGGAGGTGAAATTGATTTTTGAGTGAAATGAGTTTTAAGTGAAATGACTTGTTTCAGCCCTGTAGATTAATTTTTAAAAGAAAACGCGAAATTTTCAAAAACTAAAAATGATTTTTTTATACACTTTTTTTATGATTCTGAACAATCAATCGTATGGATTTTTTAAAATTTTAATATTTTCAAAAAATAAAATTTCTAAAATAGTCAAAAAAAATTTTTTTAGTTTTGTTAATTCAGAATAATTTTAGATCCCAAATAATGCCAGAAAAAAATTGACATCCCTTAACAATATTAATTTCGATGCATTAAAATTTCATCAGTACCTCCCCTTAAATTTGCCATAAAATGATCCTATATCCAAGCTTTATTAATAAATTGAAACGGAAATATGATGCAATAAAGACAGGTGCAATTTAAAATTTTAGTGAATTTTCATTGTCTGATTTTAACAACCTACCATTTTTAGACGAGTATTTAAAAAAAAATTGAAATTGATCCAAATAAAAGCTGAGGATTTCATCTTTAAAATAAGCCTAAAGCACTTAAAAATATTTACTGGTTATTAAATTATGACTATTTTATATAAAAACAATGCACGGATGATTTTTAAAGCAGTGTATCTAGGTACTGCTTACTAGACTCGCATCTGACTGACAGCTCCAAAATGATGATATTTCCAAAATTCAAAATAAAAATTCCTAACTCATTTTTTTCAAGTCAAAAGTCAATTTTCCTTCCAGGTTAAATAAAAATACATAAGATTTACCTATTGCAAATTTTGTTATGATGCCAACATCAAAAACGATGAGCATAAACATAAAAAACGGATTCTAATCAATAAAATACCTACTGCATTTAAATGTTGTGAAATATGATTTACATACATTTATTTTTCAGCTGAATATGAAATTGGAACACCTCTGCCCAGTCTACCATGTTCTTTTATAATAAATTCAACTATAAAGCGCACTGGGAATATTTTGTCTCCCACGTATCCGGGAACGTATCCGAAAGATCTTATTTGTACTTATCAGTTTATTGGAATACCTGGACAAAGAATACGTTTAGAATTTCGTGATTTCGACCTTTTCTTTGGAGGTCTTCAGTAAGTTGTACAAATTTCTTCTTCTTTAATATTTAACAATATTTTATTTTATAAAATAAATAAAATGAAAATAATAAATAAAAATTTTTGTAGCTGCCCATTTGACTATGTAAAAGTATATGATGGCTTAAATATTTCGTCAGCGGTGATAGGAACCTACTGTGGACAGCAAAGAAATTTAGTCTTGTATTCATCCGAATCTGTTTTATTTGTTGTATTCTCAACACTCCAAAGAACAGCAAATACACAAAATCGAGGATTCAAAGGGATATTTGAATTTTCAGAGAGTTTTGTAAAATTAGGTACAATTATACGTTTTTTTTGCAATTTCATTTATATAACTAAATATAAAGATATTTTTCTAAAAATTATTTTTTTCAGATTTCATACTTAATTTTGAAGGGCAACACATTAGAGGCACAGAGTGCGATCAAAAAATTTTAAGTAAAAAGGAATCTTCAGGGTATGTTGTCGGTCCCAATTATCCATTTCCTTACATTCCGAAAGTAGTTTGTCGATATTTCATTTATGGAATGCAAGATTTTCAACACCTCGAACGAGTGAGATTGGAATTTTCTATATTCTCCATTCCTATAAAGCCTTCGAATAACACCGAGTAAGTAATCTCGACTTAGATTTTATTAAACTGATCTTTTTACTAATTCAAAGGCATTCCTGCCAAATATTGTTATATAACTGTTATTCCTATTGTTGTTTTTAAAGTATCAATAAAACATTTTTTTTCTAGAACAACATGTACAGACGGATATTTAAAAATATATTTAAAGGGTCAGGAAGCAACTGATTCTTACGATAAATTTGACCATGAATTGTGTGGAATGAATACTATTCCTCCAAATGTGGTTAGCGATGGTCCGCGACTAGTTATGGTCTTCAGCAGCGGAGAATTGCAAGGAATAGGCTTTAAAGCAAAGTAAAAGAAATGTTTTTATATTTTTATACATATTTTTTATTTTTCTTTATATTTGAAAATTCATTGTTTATTTATTTCAAATTCTTTTTTACAGTAAAATTCTTTTTTTTTAAACTCGTTTTCACAACCATCCGGGATACATGAATATTCCCTACATTGAACTTATAAGAATTTTTATTTAAGAGAATTTTATAAAGTAGATTTTATATTCAACCGAATTTCCAAACAAACAAATTTTTATTTAGCCGAACTTTTATATAGCAGACACTTTAGTTCACCGAATTTTCATTTAGCACTATTTCGTTTCAACAGAATTCTATCTTATATTCTTTAATAGAATTACTACTTATCCAAATGTTTACTTAAAAATATTTTCATTTCACCATGAATTCACATTCAAAAGAATTTATATGTAACATAACTCTTATTTGACCGGATTTTCATGAAGGAGAATTTTTATTCTAACCAATTTTAATTCAACAGAATTCTCATGAATTGGAATTTCTATTTAGCTTAATTTTCAAATAGCATAATTTTCATTTCATCGAAACTACATTTGATTGAATTGGCTGTCTAGTAACTTTTACCTACTTGGTCAGACATTTTGGTTTTTATTTCTCTTTCTATCGTATAAATTAAAGAAAGACGAAAAAGGAAAATGGTTGTCCGAAGTAGGTAAACACCAGATGGCGTATTGAAGTTTAGCCAATCCCAATAAGATTCAGAATTAAAAAATTGCTTTTTACTCAATTTATACATGTTCTTGTTTATAAAATAAGATTTTAACTTATAAATTTATAATTTTAAATAAAATTTCAATATCAAGGAAATAAACACCGTTTGGTGAAATAGACGTCTGCGTTCGCCATTTTGGCACATAAAATGTAAAAGTTCTTTGAAATGACAATTCTATCAAAATAATGGAGTTTCGATGAAAAAGAAAATTATACCATTTGTAAATTGACCCAATTAGAAATTCTATTAAATAATAATAATTTGTTTGAATAAAAATTCGGTTAAATAAGAGAAATTGTGTTAAAAATTAATTTAGTTAAATAAAATACTGTTAAGAGAACCCGGTAAGAAGCGAGAAATAGAGAAAGATTTAAATTTTGTATATATTAAGCGTAAGTTGATCATTTTCAATTATTCTGAATAGTCGAATTTACGTTTTTACCCAATTTCCCAGTGAACATCTAAATATCAAAAAAATGAATTCTTTTCTATTCCCAGTATAGATAAGTCAATAGAAGAGAATTCAAACTTCCTATTTTTCTTAATGCGCAAAGTTCTTTATTTTCAAACTTTTTGGCAGCGAATAGAAAAAATTAAATGTTTGGAGAGTAAATTCTAAATATCTATTCCTTTCAATCGCCAGCTTCAAAATTTCCAAAGCGTATTGAAAGGAATAAGAAATTTGAAAAGTGATGTACATGTGGTTATTTTTATAAATTGACTATAGCTCAGGCCATTTGGAGCGCATTTAGAGGAATAGAAAATGTGGAGAATAAATAAGGCATTTCTATATTTTACAATTGACTGTGTCAGGTTATATGTATAATTTAGTCGAGTATAAATTTTGACCAAGTCAATTAAGAAGAATAGATTTTTCTACTTTTTTTTGCTTCATCGAGGAATTGAATAAAAACGTAAATTCACCCATTCAAAAGAATTGGAACTTTAAATTCTTTTCAATTATTCGCTTCTTACCGGGAATATTTAGATAAATAGAAATTCGATTGAAGTTCAATTCTGTTAAATGAAAGTTCTATTTTGTAGAAATTTAGATAAATATAAATTCTCTTTAAGGGGGAGTGACACCTTTGACCCGAAAAAAATCGATTTTTTTTTGTTTGCTTTAACGATACTTTATGATGTGTAGATTAGAAATTATATTATCAAAAGCGATTTCGAAGTTATTTTATATTCAAAAATTCGAAATCTGCAGAAAGGGTCCAAGAGCGCTTGGAGTGCTTGTTAGAGCTATCGGCTATTTTCTCTTTTACGGTGGTAACAATTGCGTTCTTCTACGCTCACAGCCGCTCAAAAGGCTGAAGATGAAGCCAATATTAATGTAGAAGGCCAATTATACGGTGCAGGCATCGCAGATTAACGTTGAGTTTATTTTTGTATAAGTTTTCATATGTCAAAACTTTAAACGCGTTTTTCTCGAAATGACATTTTTCAAAACAGTGGGCAGTCTAGCTCGGCAGTTTTGATTGGATTGACTTCGGGAAAAGTTTTTTTTGATCGTCATTTAATAATGCTTTAAAATACGTAGCGGATTTCTTTTTTGGTTTGTTTGTTTTTTTTGGCAATAGACTTTTTGAAAAAATTTTGACCTAAAAATCGACTTTTTCCTTCAAATAGCTGCCAAATCCACAAAAATTAATATTTTTAAAATAGCCTTTAGCGGCCTCTGTAGGCAACAAATTGAAACTTTTTCAAAGTATAAATATATTTTCGTAAACTTAAAAAGTTAACAAATAAAGTCCTCGAAACCAAATTTTGTTTCCTATATTCCTGTGTCTTAAAAAAATTTATAAAAAACAGGTTCAAAAGAGACCTTAAAGGTGTTACTCTCCCTTAACGAAAGTCGCGTTAAATGATAATTTAGTGAATTAGAGAATCTGCTTTACAAAGTTCGGCTAAATAAAAATTTTGTTGAATTTTAAAGTTTATTTTTTTAAATTCTCTTAAATATAGATTCAATAATTTTTAATTCCAACACTTCAAAAATTCTAATAAGTCCAATGTGGGGAAAATTCGTGCGTGTCCAACCACCCTACTGAAAGTTGCACTTATTATAGAATCATATATAACGTATAATGGAAGAAAAGAAAACTTTTTTTATTTTGATTCATTTATAGAATTTTCTGTAGTTAAAAATTATTATTCATTTTATTTAGAGAATTTTTTTCGGTATATAATAAAGTATGTAATATGTCCTAGTTATTTCAAATAAAGAAAGTGTATAAAATTTAAAAAAAATTGTATATTTGCAGATACACATTTGAAACGGAGTACAAGATACCTGGTACTGCAGAGCCTGACGGCAGTTGTACATTTACGTATCGCAGTTCCTCACGTAAAAAGGGAGAATTCAATTCTCCACGTTATCCTAGTAATTATCCAAGCGACACAAACTGTACTTATAATTTCTTAGCAACTCCTAACGAACAAGTGACGTTAATTTTCGATCATTTCAAAGTGAAAACGAAAAATGCCAACATAACTGTCGGACATTATGGGTAAGTCGTTTTTGCTCCTCTTGTGCAGGCATCAAATAAAATTTTTCATGAAAATCCAACAATTTTTTTTTAAACTTAATTTGACAATTTTGATTTTGAATATTTAAAATCAGGACGCATGGATATTAGGGGATTTAGGGGCAAAATGCGATGGCTAAGGTTTGAAGTTTAATTAAACTAACATTATTATATCAATTTTTTATTGTTTATTACAATAATCATCTTTGGGAATCAGCCTTCCATGGCACAATCTTATTAAGAACATTTGTTACATAATAAAATATAAAATTAACAAAACGTAGAAAAGTGAAATATGACCATCTTGCCTCCCCTGGGGGAAAAATGGGATACTCTATATAAAAAGCAAGCTGGGGTTTACAAAAAAATCAATCTATTATTGCTTGCAATCTTCAAAAGTGAAGGTTGCATCTTCACCTTTTTTCCAAACTGATTTGTGGGACAGAAAATATTTTTTCTGCTAAATTGAAACCCATTTTTCGCCCACCACATTTTTCATGCTCTCTACTGACCAATTTTCTCTACATGTCTTTATTTTATAATTTTTTTACCCTTCTACAAGAAAAATGAAACATTTATACAAAACTAATTAACTCTTGTACTTACAATAATATGTTTTTAATTATATGATAAAATAAACTCCATATCCCATTTTGCCCCCTCATGCGAAATGACACTAAAAAGTTAACCAATAAAAAGTATGATTCAACAAACAATTATACAAATGTTTACCTGCTAGAGTAGTGAGTAACACTTATGAAGAGCAAAAAATGTTATATAAAATGCTGTTATTTACAAAATAAACACGTTCTGAACAAAATGGATAAGTTAGAAGAAAATCACCAAAAACAGTTTTTTTCATAAAACAACGTGGTAAAAAGAAAAAACGTGATATAATCGTTCAATGTTTTTACCACCTAAAAACTGTCATATTGGTTCCACATTATGTGCAATACGACCTTTATTGGTCCATTAATGTGTGAATAAAGGCAACTATCCCGTTTTGCCCCTACGTCCCCTATATTATTTTTATTTTTTATATTTATGATGCATTTTACGTGTAATGTCCTGAGTTAAAAAATTGATTTCTCGAAAAAAAGTGAAACTTGGGGAAATTGTTGTCCTACCTGATAGTAAAATATCCCCAAAAAAATTTTTGACTTTTTTGAAATTTTGGGGGAGATAGAGGGGGGTCAATTTTATCAGTTTTCCCTGACACCGCCTACTATTTGAATTTTTTCTGTCTATAAATGCAATAAAAAAAATTTTGGCAGGTATGTTTTTTGAAGGTTTTTTCATGCTCTTTCCAATGGTGAATTCGTTTTTTAAAATTTTTGAATTTTGACCTTGATTTTCTATAATTAAACATAAATTTCCTATTTTCACTAAAATCGATGCGATTTTTTTTTAAAATAAATAATTGCAAACGAAAGCAAACCTTCAAAAAACATACCTGCCAAAAATTTTTTTATTAAATCTATAGACAGAAAAAAAATCAAATAGTAGACGATGTCAGGGAAAACTAATAAAATTGACCCCCTCCCCTCTATCTCCCCCAAAATTTCAAAAAAGTCAAAAATTTTTTAGGGATATTTTACTATCAGGTAGAACAACAATATCCCCAAGTTTCACTTTTTTTCGAGAAATCAATTTTTTAACTCAGGACATTACACGTAAAATGTCTCTTATATATTTTTTAGATTACACAGGTCTACAAAGTTTTTTTTTGAGATATCAAAGTGGTTTCCAATGTATTTTTGTGTGCTGAACACAATCCCAGGTTCCAAAATTGCGTGTCACATCAGGATTCTGAGTAAAGTGGGGGTAATGTCTTCAAAAACCGTGTTTTTGAGGGTTTTCAATATTTTTTGTCTCATTAACCTGACGTGATAGACTTCTATATAGGTTTAAATTTAATCTTAGATCGTACACTTTAAGACTCATATGCTAAAGATAAAAAAAAATTGAAAGTTTTAAAAAAATTAGGTTCAAAACACCCAAAAAGTTTATTGGGGTCATTACTCCCATTTTTTCAAAATTTAAAAATTTGTTTTATCTTGTACAGATGGGTATTAAAGTGTACGATTTAAACTTTAATTTAGGCCTATAAAGAAGTCTCTATAACGTCAGGTTAAGGAGAAAAAAATACTGAAAACCTTTACCTTAAAAACAGGTTTTTCAGGGTGGTTTACCCACATATTTTTCAAAATTAAAAATTTTTTTTATCTTGAGGATATGGTTCTTAAAGTGTACGATTTACACAGAAAATTAAAAGGCATTATAAAATAAGCTTCAACGCTTATTATTTTAATCAAATTTTGCTTATTTTAATATCAAAATGGATTAAAATAAGCAAAATTGGATTAAAATAATAAGCGTTGCAGCTTATTTTAATGCCTTTTAATTTTCCGTGTAAGTTTTAATTTAAGCCTATATGTATATAAAAGTGTCTAGCACATCGGGTTAAGGAGAAAAAAAATACTGAAAACCCTCAAAAACACGACTTTTGGAGACTTTACCCTCGCTTTACTTAAAATCCTAACGTGATACGCAATTCTGAAGCCTGGGATCGAGTTCAGGACATAAAAATACATTGGAAATCACTCTGATATATTTCAAAAAAAGTCCTACTTTGTAGACCTGTGTTATGTATTTTATTTTTAAAACAATATATTTGCTTTTGTTTTAAGAAGAATACTGTTTTTTTACAGACTTGACCTTTGCCAAGACGATTGGGTAGAGGTTTATAACATGTATCAAGATAATACCGAAAAATTAATAGGAAGGTATTGTGAAATGACAGCACCAGGACCTGTGGAATCAAATCTTGGTGCACGGGGATTAAAAGTAATTCTCCACTCCGATTCTGAACTCGTGTACAGCGGCTTTAAAGCACGATATATTTTTGAAAATACCAAATCGATTTTTGGAGGTAAGAATTTTTGTTCATTAAATCAATAATTTTCAAACATTTTTTCCATCAAATGCCAATATTTTTTTTTATTTAAAGGCGCAATTTTTGTACCTGCGGAAAAAAAAATTTTTAATTATTTATTTTCAATATAAAAAACATATTTTTTCAGATTGTGGAACAAATATCAGTAGTTTGGATTATGGAGTAATTACGAGTCCCAATTTTCCAAATAACTATGATGGTCCTGCAAAAAATCTAGCTAGTAAAACATGTAATTGGTTCATAAGTGTGAAACCAAATCATCAAATACTTTTGAATTTTGAGCTTTTCTCTGTGGAAGGAGACCAAATAAGTAAGTATTGTATTTGGGGGATTTTTCCTCAAACATCTCAGTCAAAAATTAAAAGTTCTGTGATTGACTTGAAACTTTAGTAAATTATTGTCCTATATGAAATTAAAAAATTCCTAAAATAGTATCTTAAATTTTTTTTTTAAATTAAAAAAAATTATAGAAAGTTGTGTGACACAGTCATTTTCAAATCTAACTACGATAAAATTTTATGGATTTTAATTATCAACAATGTTTTCTTTTAAATTTTCAGACCGAGGTTGTCCAGCTGCTGTGTTACGTATGTGGTTTTCGATTTTGAATTCACCACTCGAATTATGTGGTGTTAAGAATCCTGAGGAACATTGGTTTTATCTCTCGGAAAACAACAATATGCGTTTAAGGTTTCCACTATGATTCCAAACTGATTTCTTTTCTAAAATTTTCATTCTCATTAATGATAGTTTTTTTTTCAAAGAAAAATTGAACAAAATAAAAAATGAAATAATAGTATGTGAAAATAAAACATCTGAAACATAAAAAAATAATATCAATAATAAATAGTACTAATAAATGTTTGCAGTTTCATAGCGGCAGCGAAAGCAGTTGGCCAGACTGGATTTCGAGCAGTGTGGACGGAAGTGATAACGGACACCGATTGCCAACACCAATTCCTTTGCAGTAAAAACAAATACTGCATTTCCTCATCCTTACGATGCAATGGCATTGATAATTGTGGACCAGATGACCTGTCGGACGAAGAAAACTGTAAGTTTCTTTAAAGCATTTAACAAAAGTCACTCTAATGGCAGTCTGTTTGATGTTGATTTTGCTTTTCCTCTTTAATATATTACTCGTATATACTTCATATATATACTATTTTCTAATATATTAGGTGCAATCCCTCTCTCTAGAATGTTTAGAATATGCTATGTTGTTAAAACTCAAATCTGTATTGATTATTATCTTCTTCCGTCGTGTTGTTATATTTGAGCACAAAAAATTCTCTAATTCTCTAACTTTATACTTTTCTCTTTAATTTACTGTTATTTCGTGATATACATACAAATACATGATTCTTATGTATTATAATTATAGCGGTATGATCCGTTTAAAATTCAATGAAATAAGTATATACTGAGCACATAAAAACAATTTTTACCCCAACCTCTATAAACACCATCATTTTCCCTCTTCCGATGTCTTTTGATGATCTCTCATATATTATTATATATTTTTGTCGAATCTGAGGAAAATAGAGAAGATTTTTTTTTTATCAAAAGAGTAAAAATGAAGTTGTAAAAAGGAAAATTTAGTTTGATGTGCATTTTTACACAAGTGCGATAAATTTATGCCTAAAGGGAGGGAAGTATCTTTAGTCACTTAAAAAAATAAGGTAATTTTTATGGATTTTTGAAAATTGAAAACGTTATTTGTAATTTAATTTTATACCTATTTACATATAATAATATAGGATATAATAAAATAGAAAATAATATTGCTGTTTAAATGAACGAAAATAATTTACTACTTCTTTAAATTAATATAAAACTTTTTTTTGTATCAAAAAATGTAGTTTTCATTAAAACTAACATGAATCAATAAATTAAAGTTAAAAAGTGACAAAATAAAACGTTAATGCAAAAAAATTCATGAAAATTGTTTTTTTATAAGTGTCCAAAGATCCCATTGTGCCCGCAAAAACTCAATATTTTATGTTTATCTTCAAGATATGTTTTTATAAACAAAATTATTAGCATATTTTTTCACAGGTACTTTTTTTTAACTCTTTTCAAATTCGGATTTTTGACTAGACAAAATTTGGAATATTGCGCACATTTAATGCGGATTTTCCACGTACAGATTTCGAATTATATTATGTACATACTTCAAACCACTGATCTCTATATTATAAACTGATTTCAAATTCAGATATATGTGCGGGTTGTCTGTTTATTTTAAATTTGAATTGTTGCGAACTGTTTGCGAATTGCCTACATACAAATTCTGCATTAACTTCGGAATAAGTTTTTTGATCGAAATCTTCAAAAGGAAAATACCAATAAGCAAATTTGTTGGATTAAGTAGGAACAAATTATAAAATTTACAGTTAAGGAAGAACCCTCCCTGCATAGTTAGTCAAAACAGCAACCATTTAAGTTTTCATTTGAACCAATCAGTACTAATGCAACGCTTGGTAACATATTGCATTTGTTACTTTCCCGTTTTGCTTTGTGTCGTCTGCATCGTTGCCAAGCGTTTTGCTGAGTAACTGCTGATTGATAAAAAAAAGTGTTTTTTATACAAAATAATTATTTAAACATATAAGTTATCATGTTCCCTAATAAAAAATATAATTGTCGGACAAAAAACCGTTTTTTATTGTTTGGTTTACGTTCTTTTGAACATTAGAGGACATCTACCTGTACCTCCTCTTATAAATCTTGTCTCACATTTTTCCTCCTCTGCTCTGAACACAACGCAGTCTTTGTGTTCTTTATTGATGCTAACGGTGAGGTTTTCCGTTTTTGTCTTGTTCTCATGAGAAACAGTATTCGATAACTTGAAATCATCTTTTACTTTTTTCGTTCCGCCCTGACTTATTAGATTTACCCAATACCACTTATTTGACTCTTACTATAGAGTATAAACGGTACCATGAGGATCCGGGTGCTCATGGAGATTTATCTCTATCCGAACCGTTGGGTTTAAATTGTGGTGGCGTCACTATGACAGTTTAGCCAAACTAAAAGCAGACTTCCTCAAGACTGATTTCAGGTTGAACACCAGTCATTAACCAAGTAAGGAGATTTAGACTTTAGTGATATATTCCAATGTGGAACATTCTAACCAAACGCTATTAATCTAAAACCTGTGGAAAAAGTGTCTCCAGTAAAAGAACGTTTGTTTTTAAAATTTATAAAAACCATAACGTGAAAATGAACAAAAAATATTGAACTTTTAAGCTTTATTGGGTTAAAAAGGATTTTACAAAAAAAAATAATATAATTTATATTATTAGTGGCTGAAAATTGTTAGAATTTCAGTCGTACATAATAATAGATAGGTATGTGATACGAAGAAGCAGAGTAAAGTGTAAAATGAAAATTATAAAGGTACAGGTGATTTTATAAGATTAGATTTAAATTTTTTAGGTAAGTAGTACGTATGTAAACGTACAAGAAGTGAGAATGGTGGTGGGATTGGATGGGTGAATGGTTGTATGGTGTCGCAGGTACAGCATCAGCTCCAACGGCACCAACAATGACTGGAGTCTCTGCCATGCTTCTCTCTCTGTGCTTTGTGTTCGTGACCATCTGAGTCCTTCTCAAGGCTTCCGTCGCAAGATTCGGCATGTTATGATCTCCTTATCACGTGAGTTCACTCACACTTTACCTCAATTTTTTAATCACTCATCAATATCAAAATTAAAAAAGAAAAAAACACATCAAAATTGGCCACGAAAAAAATATAAACGCGATATCAGTAATAATAATAATTATTCACTGTATTCATATATTTTTTCCAACACAAGATCAAAATGCATGAAAAAAAGACGAATGTAATATGACATGCTTTTTTGTATTTCAATTTTTGATCTATCTCTTTATACCTATATATGAACAGGGTGTCCAAAAAGTATGGACACGGACAATTATCCCGGAATATTTACAGGAAAAAGTGAAACAAAAATTTTTAACACAAGGATCAATGTTGAACAATTTTTGTTTGAATCACTTTTTTCATTCTTTTTTCGAGATATTTGAAAATATCTAGATTTTTTGAGCATCTTGTACTTCATTTATCTATGAATGCATGGAATTTGGTCTTTTCTCGAATTTTATATCAAATAACTATATGCATTTATCTTTCTCCTTTGTCTTCTTGTCTATAAATATAAATATTTTTCTTCACTTCTGCAAAAATTGTCACTTAATCAAAATTAATAATTTACAATTTTTCGCATTTTTAGTCGAAATTCGCGAAGTAAAATATTATCGGATATTCATTCATAAATCATTCATTAACAAAATATAGTATAAAGTAAAGTGAAAGTTTCTAAAATATCTATTACTTTGAATTATTCTGAAATTTTTATTCGACATTTTTTTATGACAACAAAATCAAATGTTTCAAATACTTTTGTATATCTGTATCTGATTATATATTGTTATTTAAAATTTTTAATATTTCTATCATTCTTGTGAATTTTATTACCATCCCTACCAAAAAATAGCGATCCATACTTTAAGTAGGGATATATAGAGATGAAATAATAATTTGTGAATAATATTTCAGAATAAAATAAATTTTGAGATGAACAATGGGGTTAAAAGAGATATCTCAGGGTACCATAGGATTATCTATCTAACGATTATTTACACAAATTAAGTAATACGTTAAGAGAAGGAGAGGGTAATGGTGAGAAATATGTTACAAAATTTTTGAACTCTCCCCTACAGACCTTGTAAAACCCTTTTTATTTATTTTCTGGTCACAGAAATGAATTTAAAGTTATGTGACTGTTAGGTCTGTAATATTAATTTGTCCATAACTTACCTTGTAAAATACTGAATAAATTGAGTTGAAATTTTATGGAGGAGTTCCAAATATAATAAGGAATGGTTGTCAAGTGTGAAAATGTTGATATATTGTTAAATTATTATTATAAAATACTTGAAAATAGTTAGAAAATGTGGGGTTAGGGGTGTCGGATTTTCTAACAATTTTTAAGCCTTTTATTATATTTATTTCACAGTTTTCCTAAAAGTATCAAATTGAGACCAAAAATTGCATCAAATCTTTGCAACGTTTTGATCCACATAAGTTATATCAAAAAGAGATCGTTTTGTGTGTATCATTTTTAGAAATGATACACGAAACGGTCTCATTTTTTGATGCAAAAAATTGAATCAATTTATATGAATCATGGCCGAATTGAATCGACTCAAAATTAAACGAATTTTTTTCAGATATTTTAGTAATAGTACAATTGCGGAGACCATTTCACTATTTAATTTGAAAATGAAAATAACAGAAAATCAAAGACAATGTGCAATTCGATAATTAAAAAGTGACAGCTTATAAATATAACCTAAAATGCATGAGAAAAAATTTGTCGATAAAATCAATATAGCCTAGCTTTTTAGAAGGTAGATGGCAGTTTTGCTTTTTATAAAAACGATTCAGAAAAAATTTAAAGAAAGAAAATAGATGAGTGCTGCCATCTACCTTCTAAAAAGCTCGGCTATATTGTATCATTTCTAAAAATGATACACAAAACGATCTCTTTTTGATATAACCATGAAGTAGGATAAGGAGAGGTAACGCCTGTAGCCAATCGCTAGAAAACTTGACACCATATAGGGGGGACCACAGTAGTACGACTTTCTATTTTCCTACTGTTGACAGCGCTTGCGGTGGGAAATATTTGAATTATATTTTATCACGTGACCTACCGCGAAAAGAGAAACATAACCTGAATGTTTCACATGGTGTTTTTGTTGTTAAAATTCAGTCGTTTGTTTTACACATGAAGTATTTCAGTAATGTGTTAGTGTTTTGAAAAATGAAGAGTTGTTTTATAAAGCATTGCGATTCGGGTTCCAAAACCCAAATAAAAAGAGATGGTTGTGTTCGAAGTCAATGTACATTCAACACAAAACAATTTGCCAAGCGTTGTCTCATCCATTAGGCAATACAACATAATAAATTCCAGTGTCAATATTAAACTATTATTTGATTTTTAAAATATTTCTGACATTTTACAGTTAATGTATTTGCATAATACCTTCATATTCATTAACTTAACCTAACGTTGTAAACAGCTGACTTGCAGCCATGTTGCAGACGATAAATTTTAATTCTTCGCTTTCCCCAAAGGAGCGCTCGCGACATTAGGAAAAAAGAAAGCCTACTACTGTGGTCCGTCTATCTGAGGGCCAATGAATATACGCCGTTACCTCTCCTTATCCTACTTCATGGATATAACTTATGTGCATCAAAACGTTGCAATAGAAAAAGATACAACCAAGTTTACTGTGTTAACAATATATCAACATTTTCGCACTTCACAAATTCTTTATCATATTTGAAATTCCTCCACAAAATTTAAGCTTAATCCATTCAGCATTTTACGAGATAAGTTACGGACGAATTAACATTACAGACCTAATAGTCACGCATGATCTTAACTATCCTGAGTGGTAGATGCAGTAAAAATGGCGTTCCTAATTGTTATCGCTTTTCAAAATCAAAAAAAAAATTTAATTTAATGCAATATTGGTGTTTTGGCATATTAAGGTCCCGAACACTAATATTTTTGTGAAGAACACCAATATTGTCTGATAGGAACAAGCTGTAATCAAGATCAGTTACTTTTTCTTACTGATTCAATCTTTTGTTCACGTCTGAATTAATAAGTCATCCAATTTTAACTATTTCAACCAGGAAGATTGCACTGACTCAATCTAAACGAGAATCTGTTTAGAATCTTACATGTGAATAACAACAAAAATCATTGGTTTCTTTTTCTTAAATCTAACACATATTGTATTTGCTGGGATCTTGATTTCAGCTTACTTTTGAAGCTGAATTTAAAGTGTAAACGGAGTAAGACCAATTAGACAATGAGAGACTCATGCACAATACATGGGCTTAATTTTTACTGTGTTATTTATATCAAATAATCATTATTTGAGTCCATTAAATGGTATTCGTTTCAAATACAGAAATTGAGCCTCAGCGTACAATAACAACAGGTATTTGGGTACGCTTGGACTGTCTGTCCCAACCGCAATATCTACTTCAAGTTGCGTAGAGGGGGATAGAATCTAGTTTCCTTATTGGCCCGTTCTCGTTTCCACCGCGCAACTCGAAGTAGATATTCCTTTTGAGACAGACAGTCACCTGTTATTGTACGCTGAGGCTCAATTATTGGTTCAAGTACAGTTTATTGTATAAGGTAATTAATTACCTTATTACCTCAATAAACTTTCAATGAGTTTTTAGTGAGTTTATTCCATTTATTGGATCGCGCTCTAGGAGTCAAACGAATTTTATACATAAAATTTATTTAACCTAAATAAATATTTATTTGGCTCTGTGATAAATATATTTTTTAGTTTGTTGTTTTTTTTGTCATGGTAACGTATAAGAGTGAGAGAAATAAAAGCCTTCTTTGTTTCTCTCACTCTTATACATCTGTTGAAGAATATTTAGATAAATTTTTATCAAAAAATATTGATAATAATTAACGCAATGAGAGCAAATTGTTGAAGACTATTTAAAAAAAATGTACACTGTTCACAATAAGTCTTCTCAAAATCATATAAAACATAAATATTTGGTAAAAAAATTACACTCTCTGAGTGTGAGATTATCGAGTATAAAAAAATAGTGTGTACGTCGTTCGGTCTCCTTTGTGTACTACTCTTTGCATTGTACAACCTTTTTCCTCCATGCAGAATATAATAAGTTCCCTTATCTATATTATTTATTACATTGGGACTTCAAATATCCGCCGACATCCTTGAGATATCTTTTAATTAAACAATAGATTTGTCAAAAAAAAATTGAGTTTTCGAAAACTATTGATAGTGAGGGCAATAATAATTGAAATTGATAATAATAATAAATGTAAAAATTTCTAGGTCGTGTGGAGGTTCCCGAAGATAACTACGCGGTTCCAGCGAGCTGTGCTGTCATTGCCGTCCTCATAGCTCTAATACTCTGCTTTCTGTGTCATCGAAAGTTGAAGAGACGCGTTCCAGAAGTACCCATCGACGATTTGCAACAACGTGTCGAGGATCGACATCACTGTTATCATCATCATCATCACAATCTCTTGCACCATTATCAGACTCAGAGCCACAGTCACAATTTTAATCAGTACCAAATTCAGGAGCCGAGCCCACCCAGCGAGAGCGAAGGGGAACAAGAGCATGTGTGCGGCGACGATGCGAGTAGTCCCGACAGCGTGTGACCGTGGATGCTTGCAACGTGGTATAAAACGCTACGACCCTCGCACTCTCCCACGTTGCTTCCTGGACTACTTCTTCTTTGCAATTTGTTATTGTTGTTATTTTTATCGCTGCCTAACGGAGGCAGTTTATTTACCGTCCCCAACATCCATCGTCATATTCGTCAACGAACTATACCCGAAATCAATTAATAAATGCAAAATTTATAGTATACGTATATCAAATTTTATTTTATATTAATTATTGTAATTATATTATTTTCCCATGTGTGGCTCATTCATATTAAACTACGTTATCGATTTACAGTGTAGAATTTTAGTTATATTTAAGGGACGTTTCACGTGAGATTTTCATTCAAAGTTTATTTTTTACTGGAACATTTTTTTCGAAATCTTTATGAATATGTTTTTCTCTGTCGTAGTAACAGCTAAAAAATAATATTATCTATATATGAAATTTGTTCGATTTTTCTTCAATATTTTAAATACTCTCTAAATCTGAATTAGTAAAAGTGTTTAACAATTTCAATTAGTGACTCACTTTTTGCTTTAAAATTAGTAAAATTTTACTAATTATTAGTAACTTTTAGTAACAATTAGTAAAATTTAACTAATTCTAAAGCAAAAAGTGAGTCACTAATTTAAATTAGTAAACATTTTTACTAATTCAGATTTAGAGAGTATATTGATTGATTTTTGAAATTTTTTTTAATCCAGTCTCCGATAAATAAAGAACTTTTTCCCATACATACGAAAAAGGAAAAAGTTCCTTATTTATCAGAAACTGGATTTTAAAAAGCTTTCAAACATCGATAATATCGGTTCCCAAATAGCATGTAACCTTGCCATGCAATATTGACAACCTTGCACGGCAAACTTGCCGCAAGCTTCAAATGTGTCACCTGACCCTAGCTTGCATGGTAAGCTTACCGAAAGATTGCAGTGTAAGGATACTGCAAGATTTCTCAGTAAGCTTGCACGGTAAGCTTGTAGCAAGGTTGATGCAAGGTTTCCAAATAACCTTGCTTTAAATCTAAAAAATTTTTTTTTAATTTTTCGTCAAATTTATATAATTTTATTATTTAAATTAGACGAAACATTTTTTTTTAAAATTTTTTAGGTTTAAAGCAAGGTTATTTGGCAACCGTGCATCAACCTTGCTACAAGCTTACCGTGCAAACTTACTGAGCAATCTTGCGATAATCAATGTGAGTTGAAAGTAAATCTTAAGAAATCGAGAAGTTGACAAAACGTAGTTTATGAATGAGCCCCGAGTTTAAGTAAAATCAAGTAAAATTTTTTTTTAAATGAGCTTTTCTTTCTGATTCCAATAGTGTAGATTTCCATGAGTATTTTGCAATAAGAAAAAATGAAATTTTTTTTCAGACCACAGTATTGAATCTTTGTCTACATAAACTTTAAAAAAGCTTTTAAATTTCAGAAAAAGAACATAAGTAAATACCCTTATTTCCTTCATTTGGTCAATTACAAGATGAATTTTATTAAAAATGGCTTCACGGGTATTTTTGGTTCATTTAATTATTTAATATTTATAAATAATGTAATATACTCAGGGAGCTTAACAGTATTGGAATTTAATAAGCAAATTTTAAATATCTTGGAATTTATTTTTATTATTTTGTATTGGAATTCTTTATGTTTTTCTTTACATAAAATAATTTGAATTAATATATCATTGTAATGATTCTGTAATTATAATATTCTAAAGTTAACAATTGGGATAAACCGAATAAATTAAAAGTCATTTTATTTAAATAATTGAAATAAAGCGTGGGCTGGTGTTTTGATACTGTTTATGTGATAAAAAGATAAAAATATATACGTATATTATAGTGAATAAAATTCATTTTTTTACCATTATAACAAAATTGCAAATATAGAAGTGATCGTAAACTTCTAATACATATTTAAATATTGAACTTGAAGAGTAAATAAAATTATATATATATTTATTCAAAAACTTTCTTAAGTTATTATTAAAATTAACAATTATTTTTTATTTAAAAGATTTGAAGCATTATGAATATTGTTTAATAATAATATTTTTTACACAACATTGAGAAATAATAATATTATTCTTCCTAAAGAAATACTTCCGAGATCCTATAATAATTTACATCTTTTTAATGTCATTTTTAAATAGCCACGAAGAGAGTGAGAGAGAGAGAGAGAGAGAGAGAGAAAACTTTTTAATATAAATTCAAAGTACATTCTTTACTAACTTGCTTTTTAATTTCTATAAAGCCGGCAAAAAGTTTCAATCTGAACTGTGTGCATGAATTTCAATATATAACAGTCGATCGCTACAATGTGCTATGTATGTTACATTTGACTAAATTGCCTTACATGAAAAACGTACCTTGAAATTGTACGATTATGTTTCTAATGCAAGCAAAGTAAATGGGACTACTGGCACTATATACAGGTATACCTGACTTTGAAGCTGAAAACGAATATTCGCTTTAATTTACAGTGATAATTGTATTTGTATAATTTAAAATATAGAATTTAAATAAATAATATTTAAATTAATAATAATAATAATAATTTGAAAAATAATTTTTTAAATCATTACAAAAAAATTTTGGAAAGTTTATTAAGAAAAAATTGAAGACATAACTTTGAACCATTAAAAATTTCTGAGATTAAAGCAGTTCAACCCCTTGACATAACCTCAAACTAAAAATTGGTTTTATTACCAAATAGAACTATATTCAGAAAAAATTTGTTTGAATCAATCTAATAAATGTATACCTATACAGTTAACCAAACTTTTGGTTGAATCAACCACTTAAAATCAACTCTTCAGTTTGAGGTTATGTAAATGGGTTGAACATAACCTAAAAATCATGACAACTTATCTTAATGATTAAAATATATCGAAACTAAACTATGAAATTAAAAAGTTATTTTATAAATATCGATAATATTTTAAAAATTGGACATTTTTTTGCGAAGAACAACAAAAATCAAAGCGAATAATTGATTTTGTAGTACAAGCTCAGTATATCTGCCATTGTTTCCTACCGAAACGGCTCCTTGGAAGCTCACTGAAAACGCATTCAAGTAATAAGTTTTCAGGAAGTTTTCAGTGAGCTTCTAGAGAATTATTTCTATCGGTAGGGTTTTGTAAAAGGTGAATTTTTAGTAAATTTCACGTACACTGATAAAGAAAAGACTCAGTGTACATAATACGTATTTGTATAATCTAAGACAATTAACGAATACTGGAAAGAAAATAATATACGCTTATAAATTTGTATAAAATTTTAAATTCGTGTTACTCTAAAGTCGCAGCTCAGTGTAACGTCACTTGAATATATTGTAAAGGCCAAAAATGACTCAATCGATGGGTTTATACGCTACATACCTACTCTAAAATAAATAGCGCTGTTTCGATTCAACTTTAAATTTTAACAAATGTATTTAGTATACGCAATTAACAAAAATTTTACATTCAAATTTATTTTTTTAACAATTTTTTTTTTTATTACAAAATCTTATATCTCAGAATTTTTATAGTTTTTTTTCGTTATTATAAAACTCATTTTTGTAAAAGATCAATGTTTATTTAATAGGGTTATCTTCAAGTTTCTCAAAGAATACATTTTTTACAAATTAACACTCAAAATATTAAAAGAAAAAAAAAATTTTTAAGAGTTTTTCTTTATGCATGTGCATACGCAGCAAAATTTCTCAACTTTTCCTACAATAAATTATATAAAAACAAATTTGGATCGGCCTGATCTGGAAACTTTTTTTTTGAGGTGGGAGAGTTACAGTTGAGGAATTTTGACCCATACACATACATATATTATATATAAATTGTTATCATTACATTTATAGATATACATATTGTACATAATTAGTTTAATAAATTACACTTGCCTGCATGTGAATAGTTTGAGACATTTTTCATAATGAAAAATCTTTTGGGGAAATTATAATATCGCATTCCATTCAGAGAAAAAAAGTTGAAATTTGCAGGCCAGTGTTATATCTTTATATATCCAGCTTTTGTTAGAACTGCAACGAAAACATCTAAAAAAAAGTTTAAAAAACTACATGTTTCCTTATTTTTCATTTGGATCTCTCTAAATCTAAATTCGTAAAAGTGAGCTACTACTTTAAATTAGAGGCATTTTACGTGTAATGCCTTGAGTTAAAAAATTGATTTCTCGAAAAAAAGTGAAACTTAGGGAAATTGTTGTCCTATTTGATAGTAAAATAAACCCAAAAAAATTTTTTACTTTTTTGAAATTTTGGGGAAGATAGAGGCGGGTCAATTTTATCAGTTTTCCCTGACACTGCCTACTATTTGAATTTTTTCTGTCTATAAATGCAATAAAAAAAATTTTGGCAGGTGTGTTTTTTGAAGGTTTTTTTTTCACTAAAATCGATGTGATTTTTTTTTAAATAAATAATTGCAAACGTAAGCTGAGGTTTTTCCAATATGTATATAAATTTTCAGAATGCCGATTTTTTTTGTTTTCGATATATTAAATGTCAAAGATTTTATGTCCGCGCCCCAACTGGGATTTCCTAAAGTGAAGTTTATTCGAAATTACTGTTACATATCAGTAAAAATTAAAAAACATCAATATTTTTTAAACAATTAGTATTACAAACAAATTTAGTTACAGTAGAAACTTATATTTCATGACATAAATAAATAAATTACAAAAAATTGGTTAAAAGTTTAATAATTTTTAACTACAATTTTTAAAATAATTTATTCAACTAAATTATTATTTATTTATATAAATTTTATTATTATACTATACATTAAAAGTATACCATTAATTAATTGCAATTTTTATTAATCTACCCCGTCATCTAATTACTGTATGATATTTACTTTCAATTTCTCATATGCGTTAGTTAGCGTAGTTGGTTAAAGCGTTAGGTTGTAGGTTCGAATCCCGTTGGGTGTTAGAGAATTTATTTCATAAGTTTGCGTTAATTGTAAGGTACATCTATTAAATATGACAAATTCGAAAAATATGCGATTCATGTACCTTAATAACCTATTTTTTATAAATATTATATCCACTTATCTAACACTCAGAATATTTGGGCATAAATGGGGTCACTTTAAGAATTTTCTGGGATTTGTATGAACATTAAAAAAATCTGAAAATCTACATTTATTGCGCCGTAATAATAAATATTTATTTTAGTTGAAAATTATATATATGCATTATTTTAACAATTAGAATATTTAGCTATAAATAGGCTAAATTTAGAATTTTCCAACCTTGGTAATTGATTGGAATCATCGTTACAAGCCAAGTTTGGGCGTTCTTTGGGAAGGCCCATTTTGGACATTGGGAAACCCAATCTGGGACAGATTGGCGCCCAGTCAACTTTTCCACACGGATAGTAGCTCACTTTTCACTAATTCAAAGTTAGAGGGGAATTAAAAAAAATTGTTTGGATAAAACATATTAAGAGCCTGTCTACACCGAGAGCCAACCAGGAGCATTAAATTTGATACTCAGGCGTATTAAACGAGTAGATTATATTCGCGTCTGCGCAGATGTACACAAACATTCTGCGCAGACGCAAATATAATCTACTCGTTTAATACGCCTGATCATCAAATTTAATGCTCCTGGTTGGCTCTCGGTGTAGCCAGGCTCTAATTATTATATTAAATTAAATTATCCTTGTTTTAATGCGAATTATATTACAAATGAAACAAAGTTCTAAATTCTAAAAAATTTGAAATTTCTATATTTAAAATATTGCGCATCAACCACTGCTGGATATATAAGAATAAATATATACGTATATTTATTAATCTATTTCTAAATATTTTATATCATGTTAAAAATTGTTTAGTAAATTGTTTGTCTGAAAAAGTTTTCAATTTGGGATTATTTAGAAAAATTTAAAAAGAGAATTTATTCGAATTGATATTTGGGAAAAACTTTTTCAGCAAATCAATATACAATTCATCAATATAATTCATACTGAATGATGTATAACTATTAATTGGATAGCCATACCAAAGTATATATTCTAAACTATATATAATAAATATAAATCGACGTTTTACACTGGATATAATAAATAAAATGGAAGAATGGATTAATACTATGTGTGAGATAAACTAAGAAATGATGTTACAAATGACTTGATGATGTTATAAATATAAATCGCTACAGAATATATTACTTAAAAACAAAAACCTGAAATACGTTGCTCACCGCATTTAAACAGTTTCTCAAAAATGCGATTGTCACGTTTTGTAGTGTTCAGAGAAAGAATATTATTGCAAACGTATAATAAAGTAGTAAGACTTTCTATAAAAAAACCGCTGTGTTCAATATAATTTTTGAAAAAAAATCAATAACAACAAAAAATTTCTCATACAAAAAATTATTTAAAAATACTACATTAAAGTGATCTATTTTTTTGCAAATTTATAAAATTATTTAAAACAAAAATTTCAAAATTAATTTGTTTTATATTTATTATAATTTTCTTTTACGTCCAAAAATAAAGTAAAATTAAAGACATTTTAAAGTATTTCGAAAATTGTTCAATTCTCAATCTTCTTAAATATATAAAAAAAAACCAAAATAAATTAGATTTTTTAATACTTTTGATAGAAAGAAAAGAAAATAACATTTTTAACCTTTAAAAGTAGTTGATAATAATTAAAATTTTTAAACACTTTAAAATTCATAAAAATATTTTTTTTTATTAATGCACGTATAGTTTAGTTTTTTTTTATTGTGAATTGAACAATTTTAGAAGAATTAAAATTTTTAGCATATAATAAAATGATAAACAATATTAAAATTAAATTAAAGGAAAAAAATAATAAATGGTCGTTCAACAGTCAACCTATACATGTAAAATCAAAATTCGTGTATATAATTTAGCACATGATATTTAATTTGATTTTACTACATAGAGTCACATTAATGAATTAAATTTGCTGAATGAGATAAATTATTACCTATTCCTAAATAATGTAAAAGTAAGAAAAGTCGATTCTTTCACTGAAAAAATTTATAGTTCTCTTCACTGTCAAGGAGAACTGTGGTTAATTAAAAAACAAAAATGAAATATACTTTCAAATATATCGTTCAATTCTTTTAATTTAAATTTTTTTGTTGGTTTTTTCGTTAGTGAAATATTATTTTTATATTGCAAAATTAACAAATTCATAAAATATTGAACATACGTTAGTAATTTTCGTCAAATATAAAAAAAATATAGGGAGTGAACAACAGTGGATCATTTCAGTTTTCTGAAAATTAATTTAAAAAACTTTACTAAATTTTAAATATAAATAGAGTTTACGTATACCCACTCATTTCTATTAAAAATTCGGTAACATTTTTGTAATTCAATTTTTAGAAAACTAAAATGATTCACTGTAAACCACTATTATCCACTCTCCCCTACAACTAATTTCTTATATGTAAGGGTCAATCATCCATATAATTTCACCTATAAAGATGTTGCGTGTTATTTTTACAAAAATCTTATCATTTGCAATAATTATTTTTGATATTCGCACAATTTATTTTTAAGAATTTATTTAATAAAATTTTATAAATTTTCTTTGGAATTTAATAAAAAAAAGCACAGAAATAATAATTTTTAAACTTTACCTGTGAAACGTAAAAAATAACATTTCAATTAAATTTTTGTAGGAAATTTGTAAATAGATTTTCTTTATTAAATACAGCTTAATATTAGGTACTTTTAATGTATACTTTTAATGATGACTTTTTAATATTTTATAGAAATATGAAAAAATTTACCCGACTGAAAAAACTTGTACAAGAAAATGTACAAGTTCTTGTACATGTTCATTAATGAACTTGTACATTTTCTTGTACATGTTCAAGTAATGTTTTTGAACAAGTTTAGCATCCGGAATTGAGACATCTTCTTCTATCAGAACTTGTACAGGATCCAGGACAAGAAAATGTACATGTTCTTGTACATATTTTTTGTGCAGGTTTCATGTACAAGTACTTTTACAAGAACACGTTTATGTTCTTGTACAAGAACATTTGTTTAAAAATGTTTTTGAAAAAAATTTGAAATTTTAATAAGTTATAATTATTAAGATTCTTCACTTATGCATGCTAAAAATTATTGTGCAGCTGTAAAGGCTTATGAAAACTACTGCGCAGCCTTTAAAGCGTTTTTAATATTTAATTTAAAAAACATAAATGAACATGTACAACATGTACAAGTTCTGGTACAAGAACATGTCTCAATTCCAGATGCTGAACTTGTTCAAGAACATTACTTGAACGTACAAGAAAATGTACAAGTTCATTAATGAACATGTACAAGAACTTGTACATTTTCTTGTACAAGTTTTTTCAGCCGGGTATCTTTTAATGTTGAGGTTATGAGAATTTTCGACGATTTTGAATACTAATAACTCTTAAATTAAATCTTCCTTTTCGTCCTATCAAAGTTAGGCGTTGTATAGAGGAACGTGCTGCTTATTATATTTATTGAATTTTTTAAATGTTGTTTAAAAAACAAATTTAGAGGTTAAAAAGCATGAAGTTTTGTAAAACTTAAGGGTATGTGGGAACCTCCCATGTGACCTAGTATGGGAAAATGTGTTTTGGTAGTATACATCTTACTCCGAAAAATACATATTTTTGCGTTAAATTATTAAAAAATGAAGTTTAAAAAGTGACATTTTTAAACGAAAATGGAAACAAACATGGCGGCGCATACATAGACGTTGCTTGAGTGCGTCAATGCTCCAGGAGACAGCGCCAATTCGAGCTAGTGGCCGCTGAATGAACTATGATAAAATACATTATTTTACTACCGTGAAACCCACGTCGGACTCGCATAATTTGGATTTTAACTCGAAATCATTTTTTATTTCAGAGAAAGTTTGAAACCACAAAAAAACGTTCTTTGCTCACATACCCTTAAAGACAAAATAAAGAATAAATTCAGTTAATGAAAGAAATTTTTCTAGGAGACGTTCTACGTCAAACGAAAACAAACTGTTATTAAACTCATAATTTAAAAAAAAATACCGAGGGGACCGTTCACAAACTACGTCACGCTTTAAAGAGGTGGGGGGAAAAATGGAATAAAATAGCATGACGTAATTTGTGAACGACCCCTAGTAAAACTTGAACAAAAATAACTTGCTTCATCGCCAAAATCGAATGCCAGATAAAGGCCTGAGCAGAATAGAAACGTAATCGGAATCGTAATCGCAAATGCAACCGGAAGAATGAGTTCGAGAAGGATAGACATATTGTTATTCTGGTTACGTTTTTATTCTGCTCAGGCCTTAACTACGTCAAATTATGGTTAGGGTGTCATCATGACAGTTGAGCTGACAGAGCCAGGAGCGTAGTTTGAAATTTGTCTGGGGTAGTTTTCTACCTCAGTTATTGTGCTTTCTAGGTTCAAACTCTGCAAAAATTCTCAAAACCTCAACATTAAAGGTAAATTTTTTCATATTTCTATAATATAAAGATAATTGTTATATTTAATAAAAAAATCCGTTTACAAATTTTTTAGAAAAGTTTAATCGAAATGTTTTAAATTTCGACACTGTACAGGTAAGTTTAAAAATTAATTTTCATTCCTCAGGGACAAATATGGTTTTTTCTTGACTTGTTTCCTTTGTTCCCTCTTTTTGTTGTTCTTTTTCTTTTATTTCTTCTCCCTCCAATAGATTCATAAAATGGGATTTCCATTTTTCTAAGCCAATAGATTTCCCCTTTGATTTCCGTTTTGTTCTAAAATTTCCTATAGCTTTCCAGAAGAATTGCATATCTTTGCTCTTTCTCACTTCTTCACATTTTTGTTCTCTTTCTTCATTTTTTTTCTTTGTGATCATTTCCCTAAGTTTTCTTTTTTCCATTTTCAAATCGTCCTTGTCCACTTCTTGTTTAGATTTAGTATACTTTTTAATTTTAGACCAAATTACCTTCCTTTGATTTTTCAACTCTTGATCTTCTTTAAATTCTTTAGCTTTGCAATTTATACTCCCTTCAAATATTTTGTGAGTTTTTTTCATTCCCGTTTTTTCTGCCGCTTTTTTAATACAGTATATTATTCTTTCTTATCTATCTTGACCTTTCCCATCATCTGAAATTTTCTCTGTTCCCCAAGGTTCCTTCAGTGCTGTTCTGCATTCTTCACCTTTTTCTTCATTCCATTCAAATCTATCTGTACTAATAATTTCCCTTCTACTTTTTTCAATTTTCCTTTTTTCTCTTTCGCTTTTATCTGAAATGTCACAGGGAAATGGTCAGACTCTGCTCTTGTTATTATTTCCATTTTTTTAATAATGCTGTCTCCTTCCTCTTGCAATTCAGTTAAATAATTCAACACCGAGCCTCCGTTTTCTCCAATGTGTGTCCATTTACCTTCTAAGTCCTCCTTAATTCTTCCATTCAATATAATCATTCCAAATTCGTCACAA